ACACATGTTCCTGCCCTTCTGACACCTGTTAGCTCCACTGGTTACGCTACGGAAGCTTCGACTGCAGGCTTACCGTACACAAGTGATCATCATGGAGGAATCTCACCCCGATCAATATCAGGATCAACCACTTCTACATCTTACAATTCCAACATTCCCGCACAAAGAGCAATTTCACCGCAAAGTCAAAAATCAATAGGTTATCAGGGTGGTCCCCCTGATCTAAGAATTGCAGTACCACATGGTGCACAAGAATCGAGTCATTGGCCACAAGGAACTGCACATCACATGCCTACACCACAACAACAATATCAAGCACAACTTGGAAATGCGGCAGCCGTAGCAGCAAGCGCTAGAAGCTCATGGGACTTATCGAATTATCTTGAAAATAGTTCCGCGACTGCCGCCGGCACTTCGGGTACAGGGGTTGATTATCAAGGTCAAGGTCAACAACATCAGACGCCGAGAAACGTTGTAGATGCTTCAATGGCTGGTGGGGGTAATGGAAATCGCGCTTTATCTTCGCTTCAACATCAACAGCAGAGTCAGCAGATACCGCGTACTTGAATCGTGAATCGATTACGCGGTCCTATTGGATGGGAGATGTAAGCTGATGAAGTCAAATTATGGGCTCATTGCATCACATCTGATAGGGAACCTGGGATTCCGTGGGTGTGTATGAGAGCGTTGAGTGGGTGTCTTGTGCTGTGGTGCTTTTTATTCTTTCTCTACCGTTTCTCGAGCGATGGAATCCATTGGTCATGGGGTGTTGTTTCTCTTTTAACATGGGGCATGAAAGTGGGTTAGCGCAAGATGATGGATGCTCATTCGGCAGAAGTTATCTCGTATTACCCTCACATGCACATTCATGCATCAACATACCTTGCACAAATCCATGCACTACCACCCTGACAACCCTTGCTGCACATCAATTTATCTCTAATCGACAAATCGACCTATCAACATATTCATTACCTTCGAAACGACTATTATCTACATTCAAGGTATACAAAAATACATCTTGGTTGTTTTGTCGTTATACTTGCTTCTCTAAGCGACCTGCGTCTCACGAAACACTTTTGTTCATTCGTTACTTTCGATGATACTTGCTTTCGATGGATCCAAGCATGCTACCATGGCTTGCTACGACTTTAATATCCACTATTACCTACAGCTTCCACAATTCTACTACCTTGTTATACCGATATACAGCTGGATCCTTTGATGGCTACATTCATCCTCCACACCCTCTTCAAATCCATTCATCCCACTCTACGCAATCATCTTCGTTCTATAACACAGCCACCATACCACCATGTTACCGCCACCCGCTTATTTTCTTGTTTCTTACTGTTTACATGCATGACTATCTATCTTCAGATTCCTTATCTATCTTACTCGTGTATCACCTGATGCACTACGACACTACCACACCCGGATTCGAATATTCTCTCAATACTTAATTTAGACTTCATTGCGTATGGTTTTTCTGGACGGGAGGGGGCGAAACGGATGGCTCTGGCTGGACTTATTAAAAATCATTGGTGGTGTGGCGTTTATCAATCCAGTTGCTATCTACTGCATCTTATCCTACTAGCATATACCAATATTCCCTTTGGCCACTTACCTTGCGTTTTTTCCCTATTTTCTTGCTTTGGACTTGTTATTCGTATCAGTGCTACATATGCTTTATTCGATGGCTTTTCTGGCATTCCGAAAAGATCTTGTTTCATATCATCATATGGCATCATCACCGGCACGCATATCAAATGAACAAGACCTACCTACCTATCTTGGAAATCATCCCTAGCTATGGAACCTACCCTTGCTTGCTTGGCATATCTTTGCACGATTTGGAGAAGTATGCACCGCTTGCATTGCATTGTGCATATTGCTTGCATGCGAATAACTCCCGAGCATCACGGATTTTAGCCTATTTCGCGTGGATTGGCCAATATACCATACTCTGCAATACATTGGACACAAGAACGCCCATGCGTAACTCTTGTGTTCTCGTCAATAACGAGCTATCATTACTTTGAAAGTCCATCGATAGATCGGCTTTATTGCTCCACAGTCAGCTCTTTACGATAAGAGGGTGGGCTTGCAGATTTGTCACGGTTCATCTTCGCTGCCGCTTTATCTCTGATCTAGCCAGAACAGATCTTGAGTCTTCTGGTTCCTTTACAACTTGTCTATTACCACTTAGCCTGCTTTGATTTGCTCTGCATTCTGCTGCGTAGCGGAGGTGTTGAGGAGAGATATATCTTTATCGTTATTAGATACCATTTGAGCGAGTTCGTCGAATTAGTTGAGACATCAATTTGTTTTCCTTTCATTTATATCAATTTCCTTTAAGTTTTATTTGTCATTCGGGGTTTATATAGCTAGCGGATCAATCACTTTCCATTTGTATTGGACTGGACACAAGGGCGGTAGGGGCCAAGCCGCAGTGGGCATTATAGGTTCGCATAGGAGAGGAGTTGTTCGGTCACCAAAAAATCCGTGTTTTTCATTCTTTTGTTTGGGTCTGATGTGGCTTGGTTTGGGAGGGTCGGATGGATATGCTGGATACATTTTGCGGGATTTGGACTAAAGCAAGGTTTTGATTTTTTGTGGAATTACGGGGTACACATCTGTATGGTATCGCGAGATCTTAATGGGAAGGGAATGAGAGATCTCGCTCGGTAGAGAGTTGAGTATGGATTAGATGGGAATGACGAGGAGATCGACGAGATGAGATGAGATGAAAGAATAAATTAATTTTACTATCTATCTACTATATACTGCCTGGGCATTTTAATTGGTTGTAAGCCTTGCATTACTTAATTCTTAATAAAAGATCTTTACATCATATCCACCCTGAGGCTTTTTTGTTTTTTTAAGGTGAATGGAGCTTGTTTCATGTTGGCTTACTTCTGGTGCGAAGATCCTATGGGAATTGACCGTGACAAGCACCACTTCCTTCTAAATGCTTTCAACATACCTGTACCCTGATAGAAGATCTCTGAACCCAAATCCAAGGGTTAGTTCAAACTCAATCTGCAATAGTCCCGTGATCTTTGTACGATCACACTAACCTTGACCGACATATGTGTCTAGAACCTAATTCTTCTTGAAGATCTCGCGATTTCAATGTCTTATTTGCGCCGCCAAATCCTGCCATCGTATATATGATATGGGCGAGATCTTCCAATTTGAGTTTGCTCCTATGCTTTAGTAGATGGAATCCCTGATTATCAGTCAAGAAATTGACAAGTGATTGGACGTCTAGTAGCACAGATACGTCTTGTGGTGCTGAAAGCAACGGAGATGCCTCCGTTGGAAATCAAAGGGGCGAGCAAGCGGGAGGATAACTGAAGACTAACATATGTAGTTGGGCTTCGGAAATGCCGATGAGTATCTCGGTATAATATTGCTCTTCAGAGATACTAGCAATTCGATTGGCAAAAACGGCGAAGATAGACAGCGCGGGATGAAATGGTGTAAATTAGCGGCCCATAAGTCAAAAGGAAAACAAAGGATTTCCAGCAGTTTGGGTCCAAGCCGCGACCGCATTTTAAATCTCCTAGTTCTGTATTTCTATTCATTAATTTTCACCGTGTACTGTACTGAGGCTATGCAGCTATATCCCCTAATGAGATCAAGTCACTTCCAAACCTTGATTTTTCTAGCACAACTCACTAGAGAAATCCAGGTATTGGCATGCGCATCATATGCAGAAAAGATCGCACAAGATACAGCATAGACTCGGAGACTCGGGAATCGGATCATTTTTTCTAGTATTGTACGCTATGAAACATCGATGTACGGTATATATGCACAGGAAGTGGATCCTTTCGGGTATGTTGTGATGCGGTATTGTGGTCGAGTGTTACGGGAATAATAGGTCATTAAAGGATACTGGGCTGGGATCGGAACACAAGACTGGGAGGTTGGAGTACACAAATATTCGGGATGTATAAAAAACCTCTTCGCTTGTTCACTTGTATTGTCTTGTATTAGCTGGAGCAGGGCCGAGACAGGACGCAGACCCCTTGGGGATTGCGCATAATGAAATGAATGAACTCGGAATTAGTGTCTAAATTGAGCCGTTTTTACTTGGAATTCTAAATAGGTGAGGATTATTGAAGGAGGGTTCAGAACGAGGAAATTGGGAATATCGTCAGGTGCAGCGCACATGAAGAACCTTGGACTTGAAAACTGGGTAGGTTGAAGCTGTCACGGTACTTGTTTGCAATTCCATATGACTGGATGAGTGTTTTTTTATGTAGGTATGCATGCATGCTGCAATGCATATGCAAATGTAGGGCTACGTTTATGGTAATATCTACGGGCAACGGGCCTTTGCGCAGTGGTCTTGTGGCACTTTTGTTGTGTTCTACTGGTTTATACTATGAATACTATGGTTATTAAAGTGGCGTATTAGTTTCAGGTTTATCAGCTAGTGCCTTCTTTCTTTCTCATCACTTTATATTCATTAAGGTGCCGGTAGCATTGAATCAAGTTTGGAGTTCATCTCAATGTAGAGATAGATCGAATAGCCTGTGTATACGGAGAAAGTTCCAATAATGGATTTGAGCTCCCTTTTTTGTCAGTTCAAAAAAATATGCTTATGTTGTACATGGAATATTACCTCCTACTATGTCGGGCCACATCGGCCATCATAAATCGAGAAGTCTCGGTCACGGTCTCAGTTCATTATTCATCAAGATAACATGAGAATAGGGATAATCATGTCGATGATGATGGAGACTCCAATCATGTCTAACATCAGAATGTCTTTCTTCAATACTGACAGTATTACTTGTAATTTTGTGCGGGTACCCATGGAATCAAGGGCAAAGTCTCAGCTTGTCAGCGACGATGTGGATAGATGCACAACCCTTCGATTTGATGGGTAATTTGCGAGACCTCGAAGAATTCCACGATCTTCTAGGCTTGATTATCGTGATGGAGATGACGCTTTGCCATCCGTATGGTCAACTTCGTTGGCAAGTTCAAGTATTGTATCTAAGTGGAGGTTGGGGGAGTGGATCCAGACCGGGTTTACAGTAGCTGCATAGCCCGCCCCCACTCTTAGATGACGAGATGATTAGCCCGGACTCATCACTTGTGGAGCTCTACTGCAATTGGAAAATCATTTCGGGCCATCATCAACTCAAAATCCTGAAATGGCCGTTGTACGAAGTTGTTGTGAAAATGATAACACAAATTTGGATCTGCCAAGAATGTTGCAAGGATGCAATCATCTTTCAATTTCAAAGTCTGTGCATCGATAGGGTCGTAGATAGTCACTAAAAGTTTCGCGCCAGTGAGTAGTTGCGGCACCGGGAAGATCGTCGCTAGCTGCAACTTCGAAATTACTTGGCTGGGCGGGGACGGGCACTAAAGTAGAATCGGCGAGATGGCATGCTAATGGATGTGGGGATGAATGTGACCTTGGTTAGTTCAAGTCTGAGCGTATTGTTGGTCAATTAGCAAGTGAATTAGTGAGATGAGATGGAATGCCAACGATGAGTTGTCGAATGATATTGAGTCATGATGTATTCGTGGTCATGTCGATTGGGAGATAGGTTAGCATGAGCTTGGCATCTTGTTAAGGGGGTTTTTACTTTCCAGTTAGTACAAAACTATGAGGCCCTTGAATTAGCATCTGGCTAGGTAAACTGTCAGTGTGTCTATGTGAAACGGGAATAAGCCGGAGAAGTGTCGAGTGTAAGTTCTTTAGTGGGGCAAAGTATTGAATTGTTAAGGGTAATGATGTAGAAATAAGAAATACATTAGAGTTTGAAGCTTAGACGTATCTGTAAAGGACGGTGAGTAAGAAGATCGTGAGCGACAAAAGTGATTCCCATATAGGGAAGGTCTATGGAAAGAATAATTGAGAGTAGAACGATTTCGCAGATACGTGGGCTAGCATTTTTGTCTTGGAATCGAAAGTAGATCTCATTTGCCCAAGCTAGTTTATGTACTATGTGATTAATTATGTGTAGGCTTCCAATGCTATCGATGACTATCATGTTAAGTTGCCCTTCGCTCTTGAAGCTAGAGCCTTCCACGGCTGCCGGTAATTGTATCCGAGCAAGGAGTAAGCAGCGCCCGATGCCACAGCAGTTTTGATCGAATTTTAAGACAAGGGTAAAGGTAGTCTGAATAGGCAGAAGTTACAATTTCAAGGGTATCTCAAAAAGTCCCCCCCCCTTGACTATGTTGATACCACAATGTTAGGAGCGGAAAGCTGTGTTGTTGAAGATAGATGCCGGCACCTTTCTCAGACCCTCACCGAAATCGTGATATAGTCCAATGCTCCAAGGAACTCATTCTTGTGACTGGCGGGCATACGTATACCAGGGCGTTGAGTTGACGTAGCCTAGTGGAAGCCTAAAGTCGAAAGGGGTGTGATGCGTAGGCGAGAACAATACCTTCGGAGATACATTGCGCTGCGATCAATCTTGTATACAAGACTCAGCAACTTGCTCAATAGCTCCAGTGTTCAAGGTTAAGTGACTCAAAATTACAGACTGTCACAAGTGTGAATCATTTCAGTATTGAAGTAAAAATTATTACGATCATGAGGTTGTCTTGTGAGAGCTTCATGCCTGCTTGTAAGGTTGGGTTTGGAAACACATGTGCCTTAGGAATCGAGATCGAACATACTCGGGGCCTGATAAACTGGTCGCAGGCTAACATGATGTTTGCCTCGTAAGTATGCCTCGGCGACTAACTATTGTTGGTGAATTACCCAAAGAGGACGCTTTTTCGAGAGGGGTTTATTGGAATCCATAGCTATGCCTTATATGGGCATCTTGGAAGCCCAGAGAAGATGCTACTCAGAAGAGATTAGACATCTCAAAACATCTTCTTATATCGAAGGACTGACACTACGAAAAATCAGTCGTGTAATTGAGATGAGATTTCGCAAGGCTGTTTTTCTAGCTACCAAGATAAGATGCAAACAGCAGAGAAATGGAGCGCATTATCCAAGCCTTTTGGTATTGTGTTAGCTATTCTGGACATTTACGCATTCAATATCAGGGGTAGTAATAAGATCGATGCGGTTTGTACTTTATTTAGGAACGCCTAGGAATAAATCAGAATACTACGGCTCGCTATCTCTGTCAGCGCTATCTCCGTTTTCGAGTTTTACTACACTATTCACATGCATTGAACTGGAATCAAGACTTCCTGCTGCTACCTGTCAGCTTCTTTGGATGTCGATGGATACCAGCTCTACGGTTTGGTAGGATCATAAAAGTTTGAAACTGCCTGCGCCACCATCAAAATCCTCGCCCCACCACGTGTTGATGTTAAAGAAAAAGCTCGGGGCCCAGCATAACGGTTTTGTTTCGATGGTAACGGAAGTGTGAGATAGGATTAGACGTAATTAGATAAGCTTAGCCAACATGTGTAGCATGCTGTAGCTGCTGGCTGAATGAGATGTATGCTCACTTTGTATGGGGCGGAGTTGATATTATGCATGAATCCTTACGTGGCGGTGCGGCGTGGCACCCATGCGAAAATGCATCTCAAAGGATCTAAAATATCTGACGTAGGATGATAATGAAAACGATTCCCAAACAAATGAATAGGATCCGAGGGAAACAAACACCTATACAAAGATTGGTGATGGTGGTCAAAAGCTTCTTCATACCCTTGATCGCTTAATCAGGGGATTTATATCGATACTACAGGGATCACTTGAAAGATGATTATTACTCTGGACAATATTTAATCTTCGTATTAACAAGTGTTTGTATATCCGTGAATTTGTTGCTTGCTTAGTGCCAATGACCGAGATATTTCCCAAACAGGACAGAATCTTTCATTGAAGCTATCTGGTAATGAGCTATAGTGATTACGAAAACGTTACTTCCGTGCTTACCTACTTATAGTCATTTCAATTGCTTCAAAAGCGTATCAGATTATATTTCCATCTGCAAATATCTGTCCAGTCGCCGCGGTCCTAGGAAACTACCAACGAGGACCATAAATGTGTTGTACAGCTGAACGGGTTGGGGTTCGATGGCATTGAAATTATCATTGTTGGATACCGCGTTGGCATGACTGTATCCGACCCGCCATGATATTTCAAAATAGGCCGGAATTTGACCGGCTGATGATATGAGATGATGAGTCTCCAACTGGCGGTGGCTATTGGGAACCTTGATGTGGGATGGAGGATATGATTGTACGGTAGCTTTTGTCTGTTCCATATTTTGTCCACACTTCTTCAATGTTATGGCTAGGTTAGTGCCGGGAAGAATCTCTCAATCGCCGTTATTCGTCGCTGGATCGTTGTAACTTATTAGTAGTTCGGAGTTTGCATCTTCAAGAGATAACTGGAAACGAGGACAATAATTGGCAGGTCTTAGAGACAATATTTTGCACGTCTACTTACACGGCGTCTGGCCTGCTAAATCACGTGTGGTTATTTGAATCGGTATGGAGATTGTAAGAAGCTGAGCATACCTTTGTACAATGTAAATGGTGTGAGAAATGTCCCTTTTCTCTAACTGGTTAGGATTGTGAAGAGACCATTTCACTATCAGATCGTTTCCCTTCAACTGCTTTCTGGACTGCTTACTATCAAATCAATAGTTATAACTTCATTTCGGGCGATACAGATGATTTCATTCGAATTGTTTAAACTGTGTGTCTTCGAATATACACTATTCATGTGATCGTACATCCATTGGCTCTATCTAGTCAAATTATGTCTATTTGTCCGTTATGACTTGACATTTATATCAACTTTACCTTTCTATAACAGATCAGCGGTCGTTGACTAAGTTTAACCGGCCAATATAGATTAATTAGGAAAGCCGCCAGCTAGAGAATCTATTGTCATCGCCCTTGAAGTACTGTGTGTCAATACTTGTAGCCTATTTATGTTGAGATGTGATGGATGAAATTTCGGATGTCCAGATGTGAGGAAATATGCCAGTGCACTATACAAACTTGGGTTGACTGGGGCGTTCAATTGGCAGGTGAACCCCTCTGAACGAAGTTATTCGCAAAATTGAATCTATACGCCTACATTTGGTCTCAAATATGCGGTGACCTATGGATCACAAGCGAAAGATTGAATCTGCTAGATCCATTATATTAAAGCTGTGCATGCAAATACATTTTCAGTACTCTAAATCCCCATAGTCGTGAGGTCAATAGCGCCTTACAAATATCACCATGCCTTGAAGACCCAGAATTTCAGCGGTAAAGGCTCTACTTTCCGATGGAACGTCTCATGTAGCTGTAAGGACCATCAAGCTTCATATAGCGGTCATTACAAAAGATAATGACCACCTTGAAGATCTAAGGCATACTCTTGAACATGTTCCTCCTCTGCCGAGCGATATATATACCCATATTCAAGCTTGATTTGTGGCTCAAAGAGGGTGATAAAACCACAAATCAGTCCTCGCCACGCAATGTTTTCCAATGCAGCTGCTCTTGCATCATGTTTGGTTTGTTATTCTGAAGTAGAGAAGATAACGGTAGCTGCTTGACGTGTGATTCAAACGTCACCTTGTTGCCCCGGGCGATTTTCCTCTCAACTTCTGACACTCAAATCTTCATACACACTTGGAAATTTGAATCTCTTTGAGCGATATTCTGAACAGTAAGCTATCAAAGCCTACAGAGGAGTTGAGCTTGCTCTCGAAAAGCTTTTTACTGTTCTCAATCTATCCTGTTGATGTGTTAAAGAAGAATAGAAGGTGGAGAACTTCATTTAATTTATTCGTAGCAGCTGGCAGAAATGGCAACGACGTCCATCGCTTCAAGGTCACTTGTTCTAAAATGAGGTAGATAAAGCCTGCCTGACTCTGAGAACCAGTCATGCCATATCTTTTTCACAATTAAAAATTTACAGAACAGAAGCAATGAGGTTTGAGAACTTTACTTCGGGGTTTCCATGAAAATCGCTTGAAAAATATGATAATTGTATAGCTCAAGGCCTCGTTGGCCTCATACTATGCGCACTTGCCTCATTGCTTATCGCGATACTTCCATCTATCCTTCCCATCTGGGAATTCTCAACCTGCCAGACGAGACAAAACTTACGGGAAACCACCGTTCTCATAGGTCAACGGAGGCTTGTCACTTCATCAATTTGCACTTCCATTGATACCGCCTGTAGTATATAAACCATAATGTTGTCTATCAGTAGATTTTACAGGACCACTGTCACTGGGAACACCACTACTTTCACCACCAATACTACCAGAATCGGGGTTACAATTGAAATAAACCTGTCGGAAACATCTACAACTACCGTCACGAATGAGACTAACATTTGGTTCAGTATCACCAATACCACTACAATTACCACACCCACAACCACAACCATCGAAGCACTCCAACATGAGTCTCCCAGGAGAATCCCTCACTTCACAGTCCTCCACCCCTAAAATACTCATATCCCCATCATTTCACAACTCACCTCCAATTATCCTCTCCAAAGAAGACCGAACCAACTCCTACTATCCACCAAAACCTTTCCTCCCACTCCAAGCAGACCCCAAAACAGAATCTGCATACCGCAACATCATCCAAACCACCCAATTAGCCCCCTCAACCCCCGGCCTCGATGTCTGGATTTCGGGAATATCCAATCAGAGAACTCTCGAGATGCTCGGCTACCCATCCTCGAACCCACATATCTCCTCCCTAGCTTCAAACCCATCATCTCCCCCCAACACCCCCTCCTCACCAACCTCCAGGATCCAAAAACGCAATGATGCAATTACCCGACCCCTGATCCCCGCATCCTCAGTCCTGCACTATCTTCTCGACACTGCCCCAAGAAAGATGCACATCAACATCAACGGATGCAAACGCAGCAGCCAAGTCGAAGACAACTCCGAAGACTACGCTATCCTCCGATACATCGCTAATTATAGCGAGCCACGCTACTGGGTATTCGACATTGAGGATCTTCACTGCGCAGTATGTTGCAAACAGATGCGGGACCAGCGACGAAGAGCTCACGAGAAGAGTTGGAGATGGAGCGAGAGAGTGAGGGGCGCGTGGAGACATCAGCATTGTGTAAATTCTTGGTGTCATGGAGCGTGTGGGCATGAGCGACGAGTAGGTTATTGTTCTGAGAGTTTGATGAGCTGAGAGTATAGGTATGCTGATAAGATTAAAATTGCAATCTAGTCTCATAACGTACTTACCCGTCTCGGACTCGCCACAACCCGGAAGATAAAATATATCCAGCTAACCACTTCATCTGCACGCATGGATCCGGATATCCTCGCTTCCGCAATAACAGTTTTAAAACCGTTCGTTTCGAAACTTGCGGGATTGGAAGTTCTTCTCGTTTCTTCTTCAGATTCTGTGTTCAAATCGAGGTATGTGTGGAATGGATCGAGACAAGAAGCGCGGCGCTTCATATGCTGTTTTGCGGAGTTGGAGGAATGGTTAGTGGAAGGGGCAAGGTTGGAGATTAAGGGGTTGGGAAAGTTTGGAGAGTTGGAGGATATGTGGTGGGATGTGAGGAGGAAGTGGTGGAGGATTGGAGGGAGGGTGGGGGATGAGAAATAGATGGAGTGTTGGGATGGGATGGGATGAGAGAAGAAGGAGGAGATGGGTGCGGAGTTGTTGAGCTTTTGCTGTAGAGTGATTGTTGGATAAGAACAGGGTGGGTAGATTGAAGTCCCTTAGTTGTAGTAACTCTATACCAAACCAGCGAATTGTCAAACAAAGTTATTCCAAACCAGAAACGCTTTTTATACACTCAACCTCCCAGATGCTCTATACATAATTCTGATAATCTTGAATGGTGTTGTACGCATAACTCAGGACCTATCTTATCCACCCAAAGAACCCACATCACTTGTTTTCATTTCTACTATACCCTCCCTTTTACTCATGAATCTAAACATTGCTTATGTATTGAACTTTAGATTTAGGTATGGAGTTCTAGACGTGAAATATATAAACATAGAGTGGAACGCTGATATTGGGCTGGGTTCACTTGCCCCTGTCTCTCCCTCTCATATAGGTTGAATAAGTGTAGAGATGATATGATATAATATGATGCAAATATATACACACACGGGGGAAATAAGAAAACATTAACGTGAGTACATCAAAAGATTTCTCACAATCACAATCGAAAAGTATCACATCGTCGAGAAGATCTTCATTCTCACAAATTCTAATCTCATCCCATCCCAAGTATCCCCAATGTCCCAAACATCTCACAACATATACAAAAACGCCGTTTTCCCTTCCCTCCCCCTCCCCCTCCCCTTCACCTTTCCATTTTCATTCGCCACCAGACCCCTCTCCTCTTCATCGTCCTCCCTCTCCCCCTCGCCTCCACCCAACCTCCCATATCTCCCCTCACAACTCTCATTCTCCCTTCGCAACCACCATCTCAACCCCAGCCCCAAGCCCGCCACTATCAACATAACCCCCGCACACACCCCCATCCCCTCTCTATAAAACGGCGCTTGCGTTTCCGGATACAATCTCGTGCCTACCAGCGGGCCACACTGACCCACCACCTGCATAATCGCGAATCCAGTTCCTTGTCTCGAGGATGAAGATTGATTATTTAGCGTCCATGTTATCAGAATCGTGATAACAGAAAAAAATCCCATGCAAGCGGGATAGATGGCGAGGTAGCGGAGAGTGGGGGAGATGAAGTGGGGAGGGAGAGTGAGGAGGGTGTAGCCTAGGGAAGAGAGCAGAGCGTGGAAGATGAGGAAGGGAGAGCGAGAGCGGAGTTTATCTGAGAGGTAGGAGGTGAGGAGGACGGAGAGGAAGGAAAGGAGATAGGGGGTGCGGAGAGGGCTTGGGAGGTTGAGGGAGAATGCCCCATGTGAGTTAGGATGGTGGGGAGGAAGATGGGCATACTGCTGAAAGCCATGTTGGAGAAGAAAAACATGAGGGCTGTGAGGTAAACTTTCGGGTCGCGGAAAGTAAGAAGTACTTCCTTGATTTTGAGACCGGATGATGGTTTCGTTTTGGAATTGGGGGAGGAAGTAACTTCATGACGCAGACGTAGACGCGCAATTTTCTTCTCGCGGGTAGTGAGGTAAGAAGCCGTATTGGGACTATCAGGAATATGATGCCATGCGAATAGTGCCACCAGAACACTAGGGAATCCCTCCACGAGGAATAAAAGTCGCCATGGTGCAATTGGGGAACGTTCACCCAGTTTTACAATTCCCCATGCTAGAGAACTTGCAAAGGAAGTTGCGAGAGGAGCCGCACTTAAGAAAATTCCTGTCCGAAATGCCAATTCTTCTCTCTTGAAGAAGAAAGATAGATAGAATGGTATTCCTGTGAATCCAGCTTCTCCGATCCCCAATAATGTTCGAAGAACGAGTAGTCCTGCAAAAGATGTCGCGATAGATTGTAACGATGCGATGATCCCCCATGAGAGGACGATAACCGTTACATAGATATGCGCCGGTATAATCTTCCATAATATACTCATCCATTCGAAACATATATATGCGATATAAAATGCCGTGATAACCCATTCATATTTATTCGAATCTAAATGTAAATCTCGTTCTAGACCTGCTATTTTCGCATTTCCGATATCTGAAGAAAGAACTAGTTAGCATGTTCAAGTCCTTTTATTAACGAGAAGGTGGATGAAAGAGTTGTTATGAAAAAGGTGAATACACTTACTCGATCTGTCCAGAAAACTTAACATATATAACAACGCAACAAAAACCACCAATTTCCTGTCGAATTTTCTCACCACGATTCGTTCTTCATCTGGCGTATATAACTGATATGATTGTACTGTCGAGAAACTACCCCTCCTCCGATCAGTCTCATCACGATAAGCATCCTCATCAGAATCCATATCATTATCATTATCCAAATCGAAATCCGCCTTTTGAACTTCTTTAAACTTTCCCTTTTCCCTATCCACCGGCTGCCATCTCTGCATCTTATAACTATCACTCTGTATACCCTCTCCACCCCTCATCCCCATCCCCATCCCCATCCCCATCCCCATATCCAAATCCAAATCCGAACCCGAATCATCATCACTATCATCTGCCCCGTCATCCGAATCAAAATCCGGCGTCAGATGCACGACCTCTCTATCTGCAGAAGCAGTGCTTGACGAACTCGACCCGGAGTGCGTGGTTAAATGCTCATCTGATGATGTCTTAGGAAACACATGTTGAGGGTCTCGAAGCGCCATTTCGGCGCATGAGAGGCATGCGACTGACTGCGAGTACGAGGAGCTTGCGACCAGAGGGTGTTAGACTGAGGGGAGCCAGCCAGTGGTAGCCAGACTGAGGGTGCCAGAAACAAGAGCTCGACAAACAGCGTATCAATCTAAAAGCCACAATCCATAATCAACATCTCCAAATGAGTTATTTAAATTTAAACAATTCAACAAAATACTCCATATCATTTCATATCACCATTTCGTTTCATTTCATCTCAATCATCTCCTGTACTCGTAATTGCGATGCATTCGGACACCTCTACTAATTTCAGTGAAACCCCGAATTTGGAATTTGTGGGGGTGGTGAATGAATGTACCGGCTTGGCATTTTCGGTACGCTGAAGCAACTGAGCTGACTGAGCGGAGTTAAGAAGTAGGTGGAGTGAGGTTTGATTGATGATTTAGATGGATGTATGGCAAGATATATCTCGCATTGCTAAGGAGTGTTTTTTCTTGAGGGATAGAAGTTATGTGTTTTCTATGCTAAATACCTGTAATGTTCTTAGAATTTATTTTTCTAACACGAAGCTTTATCCAATTTATTATGTTACATGTACGTACTCCTATGTCCAACAATTATCTAACTCGATCCCAGTTTTCAAAGCATAAATAAACGCAGGGAAAATTCCATTCCTAGGAAATGTATAGCATCTCTTGAATGTGATCAAAGGCTTGACGACTCCAAGGTAGTAGGTATAATCCTACAATTGGATATCAAACCTTGATAGATCAAACATTCCACAGTTATCTTCGTAGTTGTGTCTTCTTCGTATCAAAATTTCGACTGGTCCCGACTCTTTATCATGGATTTACTATGCCTCTGGTTATATCATATTGACATGTGTGAGCTTCTAACCGTGACTCTTCAAGTTTACCCATTCATTAAAGCCCATCATCCTCGCCCCCAAATATAAATCCAGACCTTCTTCCCTCCTCTTGTTGTCCCCTCTCTTCCACGCTTCCTGGTGTACAAGTAGGTAGTCCGATTCGAATTTGAATTTTAGTAGAAATTTGATGTTTCAACCCGAGCTGATCAGATTTCAGTGATGAACATCACACAAGACCTTGAAGTTGAGATTTTGAAAAGTGAATGGACGATGATAGGTTTCTCATACGAAAGAGAAAGAGACTCGTGTATGAAAATGGAAATATAAAGCCCAAGGATAATTTTAACTGGGAGGGTGGCGCTGATTTCGGGCGAATGATGAATTTGACGAAAGTTTGCATATTCAGAAAAGTAATGTTTCGACGAGGTAAAAAGTTGTTGCTCATCAAATGAGGAGTTCGTGAATCCCTTTCGAATAATGAGACAGAACAGATCAAATTCATCACAAGAGTGTCTTAAACTTCGGTTTGGTGTGCTCCGTAGTTCTCTGCAAAGATATTGGGGGCCATGTTGTAGTTTGATAGTTATCGAAACTCCTGTATCTTCATTGACTACTCCTTGTGACCTATTTGCCCGACAAGCTTTGAACGGAAGGGAACGGCAAAAATTTGACAACTTCATTTTGCAGTTTGACGAGTCTATACGATCTAACATAACTTAGGAAGCATGATCATTTTCAAGATTGTCGGCTTTCGTCCTCAGAATCATCATTGGGTCCGTTGTAACCGCCACGACCAAAGTTCCAAGAGACCGGTGAGAAGCGAGTGTCAGACATCAAGAGAGTGATTGTAAACATTATTAACAGGGTGGATTTGTTGCCTTGTGATAAGGAGCTTCCTCGACATGATATAAAAGTCTTCAATTGTTGCAGGATCGCATACCTAGATGTTCTTGCCGTGCCGCAAGGGCTAACACGGGCTGCCATCTTCAAGTTGGAAACAGTCAGGGAAGAGACGTTCTTTAAACTCAGGTCCCAAAATTATATTTTGATAGAACATCAGTCAAAAACCGCTCAGCATAATTGCTTATGAGCAGCGAAGCAACATCTCGTGTCATGGAATCGAACTCTCAACATAATGCTGCTGAGCATTTCTCCTTATGTCACAATCAAGATTAGAATTGCCTCGTATTGATAATGTTGAGATAGGAAAGAACAAAGAGTATGCCAATCATAAGATTGCTCTTGTGTATGGAAAAAGCGTAAGTAAGAAAGTCCGCAGGAGGCAATCTTTAGAAGCTTAAAGTCCCAGTCTTTTAATCCTGCCCATCGGGAAGCTATGAGAAATCCACATAAATTTTGGATCCTCTTTCGAATAAATAGAGAAAAGCTGTAATAGCAAAGTCAATCATGGTCTAAGCAAACAGAAATAGACATGTTCTGGAACGGAATGGAAACCATTGAAACTTCGACTCGTTCTCCGAGCGATCCGCAAAATAAAGTGCAGGAAGAGCTATAACCAAGGCAATACCGCCTCCAGCACAAATTTCCTTGCAAAGTTAAACGCAAATAACCTACATAGCAATCTGTGTGTAAAAGATGTTTGTTAATGTGTGCAACATTACACCGAGAGTTATGTGCGCCTGAGCGTAAAACAGTGCGTGTTTGGCACACATCTTTGGTCGCTTGGAATCTTTTACCTTGTGATTGAAGTATCTTGTTGTCATGATATATGAGTTGGGATCCTCGGGAAATAGATGAAACAGAAGTACCAGATTCGACTTTGTGTTCTACATTGTTTATGAGAGGTAAGAATTGACGATGAAGAAAGCACAAGTTGAACTTATAATTAGTCGTAGAACATGATCCATGAATGAGCCATGAGGAGGTGGAGTGATAATGCGTTGGATTCGCAGTGAGAACGAGTGTGAGATGGGTTATTGTCGATATCTTCCCAGCCGGTTCATTGCCCTTTGATAGCTTCTTGGATCGCATGGATGAAGTCGACAGCCGAAGTCTTGATCGATTGCATATACATATGCTCGCGACGATGGATTGAAGATTGCTTGATGTTCGGATCTGAACGCATACCATGCGTAGGTATGATTGATGATTGATGATTGATGGTTGACGATTGATAATTGTTGTGCTTTGGATCTTTCCCCAGATTCTTTCCGCTTTCTGGTTGAGTGGATGGAGTTGATTAATAATTATCTAGTCCCAACCTAGCAGGAACTAGCAATTGCCCACATGTGAACTTTAACCTTAAGCTGGGAAGGTTAAGGGAGTGAAGACTGAAAGCAGAAAGGAGAGAAAAGGAAAGGAAGGAACAAGCCGAAAACAATACTGTACGTGAAGAGAGATCCGAGTGACGTTTAGTAACTTGAACGATTCAATCAATTCAAATACTAAACTTTTGATTTACTTGATTTGGAGGTTTTACGATGAACAGACATCAAGATTGATCGACTGACTGTATTCATTGATCAATACATATCTACATACCTACATACACATACTCACTACATACTCACTACATACTCACTACATACTCACTATATACTCGAAGAGAAACAGCAACATTCGATACCTTCAAGTTCTCAATCACAAAGAATCAACAATCAATGGATCCCCAACTATCATACCAAGAATAATCCAATTCATGAAAGCCAATCAATTTTGTCCAAATCAAAGTCCTAAATATTGTATTTGGTATGTATTTGTTGATAATTCTCCCTTTTCCTTCTCCTTTTCCTTCTCCTTCTCCTTCTCCTTCGCATTCTCTTCTCCCTTCTCAAACTTGACGTTCCTCTCCTTAACTCTTCTTCATATATAGACAGCAGACATTTCGCAAATACTTGGAATACCTTCATTTCCACTTTCAGCTCATTCAGACTAAAACGATACTTCGTACATAAAAGAAACGGCTTTCCCCAGATATATCAATCAATCACCGTCTTATTCCGCCTAAAGCCGTGGATCCCCCCATTTTCACAATACATTTTACATGGGGCATTAGATGCTAAGATACCCCGTTTCCACTTCTCATCCTGCACCTCAGAAACAACCCAACCCAACCCAACCAATCCAATTCATTCGCCATAATGACTTCGACATCGGCCGCAGGTCATAGACTTGATCCTATTCAAACCACAAACTTGTCATTAAATACGGCTCCAGTCGAGATGGATGAACTTGACACCTCGAAAAATTCAAAAGTTGTCTCAGGAACGTCGGGTCTATTAAATGATATTTCCATTCCGGAAACATCTCCAATAACATCCGATTATCCATCCTATCCATCCGAATCCTCAGTTTTACCCACAACAACAACAACAACAACAAGAAAAACAACAAATACGACGACAGAGATGGTGGACTCATCAAAACAAAATGCCTCTGTTGGAGATGGGAGTTCAACATCACAAGAAGCATTGACCGCACAACCCGTTACGAACGAAGAAACCTCATCTATTGATCCTGCGCCTGCGCCGCCACCAACAATGTCGAAAAGCGAAGGTAAAGCCCCTGCCACCGAATCATCCTCCGACGCTCAAGAATCTTCAACTTCGCGACCACGAATGAATTCAGAAGCCATCGGTCCCTCTATTGATATCACCAAAACGCCACCACCACCTGCTGATGGAGGGCCCAGAATCTTGATTACCTTGCTACTTACGTCTGGCGCGCGCCATCCATATAAGATCGATGAGAAATATCTGACCAAACGCTCTGTTGCGGTACCCGGTGTCACAGAAAGTGGAAAGAAGGATCCTCTTACTATTAGTGTATATACGCTCAAGGAGTTAATATTAAGGGAATGGAGAGACGAATGGGAAACAAAGCCGAGTAGTCCAAGTAGTATACGATTGATATTCTTTGGGAGGCTGTTGGATGATAAGGACCCGTTGAAAGGTATGTTTTGACGATTTACAATCTACATGTCCGAGTGCCTTGACTTGATATCAGAGGGCACTCGAAATTCTTGGTTCAACACATTTCTATGACAAGAACTGGGATTTGTCAATGTTGCAATATACTTAGCTAACACCCACTTCTAATAGCATGTAAATTCAACCCCGAAACATCAAACGTGGTACATATGACTATCAGACCCCAGGATATAGTCGACGAGGAAGATGCGTCAAAAGCGAAATCCATGGGTCGAGGAAGAGGAGAAGATGGAGAAAGCAATGCTGGATGCAGATGTGTTATTCTGTGAATCCAACTATTCAAAAGTCGCCATTTTCGTACAAACTACAAATTATAAACTCGAATTCTGTCTATGGAAAGCGTCGAAAGGGGAATCTATTTGTATACATGATTCTCCAATTCATTGAACAAAGATACAGCCAAACACATACATGAACCCAAGTCACCCAACAGAATGGGCACATCACGAGCGAGAAAATGGCGTTGCGGGTTCAATTTGATTGAAGGGTGACTTTCCCCCTATTTTGCTTTCTTTATACGGTTTATCGAGCGTTTTTCAAATAAAAGGGTCATAGCATCATATCGGATGTGGAGCTTTGTTAATACAGGATTTGAGCAGGTGGAGGCGGACTGGGCGAGAACGGGAGCGGGTTGTATGTTGTGTTGTGTTGTGTATAATAAGATGGATGTGTGATCATATATGGATTTTAGGACATCAGGAAACTGCGCATGAAGTGTGAGAGACGGCGGTGGGGTGAACAGAGAGAAGATTGGCGAATTGATTTTTTTTGATTGATTTGATTGATAGCGAGCGATATGGTTAGCGTTTGGGAAAGGTGAAATATTTGAAAGGGAACTTAGGAATTCGTTAGGAACAATACAGCACAGTTGATGTTCTGGATTGCAGGAGCGAATATTTATTTGCTTGACTTGACTTTTTAGATGAGGGCTTCTGAGATACTTTCTGATCACATTTCATCATGTTACGGAGAAGTTGTGGTCTGGTAGGGTATGGTATTCTTCATTCAGCCTTATCACATCTTTGAATTTGGTATTTGCGTGATACGAAGATGAAAATACAAGCAAGCAGCTCTCTTCTTTCCTCCTCTCCAGGTGCACATCTATCATTCATGAATTTCATTCTCATTGCAAGATGAACTTATGCATCCTTCAAACTCGATCGCTTGTATTAAATCCATCTCCACATCCCATCCAATCATGATTCAGAGTCAGGATAGAGAGATAGAGGTCTAACATCTAATTTAGAAACCCATCTTGACCTTCCTCTCCACTTCCTCGTGGAAACCGGGTAATGTCCTTGTCTCATCGCCTTTGAATACATCTTCCCAGCTAATTGTCGTGTCGGATCCTCGTAGAATTTCTTCGTGGAGACCTAGATTGATAGATATTAGCTTTGGATCTTTGGCATTGTATTGTATCTTTAGTTCCATTCGCAGTTGATCTTCCATTTGCCATTCTCGCAATGCTTTATTGTTCTCTAGAACGTATCACATAGTTTCCCAGTATATAAAAATCCAAATAGAAATAAACACATACCCGGGCCACCACCTCCAAGCGCAAGCGGTCTCCATTCTCCCTCCCTCGTAATCTTCAATTCCATACCTCTACGGATAGGTTCGCTCATACCAAAGGTGCGACGTAGAGAAGCCATCTTGAGGGATTCTTGCGTGGATTCCCATTTCTTGAGACGGTTTTCGAGGGGGTGCGAGGAGTCGGGGAGGGTGGAGAGCGAGGAGCTTTGGGTTGGGCCGACGCCGTAGCGGAGGGTGTCGTGGAGACCCGGGGCGGAGGGTGCGCCGAGGGAGGCGCCTTGGAGGTGCGTGTGCGTGCTGGTGTGAGAGGCGGAGGGGACGATGCGCATTGCCTGTGGGAGAGGGGGTTAATTTGGAGCTTTAGGTAGGGAAGGACAGGGAGAGGATGGATGTTGGGGATGTGGGTGTGTGGGTGTGTGTGTACATCGATGGATGAATGGAGTTAGAGATGCGAACTTACCATGATGAATTATTTTTCTTATTTAAATTTAAAGATGTAGTAGAGTAAAGTGTGTGAATTGTCAATTGCGGAAAAGAGTTGTAAGTTTGAAAGTCCCCTTTGACAATTGTGGTTGGAAAGCTGGATTCTTGATGTATTATGATGGAGGAGCTGTTTATTGTAGAGCTTCAGGCTGCTCAATGGAAGACGTGTAAGCGCGAAATAGAACGGGCCGGAATTAAGCGCCGCTAAGGTTTTGATAAGGATGCTTGGTATCTGTCTATCAGCTTTATCGGAAAAATTACTGAAGAGGAAGAACAACTTTAAATTCACACTTTCATTCAATCCAATTGATATTTTTGAGTGTATTTGGAGTGTCGATTGAATTACTGTATCATAGTGAGAACAAGTATTCCGTTTTCTGGTTATTCAATTTATACTCAAATTACCTACAAATACTAACTTGTAGTAATAAGTCTAGGTGCAGGCTTTAATGGTGGATCATCAAAAGCTTTCCCCGCGTTCCGGGGTCGGCTCTCTTTCCCTTTTTCATAAGTGACTCAATTCTTTTCTTCAAGATGGAAACTCCAATCATATCAAGACGCAATGGGGAGACTGATGATATGGAATCACAAGGCTTTGCCGCTGCGTCGATATGGCACAAGCACAAGCACAAGGACAACTCATCCACCAATCGTTAGGATCAACAATGGCACATTTTATCGACATCATCCGAATTCGAATCATCATGTTCCTGGACATACGAATCCTGCTTTATTTGAGAAATTAAATTTTGAGATACCTTCATTTTCGGAAAAGGAGAAACATTGGGCCATACTTGGAGCTTCATCATCTGGGAAAACTACATTATTGCAGATTCTAAGAGGAGGTCTTTTATGTATTCCGCCGACTGCGCGATCATACCCATACCTTAGCAATGATGCCTCCAAGCCACGAACTCCGACCAAGGCGATCAAATATGTAGGGTTTGATGGGGAACAAGGGTTAGGAAAACAGGCTCCGAAAAGTGCATATCTGAGTGCGAGATATGAGTCGAGGAGAGAGGATACAGATTTTAGTGTATGGGATTATTTACAAGGGAATACGGAACTCAATCCTTCGACGAACGTAGATGGTAATGGATTTAATCCTGAGATCCTCGTTCGTGTGATAAATGATTTACGATTGGGGGAGTTGTTAAATATGCCGGTATCGAATCTGAGTAATGGACAAACGAGAAGATCGAGAATTGCGAGAGCGTTGTTGGAGAATCCGGAAGTGTTGCTTTTGGATGAACCTTTTATGGGATTGGATCCTCCTACGTTGTTGACTTTGAGTCCGATGTTGCATCGATTGGCTAAGGCGAATACTCCGAGACTCGTTTTGTCGTTGAGACCACAGGATCCTATACCGCATTGGATTACGGATTTGGTATATTTGAAGGGGAATTGTGAAGTTGCTTTCTTGGGACCAAAGGATGATGTTTTGGGTCAATTGAGAGATCATGTTGAGAGGAGTGGACAAGGGAGTGATGATTTTAATCTTCATTTGACGCCGTCGTCTTTAAAGGAGATTGGGAGGAAGTTGACCTTGGAGGGGATCGAACAACCTGGTTTTGAGGAAAGTGTGGCTACAAGTGACAATTCCACCGTCACTGCACAGAATATTCCGGAAAACGCAGGTCCAATGAGTCGTGATGGTTACCCTCTGAATGATATTAAGCCACCAGAGACGGGTGAAGCACTCATAGAGATGGAAGGTGCTCGAGTAAAGTATGGAGATAAATCTGTTCTTGGTAATTGGATCGAAACTGTAAATGGTGTCGAAAAAGACGGTTTATGGTGGAACGTCAAAAGAGGTGAGAGATGGGGTATTTTTGGTCCAAATGGTTCTGGAAAAACAACTCTTCTATCTCTGATCTGTTCTGATCATCCTCAAACCTACTCTCTTCCCATCCGTCTATTTGGAAAGTCTAGATTACCAGAACCTGGAAAGCCTGGAATATCGATCTTTGATCTCCAATCTAGAATTGGTCACTCCAGTCCCGAGATTCATAATCATATTCCTCGTAATTTGACTTTGAGGAAGGTTCTTGCCAATGCTTGGGCAGATACTTTTATGGGAATACCAAAATTAAATAATGATGCGAATGAACGCATAGATGCAGCATTGAGATGGTTTGAACAAGATCTGAGGTTAGGAGGAGCTACCGCTCAAGGTAAAGAGGACGAATCATTATCGTGGGCTAATGATATTTTGTTTCGCGAAATGCCATTTTCATCTCAAAGAGTAGCACTATTTCTTCGGGCCATAATTAAAGCACCAGATTTGGTTATTCTAGATGAAGCATTCAGCGGTATGGACGATGGTGTTCGTGATCGATGTCTTTTATTCCTAGCCCATGGCGAAGAAAAACAATTCGCACATGTTCAACACGAGATATCCGGTAATGAGACGGAAACCAAAACGAAGAACCTGAGGAGTATTGAATCAAATATCTCAAAGGAAGGGAGAGTAAAGGTTAAAGGATTGAATCAGAATCAAGCACTTCTTTGTATTAGTCATGTGAGAGAAGAGATACCGGGGAGTGTGAGGGAGTGGATTTGTTTACCGGAAGCTAATACGGGGAAGGGAGCGAGGTTTGGAAGGTTGGATGGGCCGATTGAGGGGGATTGGAGGAGATGGGGGGAGATCTGGGGGTTGGGGAGTTAGTGGTTGGGAAGTCAAGGGGAAACTTTGGAGGAGATGTAAAACAAAAGGGAAAAGAAAAATTTGAGATGATGTAATGAAATCGAAGAGTTTAAACTTTTGAATAATAAGAGAGAGATATCATATGACAGTAGAGATTGGTCTGTTGGTGCTGTCTGTGTAGAGTAGGATGGAAAGATATTCCTACCAAACAATCAATTAATCTTCAACAGATCCTACAAATCTTTGTCTAAATCCATCTTATCTCTCTTCAGTCAAACTTCGAAAAATACTAGGCAGGCATTATTTTCAAGCTTAGGAATGAAAGTCACATTCTCGCGAATCGTTCAAGTCATTTGCTGATAATAAATCTTTTCTATTTGTAATTCCAGTCTCCGATCACACCCCATCATTTCTCAGTAAATCTCCAATTCATCCCCAATCACCAACCTCATTCACTCCCTACCAAACTCCCCTACAACTCCCCTTTCCCCTCCAACTCCTCCACCCACCCCATCACCATACTCGTCTCCACCCTCTTCGTCCAATCCGGATCCACAAAACTCCTCTTGACAATCCCATCTCTGCCCACCAAAAACGTCGCTGGGACCGGCACCTCCATACTCGCATCTCCATTGCTCTTCTCAAAATCATGTCCCAGTTCTTCAAACACTGGTCGCATCTCCTCCGGCTGCTGAAATAATATCCCGAGTTTTCTCGCTAGGACATTTCCCACATCGGAGAGGACTTCGAATTCTAGCTCATGTTTTTCAACGGTGCTGAGGGATTGGTCCGGGAGTTGGGGAGAAATGGCCAGGAGGGTTATATTGTGGGATTTGAAGAAGGGGAGGTGGGTTTGGAGGTTGTGGAGCGCGAGGTTGCAGAAGGGACACCAGGAGCCGCGGTAGAAGGTTATGAGGAGGGGGGTGATGAGGACGAGGGTGGGGATGGAGATGGGGGTGCTGAGGGCGTTGGGGAGGGTAATTGGGGGGAAGGGAGAGCCGGGTTGTAGGGCGAGAGTGGGAGAGAAGGTTTGTTGGAAGTGGGCGTTGGCGCGGTTGATGGGGTCTTTTACGTGGGAGGGCGCGGTGGCTTCGAATTGAGTGGTTATGGCGGTTAGTTGGGAGGCGAGAGACATGGTTGGAGATTTGGGTGTGTTTGTTTAATAGTATGATATGGTGTGGTTGGTGTGATAATTTGTGCTGCTGCAATTCTTTGAAGTGGTGATGTGATGTCGGAGGGCTAGAAGTATTGAAGATAAATGTAAAGATGCTTTTTTCTCTATGTTCATCTCTTCAACGCGGATCTCATACATCTTTTATAACCCCTCGAAATCAAATCCATACTCGTCATTAGCCGTAGATAGATAAACTCTCAATTCATGATCAATCGAGGATTGAAAATCCCTTACCCGATCGATCGTTTATCCAATGGGAGACGAGTCCTTTTCGGGTTGCTCTTGGGAAGAGCTGACAGATCTCGTATTACTATTTCGAGGGTGTAAGAACTGGGGTAGCTAATTTAATGGCTTGTCAATTGTGATTCCAAATGCGGGCTTGATTGATTGTTGGTTGTGAAATCTTACATGTGTGTAAGCGTATTGTCGTATTTTCGGTAAATGTCGTTGAGTATTACAAAGCGCAATAGTATGGGATGCTAGGTAACGTCTAACAGGCACACATTGTGTGCTTGTAGAGATCCGGAGATAGAGTAAGCCGGAGGTAGGTATGATCTTGCATTTCTAAGGTGAATGATGACTCATTGGATCATAACATCTACCTAGTAGGTGCCATGCATGAGATCGCCATCGTAACTCATAGAAAGAAAAGGCCCACTCTTGTGTGAAGTATTTCTAATCGAGCTCAAACTTTTTTACATGAGGTCTAGTCACTATGTCGCAATTTGTGATGCTCAAGACTAGTCATACTTTGATGAGATCTATATGCAAAATCAATGACTAATCCCTTGATCATACAGAGAATCGATCTTAAAAAATGCCCTCACACGTCATATGGTTATGTAAATACACCCTCCCTTGGACATATTCAGATGCGTCTACCACATCCCACGCATCGCCATCCAAGTATCAAGATCTGTAGGCCATTCTTGATGCATTCTTAACCACGGATTATTCTCTCCCCGTAAATAGTTCCAGCCATATTTATAATTTTCTCCTCTCCGATGTGCACTTTGCCAAAAACTATCGTATTCTTGTCGGAATCTCTGCATCATTTCTCAGCCACTGATAACTCTATGCACAAAAGGATACTTACATCAGGCCCGCTATGATTCCAATCTTTGAACTTGGAAGGATAAATACGTCGACCTTGATGATAGGCCTTGTAAATTTTGTTATATTCATCCAGGGTTAAACGTGGATATTCCCATGCATGATTTCCGATTCCATAACCGTTCCAATCTTGAGCTTGTTCCCATTCAACATATTTCCGTGTATATGGATCATATCTTTTGAAATCTCTTGAGAATGCTCCGGTTACTTCTTGCTTATGCTTACGTTCATCGTGGTAGGAATCCCTGATGGGGAGTCAGCTAGATCAAGTGTTATATTTTCATACCAGAACTCACCAATTTTGCCATCGATCAGGGCTGATTCTGCTTCCTTGCTTACCCACAAAGATGTCTGGCCCCTTGTTCGTCACAACGTTGTTGAGCCTTCCGAGAAATCCTCGGTGACCACGACCTTTAGGACCATCTTTTGGCCAAACGAATTGTAAATTCTTCTTCTTTTCTGGCATGGTAGAAATAAGAAATGGTTTCTGAAGTATAAAACAACGAAACGAATGTAAGAAGAGTATGGATAAATCATCAAAGACCGTCGCATGATGACTACATATAAAGGCTGCTAGACATAGGTTTGACTCGGTTGGACCGAACACTCTCAGAGCTTGCTCTTTGAACTGTTGTCAAATCTATAAGGCTCACTTGACCAGCATAGCAGAGCATAGCAAATTAGATAGTTTGTGAGGGTTTACCAGCAATTGGAGTCATAGCCTCCATTTTCTCCGCCCTAGAAAGGAGTCATATTTGGTCATGTTCATGACAGCAATTTCTGAACAGTCCATTGCTTGTTCTGCAAACACTATATATATAGAAAGGCAATCTTAGATGGCGGGGAGAACTGGCAGTAGTTTCACAGGATTAAGATGAATAAAGAGAACAGCAGATCCGACATTTTATGACTAGACAAGCAGCAAACTACTGGTATGCCATCTTGTCATACCTTTCACTGGAGAGTATGAGTAATATCTGTATGCCATATTGTACTACTTGGTATAATGAACCGCCATGCAAAAGTTTGATATCTCTCATCATGTCATGGTTATTTTGCTGACAGTCCAAATCAGTGACCAAAAAGAATTGAGTGAGACCCAAGCTCAAGTCAAGGTGCTCACACAGATCGAAGCACGTGAGAAACAAACGGGCTGGCAAATTTGTGGGGCGGAACGCGGTTGGGGTCGGGGTCGGCAACACATCGCGTCTACCATACAAAGGACAAGAAACTTTAGATGAAAGTAAACATCACAGTCAACAACCTGTTTTCTTAGAGATTCTTCTTGGATCCCAATCGATCGAGCTCAATCATTTCCAAAGACTTTAGATGGGGAAATAGGGGAGCAAAAACTTGGACAACAAATCGATTCGAACCTTATATCAAAATACAGGGAATTCGGGAATTCAGGGATCCTGCTGCGCGTCAAATCTCGAACTATCTGCAACATTCACCCCTTAGGAAAAGTAGGACTTGCCCTTAAAGCTATCTAACACCTGTCATACTCGATTCCGAAGTCCTGCCAACGTTCCAAGGCGAATTGCACGATTAGAAAACCACTTTTCTCAGCGATTAGCCACCGTTTGACAACGCATCGGAGTCGCGAAACGAAACATCAACTGGGGTTTATTGGCGTTAATTAGAAGGACTTGATTTGGTTATTTGCATTTCTACAAGGCCGGAGTGACGCTCTGGGGTTTAAGATCGATCAATATTGCAGCATTCACTACGAAAATCTGGATTTCATCACGCACAACAATTTGGCGACATAGACCGACTCCCCCTCGTCTACGTGGTGCGCGCTGCATTCGAAATGACCTGAACTGCAAGCGAAGCCCAGGCATACCGTCTTGATCGCATATTCAACTAGCGCAAGGCACCAGTTCAATACCAGAATCTTGAGACTCGGAGCGCAATCAACTAAGACTCGAATTTGTTAGGAAGAGAGAAGGTGACGGAGAGAAGCAGAGCAGTAATAGTCTGTTTATCTTGCCGTAACAATGCCAACAATCAATGTCTTGCCGACTTCTGCTGCTGAATTGCAGGAAATTGCAGATATCCTTGCGAAATCAAGGAAAGTTGTAGTTGTGACAGGGGCTGGAATCAGTACGAATGTCGGAATACCTGTATGTGGGCTGTAACCTCCATTACCCTTTGTACTACTGCTAACCTGGCAAATAGGACTTCCGTTCGGAACATGGACTTTATTCCATGATACAAGCCCAATATGATGCCGCACTGGAGAATCCACCTTGGGAGATTAATGATTATGATATTGATGATCGACCGAAGAAGAAAAGACGTGTCACGGAGCGCTATTATTACGAGCTTGTGACAGCTGATGGTGTAAGGGTAGAGCTGCCACCTGAAGAACCATCTGAGTTTCCCTCTCAGCAACCCTCTGAGCAGTCTTCCCAGCAGTCTTCTCAGCAATCCTCTCAATCGCCATCAAAAGAACCTTCAGCGCAACCAGAAACCCCTGCTCTAGCTCCTTCGAGAAGAAGTTCTCGCAGGCATACATCTTTGGTGCAAGGTCATTTCAAAAGTGAATCTCAGAAACCGAGTGTGGGAACTCCGTCTGCTATGAATTCTAATGCCCCGATCACAAACGAGAATTCAAACAATAGATCCCCAATATTACCCCTGAGGCGCCAAACTCGAAACGCTTCTTCGGTGCAGGACATTTCTACTAAAGAGTCTCCAAACCCAAACTTGAAGGGTTCACCTGCCCAAAATCTGCAATGTTCTCTCTCGCAGGCTACTCCTACCAATAAAGCACATCTGTTGCCCCCGAAAAGGCAGACTTCTAGGTCTCGAAATTCTCTTTTGGTGCAGGATGATATCAAGATTGAATCGCCGAAAGCCAGCATCAAGGGCAAGTCTTCCAAACTTCGGACTATTCGCGCCTGTGATAGATGTCGAGTTCGAAAGATAAAGTGCGGTGATATCCGACCAAGCTGCGAACCATGTGCCAAATCCAAAGTTGAATGTATTACCACCGAAAACCTCAATCGGCGAGTATCTCAAATTGAAGATACTAAAATTCATGAAGAAATAAATCCTTCAACGGAAATGGAGCTCGATTCGGAAGGCTCCAATACCGAAGAAAATGCTTCACAACAGTTACTTCAAGAATCGAGTGAATATTCATCTCAATATTCATCGGAATATTCTCGGTTGCCCCAGGACTTGGAGTCAGTTGACAATAAACAAAAACGAACTCGACGCTCACTCCGGACAAGCTCTCCCTTATCTACAGCAAAAGAAGAAAATTTCAACACAACAAGAATTCCTTCCGATTCTTCATCAAATTCACTACGACGTGAAAGTAGTCTTCGATCAACAATTCAAGCCTCAACTACCGATCAAAAATCTATTCCTTCAAAATCACGAACACTTCAAAGGTCTTCTTCACTTATACCTTCTGTCGCCAATTCAATTATTGAAAGCAAAACTTCACGACAGTCAGTGAGATCACGAGCTGATAGTTTACCTCCACAACTTACAGAACAATCCTCTACACTTATCAGAAAATCCTCCCGAAGAAATACACCTGCATTTGAATTTTCCCATAGCAAACTCTCTTCGACCACAAATACTGAAAGTGTATCTACAACTGGCAGCGCCACACCTTCAGTCTCATCAAGTGATTGTAGTAGTAGCAACAACAACAAACGAAATTTGTTGACTGAAGTCAGTTCCGTCACAACTGCTTCCGAATTTGAAGAACCCCCTTCACAATCATCTCAATCATCTTCATCACGTACATTACCAAATCTTAAAGGAAAAGATCTATTTGACTCAGTCATTTGGTCCGATCCTTTCTCAACTTCTATATTTTACATGTTCATCTCCAATTTTCGTCGCAGAATAAATAACGATGTCAAGTCTACCACCACTACCCACCAATTTATCCGCTCTCTCAGAGACAACGGTCGCCTCGTCCGGAATTACACACAAAATATTGATTGCCTCGAAGAACGCGAAGGACTCACTACGGATCTCGAACTTGGCGCGGGTGATCGCACGCGTTTTCAAACCAAAATCCAGGGCAAATCGCTCACAAATGGAGCCGATGAACGAGGAGGAAAAGAAACCCCTGCTGCAACTGGAGTAGAGTGCGTTTTGTTACACGGGTCACTTCGTAAATTGCGATGCGGTGTATGCTCGAAACTTACCAGTTGGGATGAGGAAGATAGGGAGACTACTACAATGGCTGGGTCTGCTCCTGATTGTCCTTCTTGCATTTCAAGCTCTATATCACGTCAAGACAAAGGTCGCAGAGGTTTGGCTGTGGGGAGATTGAGGCCTGATATTGTTCTTTATGGAGAAGAACATCCGCACGCAAATTTGGTAGGACCGTTAATCATTCACGATCTAAAATTAGGTCCAGATGTCCTTCTTATTCTTGGTACTAGTTTGAGAGTTCACGGGCTCAAGATTATGGTCAAAGAATTTGCACAAGCTGTACATGCCAGAGGAGGAAGCGTCATTTTCGTTAATCAAACAAAACCACCCGAAAGTCAATGGGGTGATGTGATCGATTATTGGGTAGAATGGGATTGTGATGCATGGGTGCTGGACTTGAAAAAGAGACGAAGTGATATCTGGCAGCCATATACAAATGTCACACAAAACGTTGCCAGCAAGGATCCGGCGCCTTCCAAGCAGCGTAATCCATCTGATAAGATACCACCATACCGTCCACAGTGCAAGAGAGACGATAAGACCAATGCAGTTCATTTCACATTCAAGATCCTTGACGATCTTCGCAAACTCAAGGATGCCGAAGGGAACGGATCAGTACGGCCGATGTATTGGGTGCCTTTCGATCGTAGGCCTTTCAGAGCTTCCACTGGACAAATACCAGAAAATAAACCGATTAAGAAGTCTCGAGCTTCAGTATTACCCATTAGAAAAGGTCGAAAATCTCTCCCAGCTTCATCATCCATCAAAGTTCCCATAACTTCCACAAGTAGCAAATCCCAAAGACGGAAAACTATCCCCGACAACACTCCTGCGAAAACGTGTCCAACTGAACCACATCGCAGTGGCGCCTGGCTTGAAGACTCTCTTTTGAAAATCGTCCGCAGACTCACCAATAACACGCTTTCCGAAGACCTTCTAGAAGACTTACGCGGCAGAGTACCATTTGAACAACTTGCTGAAAATGTACCAGGAAACAGCATTGGATACAAGAGATCATTCTCGGATGTTGGCATAGAAGGTGCGTTGGAAGGAATTGGTCTACCAAATATGCGAGGACTGTTAGATTCTAGTATTAGTATAAAAGGAATGAGTTTGAGTAGTTTGCCTCCCACTGGATCTCCGGAATCAGGGAGGAAAGATTTGGGCAAAGGAAAGGGAAAGACGGTTGACAGAGGGGAGAGGGAGAGGGCTAGTTTGCCGCTTGAACCGGCTTTGGAAGAGGATCGGAATACCATTGTGGTGCAGTCGAGACAAGTACAGGCGATGAAACATTCTTATGGAACGAGAAGTAAACGAAATAGTATGGAGATCAGTGTTGAGGATATGGGTGTCAATGGGAGCGGGAATGCTGGAGATACAATTGTCGTTCTCAATAGGGATAGAATGAGCATTGGAGCTGTTTGTAATGATAGATGAATGATCGATAGTTGAATTGCTGGACTGGAATTGCTGGAACTGTATACATTGGACTGGACTGAAATGGAATTGATGGATTTACTGGATTAGCTAGGGTTTAGCCAGGGAGGAGAATATATAAAGAGACTGTTTTGTGCTTGGTCAATGGATGGAGGGGAGGGGAGGGGAGGGGTGTAGAATATGATACCATGATTTGAGCACTCTTTGTAAGAATTACTTAAGATGAAATTTGGGGTGATGTATATGTATGTGTATTTGTATTTACGAAGGTACATAGTGAAGTAATTCATTTAGCTGGGAGAACATAATCCCAAATAGACAATGTTAATGATGTGAAATAATACGCGTAGGTTTGTAAATGAGGGGATATCACTTGGTTCGTTATGGTAGATGATATATGGTCATCTGCAAATCATCGGATTTGATAATTTTCACGTTATTTACTAATATAGGTAAATTTGGTACAATAATAATGGGACGGAAGTAACATGATATAGTGGTTTAGTATTATGGCTCGATCGAGCCCATCTCTTGTCAATTATATTGAGGACGCCGTCCCTTTATATCTCAACCAAACTGCATGTCAGTTACATTCAGATTTGGGCTGTACGGATAATAACACGAATCACAGAGTGAGTTCTGGTCTTTTTTTTTCTGGCTTTGTTTTTGTACGGATTATAATAGTCTCTCTGAGATAACATATAACGTATTCACTAAACTCAACTCCCCTCCACCAAATCACAAAGTCCAACTCCAGACTTCTCCATACATAAGCCGAATTACCATTCCTTATTCTCCTCCTCACAGAACCACAAAGTCTCTATAAAGCCCTCTTTCCAGCCATACTTCCATTAGCACTCTCCAAAACTCTCTTACCCTTCATCCCAGAAGAACTTCTCATCCTCCTCCAGATCTCCCTCTTAAACCCTTCAACCCAATGCCCCGTCCTTCCAAGCGCATCTCCATTTTCTTTTACCCTTCTCAAGAGAAATTGTAGACACTGCTGCGTAGATCCCCATACCATACATTTGTACGCTTTTGGTTTTAATGCGTGTGCTAGTCTCATTTTCTCCTCTGAATCCACAAGAGTTTTGGAAGCTAGTGATGCACTGTTCGAGTCCTGGGATTCTTTTCGACGGAGTTGTAGTAAGCTGCAACTAATCTCATCAGCCATTCCTTGTAGTTGTCCAAACGCCAATTCGATTGTGGATTTTCCAGATAGGATTCGTGAGCTCTGGAGTGTATAGGCTTTTCTAATACTCTCTTCATTGTGCGTGGCGAGGAATAATTCTGCGCGCGGATATGCGTTTTCTTTTCCCATTCCCTCTGTCTTTTCTCCAATTGCGGTATTCTTCTCGACATCCATCCCAGGATACGATAAACTTAACAAACCAGCAGCAATCCCATTATACGCCTCGTGCGTTTCTTCAATACTTCCCCATATCAACTCCCGCTTCTCGGTAGCGATATACGCACCCCTGACTAATTTTATGCCCAGTACCCAATTCTCTTTCTGGGCGAGCTGTAAACATCTCAGGATATTCGATGGGGTGGATTTTAAATACGCCTGCATGGTTGTGTAGAGTAATGCTTGGGATCCGGTATTATAGGTGCGCATGAGATCGATAGTCCATGATTCGATAGTGGGTTGTAAGTCTTGCTGTTCTGCATCGAGCCAGATACGCGCTGATTGGGAGGCGGCTGTGCGGAGGACAAGATGCATGGATTGGAGAAGGAGGGGTGGTGGGGGGAGGGAGTTTTGGAGGGCGTGGAGAACGAGGGGGCCTGCGCCGGAGAATCTAGGGGTGGGAGATTTAGCGGATCTATTTTTGGAATTCGGGAAATATTGATCATGATGTTGATGTTCAAGAGGGGAGAAAGAAACCTACTTGAGCGATAGAAAATCTCCAGGTTGTAGCATAGAAAGTGTACTCATAAGTCCATCTCTCCATTCTCTGATGGCTCTCTCCCCTACCTCTTTGCTCACCCTTGTACATCTCCACCCACTTCTCCCCCAGAAACATTAACTTCCCTTGCATATCCCAATATCACCCCGCTAAATCCCAATCCCTTCATTTCTTTCACCCGAGCTCTCACTTGAGTAGCATTTTCCCCGGCGATGAAATGATCGTATATAAACTTCCGGACAATCATATGTAACACTGGGTTTCTATCGGGATTTAAGATCGTGGAGCTGGAATTTGCGAGTTTGTTGAGGAGGGGAAGGAAAAACTTGATGATTTTGGGGGAGGCAAGAATGGAGGTTATGAGGTAGGACTTTAGGAGGAGAGGAAGCGGCATTATGGAGAGGGGTGGAAGCTCAGAGGTTGGAGAGGTGCTGGAGTGAGGAGGGGTGGGGGTGGGTGTGTGTGGGAACCCATTTTGAGGAGAGATAGTTGAGGTAATGGATGAATAGTGTTTGAGAGATGGTATATGGTATCTCCTTTGTGGAAGTGAAAGAAATCTAGAAGATCGTCGTAAGAACATTTCAATGAAGGTAGGTAGCACTCTCGAGACGAAAGGGAAGACCAGGAGATCGAGAGTCTCAAAGTAAGCATTGTCTGGGTCCTACATAGTATAAACCCTGTGATATATCCGGAAACTATCACTTATCAACCCGATCGCTCTACACAACAGTTGGTTCGTGTATCATCGGGTGTATATTGGCGTGCATCCACCTCGTAATGGCACCTCGACCCCGCATATCGATATCATAGTATTGCCTTATCGGGAGGGTGGGTCCTTATCGTTTAGTTTATTGTGACATTCATGTGCATAAATCCAGAATAGGAATCTGGATTTGAGTGGTAGATGAGTTATAAAGTACAGATCGCCGAGTCGATCATTTAGCTACTCGGTTTCCGTGATAAGGAGTACCGAGGGGGGTATGTCTAGACATCTTATTCTTGAAACAGCCAGGGTAGTTAGTATTAGAAGCGTGTTGGCGAAACTTCTGTTAAGCCACTTTTGTTTGCCGATCATTATCATTCAACTCCATAATGTCAAACAATGTTGAAGAAAACTATAGAGGGATATTCGTAGCAGCTTTTGAGAGACAGAATAAAAATAAAAACATGAACTATCTTTGGTTTCAATCAAAATCTTCGAGTGTATACTCTGAGCTTTTTGGCCAGCCATTATTGCGCCCCTAGGAGATTAGTGTCACAAATCACAAGAAAATATCCGAGGAACTATACATCTAGATCGGTAAAAACTTCGATAAAATCTAGTCTATTTAGACGATTTCTATTCTATTGAAACCCGGGCTGCATCTATCGGATTTATATTCTTTCAGTGAAAAATAGAGCAAGAAACAAATGGCACGAGTGCTTCAAGGCATCCAATCTCAAGCAAAATATCGTGTCGGATCATCCAGCGTCAAACCAGTTCCCCAAAAAGACAAGAAAGTATTTATTTCTTGCCCATATTCAATCCGTGTTGAACCGAATCAATGGTTGCATCACAGTATGTTGATCGGACACCACCTTTCTCAATAGTTTTGAGACCTTGAATCGTGGTACCCTTGGGAGATGAAACCTTCTCTCTCAGAACAGCAGGATGTTCACCATTCTGTATTAACTTTGCGGCTGCGAGCATAGAACCAGCCAAAATTTCAGTCGCCGTATCTCGTCTCATTCCTTCGGAAACAGCACCGTCGAGGATCCCATCAAAGGCAGTAAGAAACCATGCTGGAGTGCAACCAGCAAGGACACCTGCAACTTGGAACACATTGTCGGGTACATATGTATATTGACCAATACTTTGAAAGATCCATTTCATAGCCTCTTCGTATTTTGGAGAAATGGTTTCCGATCCAGTTGAGATAACAGTTGATGATTCCTTGATTTGTGCACCAAGATTTGGCATGCTTCTGACAAAAGCACACCCTTTTGTGTCTGAGCTACCTTTGAACGCAAACTCCTTCAACTGCTCAGTTGTCGACCCTGCCAAAACTGAGATGACAAGTTTGTTTGCTAAAGCATCGCCAACACCGGGAGCTCCGAGAACTTCCTCGGCCATATATGGCTTACATGCCAGGATAATAACATCAGCTAATTGAAAAGCTTTTAAGTTGTTATCATAAAAGACAGCAAGTCTATCTGCAGCCTTGGAGTCTTTTGATGCCGAGTATACTCTGGAAGCTGAAGCTTCTGACTTGGTACAAGCAATAATATGTGAAACTGGTGTGTTATCCCTCGCATCTGGCAATGAATTGGCAGCAAGAATACCAGTAAGAATAGAACTACCCATGTTTCCTAACCTTTGTAAGTAATTTTCCCTATCATATGAATTTTCTGACTCACCACATCCCACCACAGCGGCGACTAAGTTGTTGTTCTTGGTTGAATCTCTGTTCTTGATCCATCTTTCTATGCCTCCCAATGCTGAGTTAGCATTTGGGTCACTGCTGATACCTCCAGATCCGTTTTGCACAGCCATGATGTCAATTATGTTTAGAGGAGAATTGAGATTTTGATGATGTTGAAGCCGAATATCAATTTGAAAGACACCAATTCCACGGAAAATGTGGGGGTCTGAGATTAGTCAGCAAATATCTCTTAGCGTCATATCTCAACGCTTTGACAGCCTTTCCTTTGTTGGATGGCATCGGTGCTTGAAGTTTCCATATATATAGACTTGAGTGATTGATAACGAATGTCATCGATGAACTCGACTATTCACAGGATAGGTTATAATGCATTGCTCTACACAGGAACACTTTTGAGCTTTCGAGAGTTGCAAGGTCTTCCCTTATCTTTTCGCTTTGGACGAGGACATTCAGCTTAGATGCGAGGAGGTAACATATGACACGAATCAAGTTTGTTACCGTTGTATACACATATACTCTCCAGGTCCATTAATGCTCATCACGAATTGTCCCCTGGTTACAAGCACTTACTCCCAACATCTTTTTCATATTTCATATCTATCATACTCAATGTCTATCTCTACACATCCGAGTCAAACGATCCCCAAAATCATACCCTTCAATCTTCATATCAAAAACAAAAATTAGTACAAAAACAAATCAAAATGCTCTCCAGCACTTGCAAACCCACCCGTTCTCCTCCTTCTCTCTACACTCATCTAAACAATACAGTCCTTCTCCATCTTACAACCAAATGACCCCGCTTTTCCTAAACGACAAGACCTAAAATCCTCTTCCTCCAGTAGGCTTCCCAGTACCAACTGGTACGGGAATTACGATGATACTACTACTAACCGGTCCATAGGTATTGACCAGAATGGAACTTGGGGTAGCCTGACCGCCGTTATTGTACACGGTCGTAAATGTTCTTGGAACACTTTCTGGCTTATCAGTGAAAACGGTAGAGGTCTTGACAGGTTCAACAGTGTTGATTATCTTGGTAGGTGGTGTATCTGGCTTCTCGGTAAAGTGCTGAGTTGGTTTTCCGGTGGCAGTCTGAACGGGCCCATCAGGTTTGCCGGTGAAGTGCTCAGTGGGCTTAGCTGTTACTGTTGGTTCGGGTCCGTCAGGTTTACCAGTGAAGTGCTGGGTTGGTTTAGCAGTAGCTGTTTGAGCCGGCTCAGTATCCGGTTTTCCAGTAAAATGCTGAGTTGGTTTTGCAGTTGCGGTAGGTGCAGGTGCTGGATCAGGTTTTCCAGTGAAACCTCCAGTGGGCTTTCCACTTGTACCTCTCTCTTCCAAATCAACTCTCATATCCGCCAATCTTCCCTCTGTCTCCCAATCCAAGTCCAAATCTGCAACGTCCCTATCCTCAAGCTCCTCAACATCCCTCTGGTCCTTTCCCTTCCCTTTAGCCTCTGGATTCTTAGGGGCATGGGTAGTAGAGACCTGACTACTCTGCGCCGGCCCGCCCTCGCCCCCCTTCACTGTCTTCGTAGCATGATCCTGTCCATCTTGTTGCTCACCCTTCGTGGTAACAGGTTCTGGCTTTTGCGTGGGAGCAGGAGTAGGAAAGATGGAAAGTTTGGTAGGGTCAATGATAGGAATAGAAAGCCAAGTAGGTTTGGCGTAGATGTTCTGGTTCTCGGGCACTTTATTTGTGGCTGGGGCACCTTTTGCGGGCTCAGGGTCGGCGAGAGGAAGGGCGAGGGAAAGAGGGGCTGCGATGGCGAGCGCGGCAATAAGAAGGTTACTGTGAAGGAATATTAGTTGGAATTTGTGATGGTTAAGTGCTGGAAATGAAAACGTACTGGTAATGCATCTTGAAGACTGTGCAAGTATAGCGAGATGTGGAATGAACGTGGTATCTAGAATCTGAGGCGAATGAAAGAAGATGTTGATGATCGTGCAAGTGATGAGAATTGGAAAGAGTGGAATGTATTGAAATGAAAGACTGGAGTGTAGTGTAGAGTTAATTCTTCGACAACGATATTTCATTCTACTTATACTTTTCCACAACCACCTAGCCACTTCAAACCTCACTCTTGCGCCAACACTATCACCTCTTCAACTCTTAATCACATCATCACTAATTACATCTCGCATTCTATCTCGTCGTCTCCCACTCGAAATTTCAAGACACTTATTCCTCCTCTCGAATTCCCTCAACGCCTCTCAACTCCTCTCGACCCCATCTGCCACATCAACAGTCTCTTAAAATTAAATCTTGTATCACAGTACGAGGGCCACACTTGGCTCATCGACCACGAAAATCCCACGCAACTTGGCTCATCGACACGTCGATGCATTCAGAAAACTCGTTTCTCACTCAAACAAGAATTCACAAGCTCTATCCAATCTCGAGGACAAAAAGCAGAACATCTGACTGAACCACGAACGAGGCGTTCAACCACACGTTTCAAAATCCTAATATTATTAATCTCCCTTCCTCTTTCCCTCCGCCTTCCCATTCTGACTTTCGTTCTCCCCTCCTCACAAATTATCATTTCTCATCTTTTCATCCTCGCCTAACCCATCCATCTCCCCCTATACCACACCATATCACACCACCCCAAACATTCACCCTCTTCGTATTCCTTATTTCCTCATTTCTTTAGTTCGCAATTTCACTTCCAGCACCAATCTCCCATCTATCAAATTCACTTCAAGTAACCACCAAGTAAGAACTGAAGATCCCTCAGGAATCCACACAATATTCGGTGTTACATGCACCATGCTGACTCAAAACTTGGCGACATGTAAGCAAGCGCAAGCGCGGGCCAAAATGAAAAATAATACGAAACCATAAGGCTATCACGAGATGTGGCTGCTTTGTAATGAAACCCCATTTGTTCTTTATTTTGCTTACTATTTTCTTGGGGTTCTTGGCTTGATAGTTCGATTACTCATTTATGATGGTTTGAATGTGTATGCTTTGGGAGGCTAGTTAGTTTCTGACCATTGAAGGAGAGAGATCGTTAAGTGAATTCGTGCACTCACAATTGCAACTATTATAAACGCGTATCATAGTTCAATATCTTTGGATTATCCCTACGTAACCAATAATAGGTACAATTCTTTTCAATTACTAATACTCAAACGCAACTCTTACTCTGCGCGTTGAAACATATCCGAAGCACTGGGTCACCTCGGATACATAGGAGGCCACGAACTGTTCAACTCCATCTCAACTCTCGAGGCTTCGTATCGAGGTCTCTTGACCAAGAACAAATTCACCGCCCTGATCACCAGGTGTTCGTCTTCCTCTGGTCCGCTCATCTTACGAATTCTCCTATCGAAAACCTTTCGCATCCTTTTTACGGTATCTTTTCTAATTTCCTCACTCTTACCCAACCGTTTCAATAGAAAATGAGCCACCTTGTCCATCTCTGACGGCTCGGGGAGAAGAGAGATTCCAGACGCCGCTCCGTCGATTTCCGATCGGAATTCCTCATGTAAATTCTTAAGCAAATGCATGCATGTAACGTAAGTTCCGTGCCAATCGAAGTACAGAAAGAGAGCTTCTTTTTCCACCAGTCTAGTCATAATTCGGAGAAATTCTACTCCACCCCATTTTCTTGATTTCTTTCCTAAGAAGTCCATTTTCATTCGGTCATTTAGATCTTCAATACAGTTAAAGATATTTCTGGGCGCGTCATCCGAAGGTCCAGGAGAAATTTGGTTCCCGGGAAAGATGTTTTTCAAACTGGGGAGTAACTCATCCAATTTGTCGTTGCATATTGCGTTAATCATTTTTACAAAATCAGCCGAGTACCCATGATGATCACAATCGATCAGCATACAGAATTTTCTGTGAAAGTGTTTGGCAAGCAATGAAGTATGCTGCAATCCTAACGCTGTTGGACCTCGCTTTTGAAACTTTTTCTCAAAGCTCACGACATAGTCATTCGAATTCGAAGGCTCATCGCTTTGATTGAATAATTGATCCACTGATTGCATCAAGATGAGGAATTCCATATCTTTCCACTTGGGATATTCATCCAAATCTTTCAGCGACTCTTGACGAAGTGCGTTGTAAAGATGTATACAGCTTATTGTACTAGGTTCAAAGGCTGTGTTACAATTTCCCGCTTCATGATATCTTATCGTACGACCAAGGATCCACGTCCCACACATAACAGGATTCAGGCGTAGATAGGAGAATTTCTCATGGTTGTTCTTTGAGATTGGCGTAGGATGCATCCCCTCATGCTCCCAGTCAGCGGGAGGAGGGTCAAAATTCGGGCTCATCCAGTCTTTCAAGTTGTAAGCCCACAGATCGTTGTAAAGCTGATACGTTACAAAATGAAAATCGTGCAAATGGTGAATACTAGCTGTCTTGAAGCAATTTTTCAGGTGCTGTAACATATGACTGGAAAACAAAACAACCTCATCGTGGCAACGCACTACTTCCTTCCCCAGAATGAACCGAATGTCGCACATGATCTGGGCCGCGAAGACTAGCCATATTGGAATTTCTTTGGTAGTCAGAAAATCCCGAATACCTTTCGTGAACGCATCTTCAAAATAGTTCCTATAATCGTCTGAAATCATCTCTTTCTTGAGGTGCCAGACCTCGTAAAGCAATTCGTGTAAGATGGTGCGATTAAGATCAATCTTATCTTCCAAGGTGAACTTCTTGGTATCTTCCGGCGTGACAACTCGATGATTAGAACTTCTTTGGTGTTGATCCACCGAAGATTCCTTATGCCATTCAGATAGTACCGACCACGTGGTATAACATAGATAGTCCTGCATAAAATTTGTTAGCAAGGAAGGAAATTGGATATCAGCAGACAATCGTTGTGCCACTTGTGTGAATTAAACGATTTTGATTCGAATGAATGATGGATTCCTCATTTCCTCCTAAGTACCGGGTGTATGAATTGGAAACACTTTCCACAATTGATCGTGAGATGCACTAACCTCAGTTTTAACAACAGCATTATGCTCTTGGCTTTCATCACTTTTATCCTCGAGATACATCAACTCGTTGAAGTCAGTGGCGCCTGCATTCTTGATTTTCTCCATCAACTTGTTGACATCCGGGCACATGATATTTGCAATGTTTTCATAGCTTTGTTTATCACTTGGTAGATGGGAAAGCAAACCATTCTCGGCCCACTGAAAAATTGCCATCGCTTGATTCGTAACAAGCGAGACGTTTGCTAGACTGAGAAGTTCGATCGAGTAATCGTTCCACTGATCGAGTATATAATTTCTCATGACATTCATATCTTTGAGAAAGAAGTAAACTCTCAGGTATTCGTCGAATGGATCGGAAGCATCTACTTCTAAAGGCGTGATTTGTTCTTCTGTCGGTATCTCGATTTTGTTCTTTCTAATCTTTCCACTCTTTTGATTTTTACCATTCTTTCCCTTCTTCTTTGCTTTTGGCTTTCTGTGATTTTTTGCACTACCACCAGTTGAATTTCTCTCTCCATCACTATCCGAATCCGAGGATGACAGGTGAGTACTTTCAATCTCCAAGCTACCGAATTGGTTATTGGTGACTCCCTCATCATTGGTGGTCTCCGAATCAATTCGAGGTTTCCGATTAGTTTCATCATCCAGTACCACATCTGGGTCCTTAGAGTAGAGATCCTCGAATAGTTGCAATATCGTTTGCAACGTTTCTAAATAATACATGTGGCCTGAATCATCCTGGTTGTAACGTCCATACCATTCCGCTGCCTCCTTGCGCTTAGATATAACTTGAGCTAGATCGTCTCGGACATTACTTGGTAACTCATGTTTCTCGCTAATGACAACCTCTGTGATACTCATGATGTATTTAAGTCGAGGCGTAGAGTCAGGGGACTCAAGATCTTGTCCTGTTGCAGATGCTGTTTTCACGAGCCACCCGAGAAACCTCTTTTCCAACTCTTTGTAAGACTTCCAAGTATCGACGATGGGAAATTGAGGAGGCATAATGAAGTACCAGTATCCTAATGATACAAGTAAAGTATTTATGAATCTTACAAAATTGAATATGATGCCGCAAGTTATTTGGAGAATGCAAGTTGTCAAGAAAATGGAAATGAATGTCCAAAGTACTTATCGTAAACAAAGCCTAGTAGGGAGTGATTGTCACCTTCCCATTACCGATACGTAATGCAGATGAAGGAAGTAACGACTCGCTCGAAGGGTTCATGACATCCACGTGATGTACGAAGGTGACCACATTCTAAACTTCATACGGCACGCCCCGGGCATTTCATTTGCGTGAATCCCAAACAATCGATGAACAATTTCTTAGATCTGAACATTCAATACGCCGTGTATTATCTTATTCTAGAGTACAACTAGTTTCGTCCCCTCATGTGCTTGACTCTCGACTGATGGATCGAATCACTTGTTCATCAGTTTGATAGTCGAGGATGGGGATCTTAGGCTAGCATAGACAGGCAATAGACATTCTTTTCTTGCTTTTTGGGTGTAAAAAAGGATAAAGGGGGGTAAGTTTCGTGGTTTTTATCATCGAAAATCATGTGTATGAGATCACGAAAAAATAAATTGTTAACAAAATGTTTGCTGGAGGTTACTCAAAATCACTAACATCGTCATGTTATAGTAGCGTTAGAGTTGCAACGCAACTGTACTCAGGATAAAGCTTTCATAGTAAAAAGTATTGAATGAAATGTACGAAACCAAAAGTCTAAACCAAATTAATGCCCATCAACCACTTGCTTCCCGATCCAACGAAATTTCTCTGACCGTAAACGACACAAACTTTCTCAGTGCAAACAGTATCCCGTAAAATTCATATCTGATCCAAGGAAAACAGTTTCTATCAATCTCACTAGCCCTCTCTCTCAAATACCCCTCAACACCTCTTTGGAAACTTCTTAAAATCCCTAACAAATGGAACCAAAGCCGGAACCTTCTGCTCTCCATAAATCGGCATTCTCGCCAACGCATCCGCCGAAGTATTAAATTCTTTCTTGATCTGCCAAAACCAAACCGGGATATGAAACTGGTTGAACTTCGCAATCAAAGTATCCAACTCTCGGAATATCTCTGCATTAACAACCGGCTTTCCAGTCGAAGTCTTAAACCCGTTTTCCTTCCACTTGTAGATCCAATCCGCGAACCCATCGACCACATATGCCGAATTGGTAATAATGAGGATCTTAGAAATTCTCGCTGCGTCTTTATCATCTTCATCACTTCCTCCTCGCGCGATAAAAGCATCCAGAACCTGCTCGGCCATCCTCAAAACCACACGCACAGCAACTAACTCAGCTACTTGAGTAGTCTGCGGAAGATCCTCATCGAGAAGGTTAGAAACACTCCGAGGTGTCGTATCACCCACATAAACCCCATATGCAGCTCGAACAGGTTCCTTCCCGCTGGCACTACATGCGCTGTCGATAGCAACTACATGCGATCCCTCATCAATCGTCACTTCGCCTTCTGCATTGCGAGATTTAAGTTTGAGAGCGCCGCAGCAGCCTAGTGCACCGAGAATGTCGGCCGGATTGTCGACGTATAACTCGTTGGTTTCGGGGTTGAAGCGGCGTTGGAAGACGGTTTCGTGGCTGAGTCCGTTGTATCTGGTAGTGCAATCGCACTCGATGTCGCGTGTAATGACGACTGAGATTTTAACGTAGACCATGGTTGAAAAGTTGTGTGTTGTGAACTTGTGATGACCTTTGAATTGCTGTATTTTGAAAGTCGATCACTTCTGGGAATCACTTTATAGGTATAAGAATTGTAAGTGAACGAATGTGTCTTCCATTTTCTTGGTGGAAGTTCTTCGCGGTTCTATTTGGTCTCACTGTGTTTCTCAATCCTTTATCTACGAAGACAAATCCAATAGTCTCATCTACATGATACGTATGCGACTTCCCAAGAACACATCCAGAAAATTCATGATTGTGAGTTCATTTTCTGAGGCTGGAACAGAAGGCGTTGAAACAGGGGTTCTCTTCTCTTTGTTCTTTTCAGAGGTTGGAATCATAACTGCCGTCTCTTTCCACGGCCACTCTTCGAATGAAAGAATATTCTCAATCACCATTTCAGCCATAGTTTCAAAAACGAATCACAATTTGTAGCTCAGAGTCAAGCCAGTATTCTGGAATATTCCACTCTACATTCACGTCGCTCTCAATGAGAAGTATAATGACGAGGAAGTTTCGAATTGGAACATCTCAGCCACCAATTCTACCCAACACGAAAAGACGCTTCTAGGCGTTATGATTATTTAACTTCACCGCAAGTTGGTCTATTGATAACTTATTAAGGAAGATGGGAAATCTTTTTATCTCTGATTCAAGCAAAATTTTTCATACTGACATGGACCATTGCATTTCTCACTGTTGAACAATGCACCAATACATGATTGTGACTTATAAAAATTTCTATAGACCATATATAGCAAGATGACAAATGAAAAGTATGAATATACTAGTAGTGTTGATATATAACAAAATTTGCATCGAGTGAATAAACAGGATATTATGTTAGCAAAAACAAAGGAAAATGGTGGAATCACAACTGCCATTACAGCCGCACACTAACTCTCAATCTCTCATCGTGACCAAGCACGATCAACATACCCCGTAAATCTGCCTTCAAGCCCTCACAGCCTTCGTAGTTTCGTAACGATCCCTTCTTCTCAAACTTCCCCAAACAGTTCTCTTCCTCTCCATCCCCCTGATATTCTCACCCACAACCCCATCTCTACCCACCACCCTTGGCTTCTCCTCCCTAGCCACCTTCTTCGCATTTTCCATAAACTTCTCGAACTCTCCATCTCTCGAATTTCCAGTATCAGAGCATTGCTTTGTGACCGTCATAGAAACTCTCTTGATCATCTCTCCCGTCGAGTAAGGCGCATATTCAGAGTACGTATATTCGGAATAACTGTACTCGTCATAACCCCCACAATCCATCATCAAATTAGGCACGTCGAACATCTTCAAGTAATCGGGTCTCTTGGATCGACGCGGTGTTTGAGCACGCTTCTTTTCCTCGATCAAAACTGGAGCGTTGATTTGAGATCGCAATGTATCAGGTTTAGAAGAGTTCTTCACACGACTTGGACTGGCTTTTATGGGTAGAAATTCTATCTCATAAGGTACAGTTCTAATAGTCGCAATAGAATTTCGGGGCTCGGAAGATGTAGGAGAAGGCAAAACAGAAAGAGGAGCTTCATTCGGAACATGCGATAGTCTTCGATTTGACATCGTTGAATTGCGTTTCGCGTTCCTCACAGTCGCACTCCTGCTTATGCCTGGCACGGCTGCCTCGGTACTCCCTAACGTATAATATGTTTTCGAGCGCGTGCTGCTTGAGCGTTTGACCTTTGGAACTAGACCCATTTGTTCAGGAAGATCAACCCCTTGTGTTTGAGAACGAGTAGGCGTGGGGCGTGATGACTTGAAGTCTGAGAGAGAGCGCCTGAGGGAAGATAAACGTTTTGGGGTAGTGTCATCGGGTCCCTTTCTGATGAGGAGGGGGGCGACAGTATCATGGGAATTTTGGGATGTTATCTCATAAGTACCAGAAGGATCGAAAGAGGGACGAACGGTTGTGGCCATAGAGGAACGAGGTGCATTGCTGTTGCGGGTTTGTGGTCGAGCAGAAGCGGTGAAGTCGGCTTCAGATTGGAACTCGCTTGACACTGATTTACTGAAAGAAGTAGGATATCGCTCGAACTCGGGTTGAGATTGAGATGCTCTGGATGTTGACACACGAGAAAGGGCAGGATGTTGAGCCAAATCCACTTCAGGGACCTTATCCAACTTCATAGGAAAATCCATCGAAGCATTGTAATTGGGTGGTGGTGATCTAAGTACCTGTGCTTCCATTACCGGAAGGTCCGTAGCAATCCTTTGGGTACTTCGAAGAGTTGAAGTGGAGTATGCTTTTTTGATTGATAGAGGTGCAATACCACAAGTTGATGCTGCTGAATTTGACATTGAGGTGGAAGTTGATGCGGATGTATTGGGTCGTCGAAGATCTTTACGGGAGAGATTACTTCGTAGAGGCTTTGGTGAAAGGAAAGGTTCAGATGAAGGTGATTCAGCTACAACCGCGGGATGAAGCTCTACAGGATCCGGAATCACCATTTTGATATCAATTGGATAGCCTGCATCTTTCTCCATATCATTTCCGGCTTTCTCATTTTCTAATTTCCCACTCTCTCCTTTCCTTGCCTTTCTCGAAAATTTCATTGATAGTTTCCTTCCAATGGATTTTGCAGCGCGAACAGGAGAACTATCCCGAGATTTGCTCTTGGGTTTTGGTGTTGCAGGTCGGGAATCATTGTAGAGGTTGGAAGTGAGGTTGTTGATCATGTCCAGAGACGTACGTTCTCGAATGATACTACACTGTGTGGGTGTTTCTCTGGTCGTGAGGGCTGGAATGGGACTGCTCCTTGGCCGGGCAGCCTTTTTCTTTTTGAGACTTCCAAACATACTGGCTCTAAACAAAACGGACTTCTGAGGCGCTTTATGATCAAGAACATTGAACCTTCTAGGATCTTCCAAAGTATTTTGACGTTGATGTTGATGCACGGGTCTAGCGTTGAGAGCTGGTGTGGTATTGATTGTCGAAGATAAAATATCCAACAACTCTGACTCCGAGTTCTCGATTAAGATAGGTCGATCGTGGAGACGAGGAGGTGCCTTTCGAGAACCAGAGGGCTTTTGAGAGGGGCGTGAGAGGATAGAGCGACTAAGCCGGCGTAATTTCAAAGGCCAGCCATCCTCAGCGTTCTCGGTCATAGGAGTGTAAGTGTTTTGCGAATGCATGATGGTAGCGGAATGTCGTATGGTCGAGTGGATTGTTGTAGTATTTAAGGGATGAAGAGAAGTTTTATGTAGATATAGGACTCTGTGTCGAAAGAGAAATGGAACTGTCAAAGCCCACTGTTTTGGTATTTTGAGTTTCGAACAGACAGGCTTAAAGGCAAGATGTTTCCAGGTTTCGGATTGATGAAACAGTATTCCAAATTTGACAGGATTCAAGCAATCAAAGAACTCTTGATGGATTCAATTTGTTTCGGTGAATAGTAAAGTAGTAAACAGGAAACAATAAACAAATAAATAACACGGGGATATTGGAAGTGCGAAAGTACGATAAATGTATGAAGGTATAGATAAGATTTGGCTAAAGAGCAGATCATTTGATTTACCAGAAATCAAAGTTTAGGACCCGCAAAGCAGCACTACATGCAATGTTAACAGAAAGAAAGTAAAAACAGGTCTGAAAAAAACTTTTGGAAGAAACTCTAAACTCAATGATGCAGGAACGCACACGAATATATCTTACATGGTCACTGGGGGAAGATTCTTCCCAGCAGCACTTTCATCCGAGCATCATTTCCAGGGACTTCCTGCTTCCCTGCCACTGACAAAGAAGTCGTAAGGAAGAACAAAATGCCTTACAAACGACAAAATGATGTGCACTAGCCATGCGTACGATTGTCCCTGCGCAGATCCGTATCTGAAAAAGAGCGTCAAAGCTGCAAACGGCACCCAAAAATGGTGGTGAAAAAATACAATGCTCGTGCTCAATGATCTATTTGGGACAATTGAGTGGGGCGTGATACTATATAGGGAAGTGAAAGGCAAAGTTTAGACTGAGGTGCTTTGGTGATATTGTGATATTGATATATCGTGATGCGTTGTGAGGTGTTGTGAAATTTTATTTGGGAGAGAGACCGGGTAAAAGAGGTGCCTTAGGGTGAAAGGAAATGGATTTGAGACAGGTGATTACGTAGATACTAGGTATAAGGTTAGGATTTGTTAGGAAGGACAATGTGAGGTATGATTAAGTATCGAAACGTTCATCTAAAGATTCTGGACTTGGCGAAAGCGACATCGACAGCGATAGCGAGGGTGATGGCGATCAAGATCACAAGTATTTCTGCGTTCCTGGAAAAGTATTGAAGACAGAGCCAAAAAAAGATAATTGATAATCCGGGACCGAAGCATACAGGGACCGATCTCAGAGTCTGACCACGCCAAAATCACACCAAAGCTCAAACTAATATTTTGGTGTTTCACCATCCAACCCCCCGTTTTTATTCTGAAAAAGTCATAGAATGGTTAGAAATATGTTTATTTTCCCTTCTTCAAATACTCGCCATCCCCAACTCGTGCGCACAGTTCTTTAAGTGCGTGGCCAGCCCACTCAAAATCTTCCATTTCGAGATATACTTGTCCACTGTGAGAGAGTGGATTGTTAGTTTGTTGCAGAACACGAGGTTTTAAACATATGATGTGGAAAAGCTTTTATGGAGGTATGAATCACGAATCAAAGAGCAGGTGAATTATCACATACCTTAATCTAGCCCACCATTTGTTGTCCACGAATGCTATGGCGATGAACGTTTTGTATTCTTTTATCAATGTTTCCAACATCCATTGGTAAGCTTGCATTTTGGTATCTTCATTGATCTTGAAGAATGCGTCGATATTTGATGTTCCAATTTCCAATGGTAGTAATACATTGACAAGACAACAATCTGTCAATGTGTTGGTACTATTATCCAGTACCTTAGTACCCAAAATATTTGCGACAGCTTTACCACCTTCTCGTGATAAATTGCTACAATAATCCATGATGGCTTTTTCACCACCACAAACTTCTTTGCGCCATTTGATCGCTTCGGTGGTGCAGAGATAACTGCTGTTGTCAACCGTGCCAACGAATTCGAATTGATTGACAAACACGCTCTTGGCGCTTGGCGGTAACGGATTGAATGGCCTAGGTCCCTTAGGAACGAAACCATGTGATGTAGGTAAGGTTGTTCTCATCAGATCTTGGTTTCGTTCTGGAACGTAAAATACGGCACAGCCTCGCGGGACAAAGAGCCATTTGTGACAATTGCTGACGAAGAAATCAGGATCAAGCTTTGATAGATCAAGTGAAACGTGACCGATTCCGTGGGCTCCGTCAACGATGGAGTACATGCTTTCCCTTTTGCAGATCTCGATGTATTTTTCGTAAGGAACTCTCAATCCAGGAAGTGATCCTACTACATCAAATACAGCAGCTCGAGGACGTTTTCCTTCTGCTTTTGAGGCCTCAATTGCCTTCTCGAATAGTCCAACGAGTTCATCATCCTCGATGGGATATTGAAAGGTAATCTGCCTGGGTTGGACCAGGCCACGATTGGCCTCCGAAACATATTTGATCTACAACATGAGTAAAAGTTAAACTTGATGTTGAATTATGAACTATCAATTGATAGCAGTCATAGAGAATTACACTGAGGTTTTGGGAAGTACATACCGTCAAACCACAAGCACCGTATATTGTAGAAAAGTAGAGGATTTCATCTTTTCCATCCTCATTCCACACCAAGTTTCTCAATACAGTATTGATTCCAGTAGTCGCATTTGGCACGAAGACCACAGTGTCAGTCGGGACATTGAGAAGCTTTCCCAAAGCTTCTCGTGACTCATCGAGGATTCGAGGGTATGTATATCGGATAAACTCATCAGGACGGGCTTCCGAATCATCTTGGTACTGCCTTTGCTTTTCACGGATGGCACGAGGAATAGTGCCAAAGGAACCTAATTCCGTAAGCTAGGTAATGGGAATTGGGGGCGGGGAAAGGGGGAGGGGGGAGAGGGGGGTTGGGCTTTGATAAAAATACCATGATTCAAATTCCTCCACCCTGGTTCGAAAAGGAAGTGCTTGGCCATTTCTTTACCAAAAGGCGTTGCTTGATATGTGTTTAAGTCGTTAAGGGAAACTTCCCCCAACTTGGTGTCTAATTCTCCCATTTTGATAAGTTTGACGATAATCGTTGAAGTAATGAAGTGTAGATATGGACAGTGAAGTGAAGAAAGTGAGGGGAAAATGAACTCTATTATACTACAAAGTGGAGAACACCAGAACCGCTGGGAAGATGAAATTAGGAGTCATCGATAACCATTTGGTGGAGAAGCAATAATGAATGGCCCGGACTATCATCGTGCGGAAGGATGACAAACGTTCAATACATGATAAACAAGCATCGATGACTCTTTTGCCAAGTCAAAAAGATCCCAATCTCAATGAAAGTTGAAGCCGACTCCAAACATTTGTGCTGAAGATGTGGATTGAAAGATTGTCAAGTAAAAGGCGTGGCGATAGTGTTTGAACTTCCCCCACCCACTACATACGCCTATCACAACGATAAGGCTCACAACAAGCCAAACCTCAAAACGCCTCCCGATTCTTTGTTCTTCATGGAATCAAGATCAACAACTTCATATAAACCCCATCTTGCAGACGCTATGCGAAGATGTCAGTCATAAATCCGACACCGGCCAACAAGGCATTGAGGAATGGTACTTCGGAGCATTGAAGGATATCCGACAAGTGATGGAACAATCACAATCGATGCAACATGGCTTTCTTCCGAATTTTGTTACCAAGACTGGTGAAAAGCATCCAAGTGCTTGCATAGCAAGTATCACGAATCGAAAGGTTATCTGCTTAGATATATATATATATATATATCTCGATGGAGCTCTCAGGTGTATATCCAAAAATAATTACCTTGATTTGCCCTGTACATTCGGATTGCTGAATCCTACAAGTCTTGACGATGATGTGGAAAAGATGAACGGCGTCATATCCCAACTTCGTGTTTCGTGCTTCTTGTCCATTGACAATTCCCGGACATGAAAAGATCAAGAGATAATCGAGGACCTCAAGTATTGACAATGGAAGGTTGATATAATCTTACCAACAGTTAGCATGACAAGTCATCTTCTGCCTATTCACCGCCTTCAACTGTCACAATTTTATATTCACCACTTCTATCGAAATCATTGACAATCTCTCCCTAGAATCAAAACATTCAATAAAACGAAAAGAAATACTCTTATTCTGCAGCTACGTATGCAATTTCATGAATCTTCTACAATTGGAAGTCATATGGTAGAGCGATCCAAATATATGGCCCCGTCTCATTTTAATCGGATGAGGTTACGCTCGACCACAAACTATGAGGAATTTTACTTCTCCTGGCAATCAACATTCCAATGCTATCAAAGCTAGCTCCTCCTTGTATTTCAAAGACTGTCACGTCAGTCAAATATTCTCTCGCAATCCAGCTCCTTAGTTCCAAGGACAGCAAAGAGTCGACCCCATAGAAGTGGAGAGGTTTCTCTAACTCAAGCTCGTTTTGAAGTGTAGGTAGGACCCTCGCGAGTTTCTTGACAATGGCAGACTTGGCGATGACCCCGGCCTCCAACATGGAACTGGATTCCTCAAAAAGAACTCTATAATTGTCGGCGGCTTCCCCTTGGTGCTTTGACACAGACTTTTGCTGCAAAGTGTGTGAAAAGAGGGGCTGGCGTTGGACGATGTGGCCTGCACCGAGCCCAAGCAGCACTTGGCTTTCTGCGGCTTCAAAGAGGGAGATGTTGGGGTCGCAATAATAATCCAATAGTGCTATCAGATAACTTCTTGATATAGAGGTGAATACCTCATATGATTCAATGCGCTTCAAGAATGCTTCATCCTCTGCGACAAATCCATCTTCAGCCATGATTCCAAGATCCCACGCTACCGCCCTCTGGCCAAGAGAAATTCGATGACGTGCAAGAGCGTCCATAAAAGTATTTCCAGAGCCATAGTTTGCTTGTCCATGGATGCCAATAACTCCAGAGAGAGAAGACAGCATAACAAAGAAGTCAAGGTCTGTGGGAAGAAGACAATGGAGATTCCAGGAACCTTGTGTCTTGCATTGTGTGCCTAAGTTCCAGTCTTCATACGACATGTTAATGAAGCTAGAGTCCTGTTATATTCTCAGTATCGTCCATTTAAATTAGCTAGGATCTCAGGACTCACTTTTAAAACCATTGCTGTCTGGATACAGCCTTTGATCGGGGGATAATTCAAGGTAGCCTCAGCGACTATCGTTGACAGAGAGTTCCGATCAGTAATATCGCATCTCGGAGCTCGAAACTCGATTCCCTGGGCTCGGAGAGATTCAAGAAGTTCGCTGGCAAGTTTGTCCTTGGGGCCTGATCTCGAGAGCAAAATAAGATACTTGGCACCACGGGATGCCAGCCACGATACAACGGCTCTTCCAATCCCACCAAACGCACCAGAGATAACGTATGTACTATCATGGCTCAAAGTGGCTGGATGTTCGGTGTCAAAAAGGGTCTTGATTCGATCATCTCTTTTCAGCTCTATCACAGCTTTTCCGGATAATTCGTCTTCCTGTAAGAGGCTGAATGCGCTAGCTATATTTTCGAGACTATTGATATGTATCGAATGGACCGTGCGCAAGGACCCGTACTTAAAAAGCTGAGTGATGTTACCAAGATCCTTCTCTGCCTGCTTTGGGCGGTCCCGCAGCCACGAGAAAACGTCAAACGAAGAGAAGCTAGCATTCTTCCGAAAGTTATGTACTTCTAAAGCCAAATTAGATTGTGCATCTCTTTGGCTGATATCAACAAATCTCCCATAGGCCCCAATACATTCCCATGACGCAGTTAGTCCATCTCCCGTAAGGGAATTAATAATCACGTCCATCCCACGCCCCTCGGTTGCATGCATGAGAGCACTTTTGAACTCCATCTTATTGTCAAGAAGTATAATGTGATCATCGGGTATTCCATAATCATTCAGAAGTAAATTCCTTTGGTCTGAAGTTCGACATGAAGCAAAAATCTCAGCGTCAAAATGTTGGGCTAGTTGAACTGCCGCCTGTCCGACTGCTTCACAAGCTTCATGTATCAAGATGGTCTCGTTGCTTTGAACTCGAGCAATGTTACTTACAGCGTTCCAAGCTGTCAAGAACACAATGGATATACCCGCTCCTCCTTCAAATGACATCCATTCTGGTATTTTCCAAACGCTGCTTGCCTCACATCGAGCTAGTGTCTTGAACAGACCATTACCAACTACGACAACCCGATCTCCTTTTGAAAGATGTGTAATGGATGCACCAATCTCTACAACGACTCCGCATGCCTCGCGGCCGAACTCTGTATTTTGCAAGCGTCCTAAGACGGATTGGCAATCGTTGCGGCTCATGCCTACCGCCCTGACTTCAATATCGACATCTGTCGGCTTCAATGGTCGACTCGTATCTTGATCTCGAACAAAATGTAGAGTCTCAAGGCTTCCGGAGTGTTCAACAGTTAATTTTGCGGGAGCAACTTCTGATACCATCTGGAAAGAGATCTGTTGAGGTAGAGACTTCTGATGAAGAGTTGTAGTTAGATTGGGAGAAGGAATTGCACGCGGAATTGTGAACAGCCCGTTCACTTCTACGTATTCATGCTCGTTGAGACGAGCATTTCCAAGATAAGATGATGATTGATAGATCATCCGAATTTGCGCTTGGTTAAGGATAAGCTCCTCAGTTTCTTTAAACTCCAACGCAATGATCGTGATTTTTTTTTCCGACCCTTCGTTTCGAACTGCTCGGGTGATTCCTTCGATCATGTTCCAAGCTGGATTCTGCACCACCCTGCCACCACCACCTCTGACCCATACAACGTCGCTTGCACATGTCAACATACTTTGAATGCTTATATATGAAGCATTGGAAAGGTCAAATAAGATGGGATTGTCAATTTCTAAAAGGGAGACAATCTTTCCCAACTTATCAATATCATCACTATCAAAATCGTCCATATGGAGGATGCGGCTACTGATGAAATTCTCAGAATATTCGTTTTGTAGATCATTTGCAGCTTTCTTTTGGTTTTCGAACGAGGTGTCAACCACAATGGTTACTATAATTGGTGATAGATTTGGCGACTCATCAAAGCTGGCTGTCGATATGATTATGCTTTGTTCTTGACATTCCGGACTTGCGAATTCAGGAAGCTCAACATCGATGCCACTGAAACCATGTTGCAAAAGAATACTGTCCCATTTCTGGGATGAGATCGCGGGTCCCCAATGCCGGTACGGATCGGTTGCTAACCACCAGCCTGGAAGAAGACCGAAAATAAACCCGCTGCGCAAAATATCTGGTCGAGTGATTTCGTGCATCATAAGCTTTCCACCGGGCTTCAAGAGCTTTCGTACGTGCTTCATTGTTTTAACTATGCTGACCGTTGCGTGAAGGACATTGCCTGCAACAATAAGGTCGAAAGAATTTTCAGCAAAGCCTTGTTTGATTGGATCATCCTCAATGTCGAGAAGACGGTATGACATTCTCGGAAACTCTTTGAAGTCTTCTTGTGCCGTCTCAAAAAAGAATGCTGAGATATCGGTATAAGTGTATTCCATATATCTAGGTGAATGCTTGATTCCTTGTCCGTCTTGGCAGAGACCTTGAAGAACTTTCGAGGTTGTTCCTCCCGTCCCCGCTCCTATTTCTAGAATTCGGAGTCTGGGATTTTTATACGATAATCCTTCAAGATACTTTTGGAATGCTGGGAAGCAAACACGATTGTTGTTGATGTCTTTATAGAGATCTTTAGCGAGATCGGACTTGAAGAGAAATTCCTGAGAGCTAATTTCACCACGCAATATTGGAAGTATATTTTGGCCCGTTGCGACAAATGCACGTCCCTGGGCCGTTTTAGACTCAACACGCGAGATCAGTTCCTTGATATTCTTTTCATCTTTCATTAAAATCTCCCATCCTTGCTGACTATACGGCAAAGCCCCATCATTGTATCGCTCAACCTGATATCTGGCCCAATCAATATACTTTTGTAAATATGGTAAAGATGGCTTGGTGGCGCCCAATCCCTGTAATGCTTTCACGAGAAACACATAAGTGAGAAATAGAAGGTCTGAATAGAATTGCTTGGGCTCTTCCTCCTTTGAGTTTTGTATAGCGCAAAACTCGCTGAGTTGATCAGGCCCAAGCAAGTCGATGTCTGGCTGAAAGTCTAAGATGTGGCATACATGATCTTCTCGAGAGACTTTCTCCAAGTCTTGTGTGTCAGTTACAACCGTCATACGTAAACCCTCACATCGCATCAAAAGATTTTCAGAAGTTGAATTAAGAACAGATATGTTAAATTCAGAGTAGCGATTTGTGATTTCCGTTCCAGAAGCAATGGCAAGAACATGACTTGCTTCAGAGAAATTCAATCCTGATTTTGCGATTGATAATCTTCGGATATGACTAGGCACCGCGGTTTCTAGTTTCTTTTGACAGTCCTGAGCAAGTGCGGCCAGACAAGAATGAAGCATTCCATCGAGGGTTGTCGGGTGGATGATATGCTGTTGGGGAAACTGGTCATCTGGCCACCGATACAGTCTCACAGAAGCACAAGCTTCTATCGTGGCATGAGATTGATACGTGATCTTTTCCAGAGTTTGGAAAGATGGTCCGAAATTGTACCCTGAATCTTTCAATGTTTCATAGAGCTTTTTGGAAGGCACAGTTTGATCTTGCATTACCCCTGCGGCTGCTAGTCTTTGCCTCTCGCTCTCAATCTCGTGTAGAGATCGAATTCTTGGTCCGTATTCAATTTTGATAAAGCCGTAAAAGTGATCTTCCCACTGTTCGTCAAGATTGGTCTCCCTACAAGTGCACAGTCGAAATTGTAGCCAAGATGAGCTGCTTTCTGCTTTACCTGATGGCCTTCGGAGATAAAAGTGAACTTCCACACCATTATCTTCCAGAGGAACGCTCAATGCTTTCGGGAATACCACATCTTTGAATTGGAACCCTGCGATTTCTTCATCGTGATTTGCTATTTGATTTGCCGCCTCGATAGCCATCACGAGCATTCCTGCTGCTGGATATATCAAGGAGCCATTGATAACATGGTCTTCCACCCAAGGCATATCAGACACCCGAATAAAATTGCGCCATCTAGCTTCCATTGGGTTCCAGTCCGTCGATGGCTTACCAAGTAAGTCAAGCTTGCCTTGAGGATGCAAGCGATTTCTTTTGCTAGACTTCGTTTCGTACCAATATTCCACTGATTGATCAAATGGATACTCTGGAAGATTAAGTAGCATCCCAGGCATCCCATTAGTCTTAGAAATATGGAGAGAGTCGATATTTGTAGGTGCTCCGAGACAATAAGTCGTGCATACAACATTTAGCGCTGTTTCCTCTGCTGGCCTCTTCCGGTGCAGCATAGACGAATATGATATTCTTGCCTGTGGATTTTGACTCAAAATTTGCTGTATTGGTCCTTGCAAGGCAGAGTGAGGTCCCACCTCAATTAGCATGTTGACACATATATGAGCTCTGTGGCTACAGTCAAGCTTCTTTCGGGTCAGTCGAGAAGTCTGACCACATATTGATTGCATGGCTTCGTAGAATCTCACTGGAGACACCATGTTACTTACCCAATAGCTTGGTTCGCGCAAGTCGCTGGATTCAATCAATCGTCCAGTGACAGTGGAGATCATAATACAACTTCGAGAAGCGCTCCATCCTGCTTCGATATTTTGAATAGAACTTTCGTACTCTAATGCAATAGCTTCCATGTGATAGGAGTGATAAGCAATATTGACCTTGAGCTTTGTAGCGGGTATTGCTTCCATCTTTAAAAGTGTTCTTAATTCGTCGATTTGAGTTTCGTCACCTGACACAGTGACGTTTCGATTGCTGTTTATACATGCAACCGTGAGCCCAATATGGCCATTTTGAATCGAAATCTGGTCGATATACTTTTGCGCTTCGTCTTTTGGAAGACCAATAGACATCATAGCACCAGTTGGGCCATTGTGCGAGGAAAGTTTGGCAGCAGCTTTTCCTCGAAAGTATGCGACTCTGAGAGCAGATTTTGCAGACAATGCTCCAATACAATACCTTTGAATTAATATGTTAGCAATTATGGAATCTGTATGGTGTGGGATACTCACGAAGCGGCAATCTCTCCGGAAGAATGGCCAACTACAGCATTCGGGTGAATGTTGAAACTTTTTAATAGATCAACTAGTGCAATCTGAACTGCAGTGCATATTGGCTGACTGAATTCGGCGTTGTTGATATCAGAGTTCAGGGCCGAACGCGAGAGCTTCTCTTTTTTACTCTGTTAGACTGGAAATCATGGCAATGGGAGAATAGTACCTGAAAGACTCCAACAGGATCCAATATCTTTGAGATGCTGCTCTGCCATAGCTAAGCTGCGAGCAAAGACCTGAAACTTGAGTAACTCAAGTCCCATGCATGCCCATTGTGCTCCTTGGCCAGTAAACACAAACCCCATCAACGGAGTTTTCAGGGATAGTATGGGAAGTGAGCTTGTGATTGTCAAATTCCTAAGATCCTCTAAGTTATCGGTGACGACATGGGTTCTCCACTTTAGCATGGTTCTCTTCTTTGTTAACGTATACGACATTCTCGCAAGGAAATCCGGTGTTCTGGAGACTGATACGGATTCCTTGAAATAAGTTGCATATTGATCCACGACACGCTTGAGTGCTGCTGGATCGTTTGCCGTGAAGACAAACAATTTGCGCATCCCAAGCGTAGTATTCCCCGAAGTCAATGCCTCTTTTTCCAAGTGCTCCTGAGGAGCGATTTCATTTGATGAGTATGATGGGGCGTTTTCAACAGTGTTGTGGCTAGCTACTAGACCTCTAGACTCCAAATAATGGTAGACATCGTCAAGGACAATGTGTGCATTTGTTCCGCCGAACCCGAAAGAGTTTACAGAGGCTCTTCTAAGGCCTGTTGTAGGCCATGGAGTTGGGCAAATCGGAAACTAAAAATGTTAGTGGAGCTCACGAAAAAGCGTCAGCGGGACAGAAGCAGCATACCTTAAGTTTGAGGAACTCAGCATCAATTCTTGGATTCAACCTCTCAAAGTTGGCATTCGGTGGTATAATTGCTTTCTCAAGCACCAAAATTGCTTTTATTACCCCTGCTATTCCACTTGCTCCCTCCATATGACCAATATTACTCTTAAGAGCCCCACTACCACTAATTAGTGTTCAATGTCAGAGGATCATGAAGTCAGACTTACACGTATAATGGATCCTCTAGAGTCCTCGCTGCTTTGAATGCTGAGCCAAGGGCCGCAGCCTCTATGGGATCGCCTATAGCCGTGCCAGTTCCGTGTGATTCTACAAAACGAGTGCTATCCATACTCAAGCCGGCTTTCTGGTAGACTTCCCGTATTAGAATTTCCTGCGAGATTCTGCTTGGCTGCATGATTCCCCCCGGCGTAAGTCCGTCTTGGTTACTTCCGCTTGCTCGGATGATTGCACGAATTGTGTTGCCATCTGCAATAGCACTTGAAAGTCTTTTCAAGACAAGAACACCAAGTCCCTCTGAACGCGAATAACCATTTGCTCTGCTGTCAAAGCTATAGCTTCGGTAATCTGGAGAAAGCATCTTCATATTAGAAAGGAGATGAATCCAATCTGGTGAGAAGATAAGATTGCATCCCGCGGCAATTGACTGTTAATGGCTAGATGTCAACACCGAGAGCTTCATTGAATCTAGTTCTGGAGTTCAAGATTACAACATACCATATCAACGTCACCGCTTAGCAAATCTTGACATGCAAGATGTAGGGCTACCAAGGAACTTGAGCAGGCTGTGTCGATGTTTGCGCTGCCTCCGGTGAAGTTAAAAAACCAATTGATACGGTTCGCGGTCATGCATGCGGCACTTCCCATACCAACATAAGTCTGGCTATTCTCCGAGTCTTTGTAGCAGAGTTGTTGCCAATCGTTTGTGAATGAACCCGTATAAACAGAAGTTTTTGTGCCATCAACCCTACTCAATGGCAAGCCAGCTACGATGGGTTAGTCTTTTCAAAAAACGAGCTTGAGATGATAATTCTGTATCAAACTAGAGAAAACTCACAGTTTTCAAGTGCTCTATACGTGGTTTCGAGAAGCCCACGATGCTGTGGGTCTAAAGCAGCTGCTTCAGTGGCTCCGATTGAGAAGAATGGAGCGTCAAATGTGGAAATCTTGTCTTGCAGGAAGTGTGCCCCGCTGACAGAAAACTAAGAACTTTCAATATCATGGTGACTTGTATAAGGGACTACACGCAAGGCATATCAACTTACTGTGTCTTTGCGATTCGGATCTGGATGGTAGCGATTTGATTTACTGAGGCGATCTTCTGGATATTCTGTGGCGGTACATCTCATGTCCATCAATACCTTCCAAAAGGACTCGGCATCTCTCGCTTCTTGCGGAAACTTGAGTGAGAATCCGACGACAGCAATAGGATCGACACATCTCTCCTCATTTGATATAGACGATGGTGGGGTAGATTTGGTGGATTCGGACAGAAGTGGAGAATCCATGATTATTGACGTTAGAAAACACTGTATAATTTCAACTGAATAGAAAATGAAGAAGAGAAGATAACTCTGTAATTATATTGAAGAGATATTAATACTTTACATACACTCACGAGTTTATTGCTACTATTCGAGCTTCAAATTCTTCGAGTAAATTATCCTAGAGCCAACCACACTCGAACGATATCTATCATCCTATTATACATATGATTAGTCTCATTAACTAAGAGCCTAAAGGAATCACTTCTATGAACAACACATACTCCTAGTAACATATTATTTTCTTTTCATAACAGCTATGACATTAACCTGTATCAATGAAAGACTTATTAAATTTTAAATTCTACTAGTCATCCTGAAATTCGATTTGATAACTCCCATTCTACTATAATCATTACTTCAAACGCACGATCGAAGGGTTTTGAGCCATTAGTATTGTTCATTGAATCACCGGATATTCTTGAAGTAAAATGAAGTACAAATTGGCACTAGTCGAATCTCCAGATTCGATGCTACTTTCTGCATGCTAAGAATACAGATGACGTCCCATGTACTGGATACAAGGATAATGTTCTGATGATGAACTCGCTTTTCACACACGAATCAGATCAAATGGTCACTATCCTCAACTTCAGACTTTCAGACTTCACAGAAACCGCGCGCTCAAACAGTCGAATGTTGTTTGCGGGATTTATTACCATCTTCACATGAATCTAATGCATCGAATCTGATGGAAGTGATAACTGCGCCATCAACGAGCATGTCTCGTTGTAACTTCAGTCGGACATGAAGAAAACATCAAAGTTAGCAAGATCCTCCACCACGACGTACTTCGATCGGGCAAGGTTATGTTAAGTTCAATGATTTTATTACACCGCTGTTTTACTATATTCTGGGAATGTAGCATCGCATTACTGCGCCGTCTGCTCGTGTACATTTTGTTGCGATATGGACTCTTTTCTCCAACTTTCAAATGCGCCTATGGAAGTTATTAGATCCCTCCTCCTTTACTTGGAAAAAAGCCCGGTCCAGGTGCATCTGGGGAAGCGTAAAGTGGAGATTAATAGTCAGCACTAACACCCTCGCCTCCATTCAGGGGTCCTACATGATCTTATCTTTAATGCTTTAAGCATATCTTCTCATTGGCGGAATCGTGCAACGGGTGTCCCCTGGTCGCTTTATCGGTTTTAGAGATTAATGATTGTAGAAACGCCTCTTCGTACCATAATGTCTTATTGAAGAAGCTCTGCAATGTGAGTTCAGGCACATGAAGAGATTATCCTCGCCAACCGACTACGGTTCTACGTAGAATAACCCTGCACAACTATTGAAGCCCCGATTTAAACCGCCGCTTCAAACCTTTCGCCACACTGAGGCTTCTTGTGCGAGAAGATATACGAAAATAATTTTGCGGCGTACACACGTAAGATTCCATTTATCGCCCAGTTCGTCTAGTTGCGTTCAGCTGTTAACTTGTTAAGTGCTGTGCCTCAGAAATTCGAGACTATTATATCTTCACCAGATACCACTTGCCTATTCTAATATACAGATACAGTAGAATCCTTCTTCAAATTCCTGCGTTAGAATGGAGCTTGTCAGCAGGCGTACCCCTGAATCTCTTCGGCATATTGGCTGGAATACACGAGAAAAGCTAAAACTAAGATGAGTGAATAGATATCATTAGTTAAGATCTCCAGTTTTCTCCTCTTCTTAATTCATCTGCATTGAACCCCGATATTGCTTTAGCCGGTTCAGGATGACGACAGTTTCTACCACATTTTCCCCAGAATACCTGGCCCAGTACCGTGGCAATACACCAATTGCAATATGTGTCACCTTTATTGTTCTTGAAATAGTGTTTGTCGCTTTGAGATATTGTGCTCGCTGGGTTGGAAAAGCAAAATGGGGTATGGATGATTTTCTCATGATTCCAGCTCTCATACTTTGTCTGGAACAATGTGGAGTGGGTATAGGTGAGCCATAGACTAGTATCAAAGCAAAAGGTGTTTCTCTCTAACGTGTATCCAGCTTTTATTATAGTCGGTGGTGGTGGTTATCACTCCGCACGCGGGTTTCCTACCGAGCAGATCATTAAATTTCATCAACTTCAATTCAGTATTGCCATATCATACTTTTCTGCAGTCTTGTTCCCAAAATTGGCCATACTTGCCATTTATCTACGTCTTTTTGACGTCAAGAGAGGCTTCCGCATAGTCACCTGGATAATTGGGGCATTCATGATCGCAAATTGGATTGGAACAACGGTGGCAATGTCCCAAATTTGCCATCCAGTGCAATTTTTCTGGAATCAAAAAATTCCCGGTGGAGGAAAATGTTTTAACATTGTGGACTTTCTTCGTTGGTCAAGTTTCATGAATATCATTACCGACCTTGCTATGCTTGTTCTGCCCATTCCTGTAGTCTTAGAATTGCAGATGTCAAAGAAGATGAAGGCTGGTCTGGTCATTACTTTTGCTTTGGGGAGTTTGTGAGTTTAAAACCATCTTCTTCTTATCTATTATCGAAACTTTTAGCTGATAATTTTTACCTCAGAGGACTGGTTACATCAATTATCCGCTTTGTTGGTTTCTTCACTAGCAACGCAGTAATAGATCCCCAATGGGCGGCTGCTCCATTGGTTACTTGGACTATTCTAGAGACTGGGACGTATTTCATTGCAGCGTGTCTTCCGACACTCCGTCCCCTTGCCGTGTTCTTATGGAAACGTAATCCTCTGTCGCAGCTACGGTCCAGAAGTGCCGTTACTAAGAACTCCGGAACCGGTGGCAGTATTGCATTGCAGAGCAGAGGCAAAGCAGGCTTCAAAACTTTCGATGATGACTCAAATGAGTTGATTGACTCAAAAGAAAGTCATCAGTGGGTATCAAGTACGACAGATGTAGAGCGAGGTACACGATCCTCAAGATCTGATGGAATTACGATCAAACGAAGTGTTGACGTCACTTCCCAATAGGAGATGGTAGCCACAAACTTATGATATCAAGAGTTTGAAATTGCTTTTATCGTAGTGTTCTTTCGTTTTCGGTTTTTGTGTAGTAAGTAGCTCAGCAATCAACATGTTTTCCCTAGAATTTGTCAGTGGTACGGCGCATTCTTTGCTTTCTCAACTCCAAAAGGGCACATTATTTTCCGTGAATGTTGAGATGAATAAGGGACATAGTAATAAGAATTTCTGTCAATATTTCAAGAAGGGCGCCTTGATTTGCCCAGAATCTCCGGTAGAAAAAGTTGCTTAAAGCAAAACTTCATAATAAGAGTCATGAGATTATACAACCACTATCCTAGCAGTCTTTACATGTATAGCACATCTCAAGGGTGGAAGACACATGCAATGGAGAAGTTGCTTACAGGCGGCAGCTTAAGAGATTTATAATACAAGGGGTGTGATTGATTATCCGGCGGAAAGACCCATCTCTACAGCTCTCCGTATAACTTTGGTAATTTCAAAAACGGCTTCTCGGTCCCGCGAGTTTGGAATCTCATGCCCTTCACCATGCAAGAATCTCCACCGCTTGTCATCCTCGCACAAATTCCATAGCTCTTGGCTTGCACCAAGAGATACACTATCATCGGTATCCCAGATGTGTGCCGTGGGTATATTGATCAAACGTAAATCATTCTCTGAGCCTCTCAAAGCTTTAACTTCCTGGTGCATGTCCAGGACTCGAGGATCAATCGGACTTGTTGCTGAAAAGAACACCGCACATTTGAACGGTAATGGGGCAGTAGGGTGAGCCAAGAGCTGTTGAATTATATAGGTCGAGATGAATGAAGCACCATGAGAAAATGCCAATACTCCGTCATAGGGACCTTCGAGGTCAAGGAATTTTGAAAGATTGGCAAGCGCAGATTCAACAGACTCGTGGGATGTAGGCGAGAAGTATGCGAAGTATTGATCACTTGAATCATAAAATGACTTCATTTCTATTAGAATATTAGCAATGAACGAAGATTGTATTGATAGTTAGAGACGTCCCTGAGGCTAGAGGGAAGTCAACATTTCCCTCAACGAAGTCAAAGGAATAATGCTGGTCCAACTCATAGCGAATTGTTGCTAGCATTAGAGTCAGAATAGTGAGCTGTCATTGTATTGTGACTAGAAATAGACATGGATATCTGTACGAACCCGTTTGACTCTCAAATATCTAGATACACATGATCAGTATATAGCTCACAATCAGATAAATGTCTTTGCAAGATTGATTCAGACTGACTTGGCTATTAGTTCCACCTCCGTGGAAGCACAAAAATCTCATTTTAGATCGCTGATGGTGAAATGTTGACGCTGCGAAAAGAGTAAAAAAGTTGAGATTGTTCGAACCCTTCGAGAGCAGTCCTGAATGTAATCCTCCCAGAAGTTTTGTTGAGGAAACTTCGACCAAGCGTCTGCTTGGGTAAATGACCAGATGATCTAATGATCAGATGAAATAGAGTGTTGTGATCCGAAATGTTAATCCTGATTGAACCGTACATATTCAATGAGCTTAGTGGGCTTAGATCAAAGCCATGGAGACCCGGTATATCGCTTATTGGAGTATATCATCGTGAAAGCTAGCAATGCTGATGGCCCTGCTGTCTATTTCCCTCTACTCCTATTGGATTTATTTACTTTATTTTGCAAGGCTCGCCGTCGCGACATAGGGTGGAACACATCGAGCAATTATCCTCACCAACTTCCTCTTTTGCCTATCTGGCTTCGGTTTTCGATTGGTCGTTGCTCATGAGGATTTTCTTCTTTACATTTGAGAAATTGGAGTTAGCCGCTAATGGAGGACCTGGTTATCCTCACTCCTTTCTCTATATTACCGGTGCATTGTAAGATTACCAGGTCACAAATCAGAAATCGTGATATTTACGGGCAACATTGTCGAAAAGATTTAAGTGTGCACTCGTGTGTGGAACCAGCATGTAAATTAAATGACAAGCCTGTCTTACATCCCATCCCAGCAATGGAACCAATCAGTGATATGTATCAGCGATGTATCTCCTGCAGTTATTCGTCTGCCGAGCTAAAGATTCAGGAATTATTACCTTTCTATCCCATTGGTCGAGATTCCAACACTGTGAAGGTGATGCTAGAAACCGTCAAATGCAACGAAATTTCATTGTCCAGCGAGACTGTTAGTTTATCAGTGGAGATATCCGGTTACGACATTCCAATAGTGGTTCAAGGTTTGGTCGAATTGTCTGCAACCATTCAAAGAAAATCTGGTGACTACGGCCGCATCTGAGCCTACTAGTCTAGGCATCGGTTCCGAATCTTGCAACTCGTTGGAAAATTGCTACGCCATCATTTAGTGATTCTCTTCGGTTGCATGCATGATCGGTTGGATTTTTAAACGAACAGAAATGTTACGCCATCCATGTTGTCTATGATGGCTAGGGTTCATGCGTAGCTCCAGGGTATCTGTTGGACCCATGTTTGAGATATACCGTACCCCGCACACTAAAAGCCAAGTTGTAGATGCGAAATCTGAGAATATGAATAATTATCAGGAACCTATAGTCTTGAACTACCTAGTTCGTCAGTCCTTCTCGATGTCAATTCTCTACGCAATATGGATCGCAATTCACTACTGGCTAGGTATGTTAACAAGTACCACATAGACTTTATCTCTCACCATGAGTATGGAGTCATCTCACAATAGAATGATCAAAATGCCTAGGTAAGGATAGCTAGTCAAGCAGACACATGTGGGAACAATCTCGATTGACCTATTCACGGGGATGATGTTTCCATAGTTCCGGAATGCATTTGAACAGAGACTGATCAAGACCTACTTTACGATAACACAGGGTACAAACGCTTCACCTCTACTCTAATGGGACAACAATTTTTTGGTTCTCGTAAATTCACGAATCAAACAACGCAACTGTATGTGCTGGCATGAAAGTGCTCGGAGTGTGCGAGATTCAAACATTGAACTTCAAGATGGAAGGGGAAAAGAGTAAGACGGAGGAATCAAAATCCGTTGCTGCAGTCAGCAAGTCTAGAAGCCAGCGGACAAGAAGCTTATCTTTCTGTGATTTGTGTATAAGCTTCGAAGCTGCATATTCTCTGGGGTAGCTGCAAACATCTCGGATACAGCTTGTCGGTTTCATGCTAGGACCCTGCGAATCTCGATTTTAAGCATTGTGTCCGATTGTGCCACTTCCTTCGCACTGCCGTGCCGCAAATTGAGCTGCATGAGGTTAATTCAATGATAAGGCGTAGACGCGCATATGTTACTATCAACCTGCATGTAACATTTTTACGATAGTCGTAAGATGCAGTCTACTCTGAATTAAGAAGCTTATCATCTCTCCCGTAGGCAGTAGGGAATAATTAACAATTAATTCGACTTCCAGGACCCGGTGAGTATACAGGTATTATATATAAACTTCTGATTGTAAAATTTATATCTCGATGAGGAAATCTATTTCTAAAGATGAGATACTAGTGTACATAGAGTATGGTGTATGATGATTCAAGGCGCACTGAGATGATAGATAGATATAGAAGTAACTAGTCTATTTTAGGATATTCTTAGAACTCGAATTGATCTTTAAACATTTCGTCGAGTACCTGGAGCTGGATTTCGAGTTGGGGTTTCGTAAAATTCGAACCATTCAGAACGTGAGAACGATAACCTTACCGGCTAGTATATTTGGCATACAAAACCAACTCGATTGATAGCTACTCCATCAAGTCCTGATTTACCTCCTCGCAGGATATTACTGTATTTTTTTCCTTGTAGAAAATCTTCAATTCTTCGACAATCTGCTGAAGTCTCATCATGGCTACAGAAAGACTCAATAAGTTTCAAAATGCTGTCCAGGCAGTTGGATCGGAGCAACTCCTCCCAAACGCAATCGACCATATCGCAAAGACCGACCCAGGGAGACTGTATGCCGAAATACCATTGTCTACAATGACTTTCGATGCAGGGTTTCGGTCGGTCTCATATGCCGACCTTGCAAACGCAGTAAACGGTATGGCCTGGTGGATTCATCGTGCTCTTGGATCCTCAAGCACCTGTGAGCCTCTGTGTTATATGGGGCCTAATGACCTGACACGAAATCTGGTCTTGCTGGGCAATTGCAAAGCAGGATACTCAGTAAGTTTCGGGATTTATGGGTTGGGTTCTATATGATGATCGCTAACTTCTTGCAGACTTTAATGATGACCCCAAGATTTAATGCTATCGCTCATGACAACTTCATCAAACAGTGCAATTGCAATAAGATTATCATGCCTCAAGGGCCTGAATCAGCTGATGAAAGCATTATCTTCCTGTACGATGAAGTTCTGCGAGCACCCACACTTGAAGAGCTATTTTCGGAGAAATTTCCACACTTTACGTTTGAGAAATCTTTTCAAGAGGTCAAGACTGAACCGCTAGTAATACTTCATACTTCTGGCACCACTGGCTTTCCGAAACCAATCATCTGGACACATGAGTATGTTGCGGGCTATGTGAAAGAAAGAAGACTTGATCCCCCGAAAGGATTCGAGAGTACCGACAGGCTAATGTTGGGAGGGAAATTAATCTGCTCCTTTCCTCCTGCTCATGTAAGAATGTTTTAACATATGTCTCTGCTTCTCGCTAAAAAATTCTAGGCTGGTCCTACATGGGTCACTCTACTTTTCACGGTTTACTGTGGTTCAACAATGGTTTACCTGTTGTCAGGCATACTGCCAACAGTCAGTATGCTCGTAGACTGCGTCCAACACAAGAAAGTCGATGCTCTTATGTTAGTTCCGCCTCAAATAGAAGAGCTTGCCATCAACTCTGAAGCTCTCCAAACTATTTCACAGAATGGTGAAACAATGTTCTATGCCGGAGGAGATGTTACTATCGCTGCTGGAGATACCATTTCTTCAAAAATGAAACTCGTCACAACTTGTGGATCAACCGAGCAAGGGTTCTGGCATACTATCCATCCTACTGGAACTTGGAATCCGAAGATGTGGAAATATATGCGTGTGCATCCGGCACAGAATTTGACTTTCCGCCACCAATCTGAAGATTTATTCGAAGCAACATACACCCTCAATGAGAGTCCTGACGGATACAAACAGTCAATCTTCACTATCTTCCCCGAGAACCCTGTATATCCTACAGGAGATTTGTTCTCTCCACATGCGGATGATCCTGAACTATGGCAATTCCGCGGCCGAGCAGATGACATGCAATCTTTCATCACGGCAGAAAAGTTCTACCCTACACAAATGGAACGCATCATTGGAGCGCACCCAGGAGTTGCTGCGGTTCTATTTGTTGGAACACGACGCCCCAAGGGCGCTTTACTCGTTGAGTTGCGAAACCCATCCGAGGACAAGGCTGCCTTTCTTGAATCTTTATGGCCGCTCGTTGAGGAGGCGAATAAGCCTGTGCCATACACTGCTAAAATCACTAAAGACATGATCCTAATCACAGACGAAGCACTTCCAATGGCAAGATCTGTCAAAGGAACCATTGAAAGAAGAGGTACGGTGAGACTTTATGAACATAAACTTGATGTGTTGTACGCAGTCCACGCTTAGAGCACAAATTTGGGGGTAAATAGTTTAATTTCCTGTATTGAGTGCCATAACTATGACATCTCATTGGAGCAGAATCTTCTGTGACGCATTCTGAAACGCCTCTTAAGGAATTAAAAATCAGTACTCTTTCCATTGACACTATTCAACTCGAACGCATATAAAATATATCTGACAAGATTAAAAGACGAGAAGTAAATTTATAACCTGAGATCCTTTATTAGCCTTAAATCCCCAAATGATTATGACCCCCCCCCCCCCCTTGCAACATCATCAGAGGGCCTCAAAATCATATGATGTATGATAGTAATACAATAAATGGAATCAAATATCCTCATCCAATGATACAAACTTTATCTTAAAGAGCACATAGTCCCTACGGCATATAAAAGCTCCATGAAAACTCCGACATGAATATTTTCTTATGTGCTTTAGAACATCAAGTTTATATGCAGGTATTAACATTTGGATTGAATATAGATTTCCAAGCTACATATTTTTTAGGCTTAAAATAATGCGTGTATTTATCCATGTAGATTAGATCCGAAATCAGTCTGGAAGAATGTACGCCATGGGTGGATATTTCAGGGGCTGAGGGTTAGCCGTTTAGGCTAAGTCGAAGCTTATCGTTATCAATGCTGCAACCCTAAGGTTAACATGAAGTCTAGGCCGCTAACTCCAATCATTATTCCATTCCAGCCTGTCACCTTCCCTATTTGTCATTTGCCATGCTGCGAACCAACACGTTAAAGATATGCTTGATAGCTTGAGTAATGTTATGTCAGCCGATCAGCGGCTGCAATCACTCGTGCAATGCTTTACTGCGAAAAATTCAACAGTTCCCGTCACTGGTTTCTTCTGGACCAAACGGCCGACAACCTTATCTATCTCAACATCCAAATACGCATAGCAATCTCCTACGGTGAATACTCTGGTGCCTTGAGTCTCTAGTTTTGTCGTTCGAATTCTGGAAGAAATTGTCTATGTCTTCAAGCATGCGCAACTCAAGAGAGAACTGGAATGAGTCGCCCGCCAGTAGAGAAAGTTCCAAAGCTGCTGCAGTTGATGAAAAAGTCGTAACTCCAGCCTACGATTCGGAGAAGATCGAACTAAACACTTCCATCGAAAATGATGCACCATCACAAGAGAAGACATATCCAAGCGGATGGAAATTTCTTCTTATTACATTGGGCATCATGGCTGCCGTTTTGGTAGTCGCTCTAGATAACTATATCATATGTAAGCCATGACTGATGCCATCTCTGCACAAACACTGATGATATCACAGCAACAGCTATCCCTCGATTAGCCACAGACTTCAAGTCAATTAACCTGACTGGATGGTACAGCAGCTCTTATTTTTGACAATCATGGCCTTTCAGCCAGCTCATGGACAGATATTTACATTCTTCTCGGTGAAATGGGCATTCTTGATTAGCATTTTGTGGTTTGAGGTTGGTTCTATCATAAGTGCAGCCGCTCCTAATTCATTTGCCTTCATTTTTGGGCGCCTGATTTGTGGTGCGGCTGCAGGAGGGATCTGGTGTGGAACACTCACACTCGTTACCAATGTGGTTCCTCCTGCAAAGCGTTACCTATACGTGTCAGTGGTTACTAGTATGTATGGTGTTTCCTCCGCAGCTGGACCGCTTCTTGGAGGCTTGTTCACAGATTCGAAGCTCACTTGGCGATTCTGCTTCTGGCTGAACCTGCGTAAGTAGTAATCTCCGTTGTAAGGTCTTGCAAGGTTCTGACATTGAATTTGAAAAGCTATCGGTTTTGTTGCCTTCTTGTTGATTACATTTTTTCTTGAGCCACCAGAACTATCGGAGCTGGGGAAAAGCCTGACTATAAAGCAAAAGATTATGAGGATCGATTTTTTGGGCACGTTTCTTTTGATTACAGCGTTCACCTGCTTTTTCCTCGCAGCTCAATGGGGTGGTACCACATACGCATGGTCTAGTTCCAAGGTCTGGGGTTGTATACTTGGATTTTTCCTTCAAATAGCAGCCTTCAGTTATCTTCAGGTTCGGTTTCAAGACCGGTAAGTTTAGATCGAGAATTTGAATATCCTTCCTAACGTTTCGCTTAGCGCAACAATCCCTATTCGAGCATTAAGAAACTTCACAGCCTTACTGTGCCTCCTTTATCAACTTTTCATTTCTATGGTCATAGCGATACAGATTTACTATTTGCCCTTCTATTTTCAGTCCGTACTTGGGCATTCCGCGGCTTCATCTGGAGTTCTCACTCTACCTTACGTAATGACGCTACTTTTTTCTCCAATGGCTAGTGGTGCTTATATTACCGCCTATGGTCATTACATCCCAATTATGTATATTGGGGCCTGCCTAGCTGTCGTGGGCTCTGGACTGTTATCTACGCTCTCCGTCACAAGCAGTCAGGCGCAGTATGTGGGCTATCAAATTATAGTCGGTTTAGGAGCTGGGATAGTTCAACAGATTGCCTTCACAGCTGTGCCTTTAGCACTTCCGCCAGCGGACGTAGCTACTGCGAGTGCGCTGGTATCTTTCTGTAACAGTCTTGGGCCGGTAGTAGCCCTTACTGTCGGAAACATTCTCTTCACTAACCTCTTTGGAAGTAAATTGGCAGAAATTCCAGGGTTGAATGGGAGGATTACTGGATCAGAAATCAAGGGACTGGTAGACCTTGGAACACTAGTACCAGCTCAGTACGTGGAAAGTGTCAAACAAGCATTGTCGTTCGCTTTGAGCCGGACGCTTGTGTTTGCAATACCAGCTGCAGGATTAGCCGCATGCTGTGGTTTCGTAATCCAGCTTCTTTCATGGAAAAGAAAAAGAATCAGCAGTTCAGAGTCGGGAGAAATGACAGGAGAAATACATCACAAAAGTGATGACAAGGTCTGATTTGCATGCGTACATGAATTCTCGCGCAAACCTCCTCATTTTATAATAGCTAGTACTGTGTAGATATTTCTTATCTCTTCAAAAGGGCTAGTGAATAAATTTTTTGGCTACTAGTTCTCTGTGGCTTTGAATAGTTCCTTGCAAGAAGGCGATGGATTGGCATCTAAGTTTAGCGTTTAGCTTAGCCTGGAAACATCCCAGGGTGACTTGAGCACATTTGAAAATAACTGGCTCTGCAAGGGGTTAGATCTTACCATCCCAGAAGATCGAATACTAGTACCCTGCAAGGTAAGCCCGAACAACAGGGACTGTCAATATTCCAGAAAGAAATTAGTTCCTATGGGATCAATACTACATACATACCTATTCCAGAATGACTGGGTGCCGTCTATTCCGCACGAATTAAATGAGTTAGCATCCTTGAAATCAGAGCAATTTGAGTGAAAGACAGCATGGTAAGCACGTGTAATAAGCACTTCATGAATATGACTTGCGATTTATCCCCGTAAGTGGCGTTTCTAGCTTTGAGAAGACTTATCAAAAACGGTATATCTGTGTATATAAAAGAGTAGAACGTAAGGCCTCGAGCTCTGATTCAATCTTCGACAGTACCTATCATCCCTCTACTTTGACATAAAGAGCTTTCACAATTCTAGACTACTTTCGCCGCTTATAAATGTATTCTCAACACCTTCTTTCCGTCGCTGTCTTGACAGCTAATCTTGTCTCTGCATCAAGCAACCCGACATACTTCAACCTCACCGCCATCTCTGCCGTGAACAATGCTTCATTATTCCAATGTTGGCAACTAACAACCCCAATCACTTCATCTGCCCAGAATGGTCTTTCGGGAAGCATGGTGCAGCAATTGGGCGCTTTGAACGGCAATGCTACCTACGGCTACCTTCCGGCAAACTTCCCGGGTGCAAATCATCCAGCGCCAGGAAACCAGTGCGTGATTCCCTGTGAAACTTTCATACACTATGATGGAAACTAACTTCTATGCTAGATATGTCGTTATCTTGTCTGGCAAAATGATAGTCACAGTCCCAAACACTACTGAGCGCGCAATCTTCACAGGAGGGGCAAATAGCGTGATTATTGCTGCGGATACGGCGGATAAGAGTATCATCGGCCATGTCACAGGAACATTGAATGAGCCTGTAGCAGCTTTGCAGATACCTTTTTTGAATGGTCAAATTCCTCCTTACAAAGTGTTATACAATGGCGCTTGTGAATCTAGGGAACTTAACTTTTGTTAGTGCTTAGAGTGGGTACTTGGTGGAGAATGAGGAGTGGGGTTGTTTGTCGAAGGACAGGCTTAGTGTAATTTCTCTGGATACCTCTTCACAGACACTCGGGTTCTTATATGTCGCTTGATAAAAGATTTTCGGCAGTCAATTGAGTTGGGATGATAGTAGGGGGGCAATTTTCTTACCGAGATCGGGATAAAGCAATTTACAACACTTAAAGAACCTCAACATATGTTGCGATATGAGTGAATATGCACTATACACTGGCGCACAAGCGTATTACACATATCTTTCGTGGCTGTGAGCCTAGAATAAGACAGACACAATATAAATCAATGCATTAAGCCTGTTATGAAGACATCACAATCACCAGCGCGGTGATACCAATAATGGAAAAATTTCCCGTTAATCTTTTTTTCCTGCCTACATGAAGACTTGCTTTGAATGAGTTTCAGAATTCATGTAGATCAAAATTCTATCTTTTGTTCTTGAAGTTTTCTCTTCCCTTTATCATATAATTATCAAAGCATTGTTTCCCCAAATCATGGTTTTGAGGTACTCCGATAAATATGATTTTGTTCTCTCTTCGAACTCCTAGGCCTCTAATGGAACTTCTAGCACGAATTGAAGCTCAGTGAGACCCCCGCCCCAGAATGAATTACCCACCTGGTTTCTTTTATGACAAATTAATTTAGCCATTCTTCACGGATAAGTCATACTCCTCAAGCATCTCTCCAGAATCAAGTGAAGGAGATAAATGGCATGGGATGTTCATTCAGAACTAATATATCGAATTTCAAATTTGCAGATCACAGTGAATAGCGTTTCTTTGCTGTGCAACACCATTTCATTCGGTTAATTCTCATGAATCTCAATACATTGTAGACGAGGGCTTCGGTGCACATCACCCAGAATTCTCCTTCGCCTATCCATATTCTTCCAAAATGGGAGACCTTTTGACAATCAATGAGGAAGTAAAGATATCTCATATGTAAAATTATTATTGGGTTTGAGTATGCTCCTCCGCTTTCAGTCTATCATTTTACGTCCCCAAGGTTCTTCCTTTCCTAATTGAATCCTTGACCTCGCAAGATTGTCTACTCACTAGACTCGTCGTAGAATCGCCCCCCCCCCATTCACAGTCTCAAACTTGCTTGTGAGTAAGGCGTGCAACCATTTGATCTCCAGTATGACTATCGACATTTTCGAGCTACAATAAAAGGGTCCAACAAGAGACATGGTGAGGGAGTTGGAGGAGATAATGAACAAAGGATTTTGAAGAGAGAGTCATTTCGAAAATTAGCTTTATACGATTCGAAAAGAAGTGTTCGGAGACTTCAGCCAGTTTGTTCAGAGTTCAGATGTCAGCTTGCCTTCTTATACCACAACTTATTTATTTAGACCTCTTTGCTGTAGTGCTATTAAGTCCTAGTGGGGAATGCTTGTTGCTCCTAATCACTTTTGGAGGGTATTCGAGAAGAGAACATATGTACTTGGGACTCAATCCCAGAGATGGGAGGTAAAATAGGATATCGATGAATGGCTGGATTGACCCCGGACGCAAATATGGTAATAGTAAGGTACAGCGGGAATGTTGCTGCCACAGACAAACTAGATATCCCCCACATAATTTTCTCCGCATCCGCAAGAAACAGTTATTACACGGAAGAATGGATGTGGCCGCGTAAACTGAGCTCATGAGTTTGAGATTCACCTATCCTTTCTTCCAATATGCATCCTTGAGTCATTGACACAAAAATTATTGGCATATTTCCGAGGATGTTGATCCAATATCTCCAATATCCAGGTCAATACCATTCATGACGACTGATGAAATTTATTGAATTTTTTGAGAGTAGCTCCTGCAGAAATCAGGATTGTATATGAACTTTGAAGGAACCACTCTTGTCGGTGTAGAATAGAACCAAAACTATTAGTGCTAAGAGTTTAGACTATATAAGAAGCCACTACAGTAATAACTTTCATATGTTTCTCTAACGACGTTATCTCACTATTTCCAACCTCTGCTCTACGATTTCTCAAAGCAACAACTTTTGATATCACAAAGAAGTATAACAAATATGACAACACCTAAGATACTGAATAAACCAGATCGTAAGAGACCCAGAGCAACGAGAGAATGACGCTCAGACAAACGAGATATCTTTATTTTCACTAGATGGTCTGTATGGCACTAGCGTGCTCAAAACCAATAAATCAGAAGAGTATCAAAGAGGCAAGAGAATAATATCAGAGGTTCTGAGCACATCTGATAGATGGGCCCGATAGGAAATAACTAGGGATTGAATAAATACACGGACACGATCTTCCAGTGGCTTATACAATTCAAGACGAGGGCAAAGATGTTACATAATTAGTGGAGATATGCAAACTACACGAGCGTGAGGAGAATGGAAGTAATGAGGATTGCCGGACTAAAGCTAACAACGAGCAGAGAGGCTAAAGAGGGTCGTTCTCGAGAAAAAGTGTTTCATCGTGTTAATTGGAAAAATTAAACATCATGATAGAAGTCAACGTTCGCGATTCAGTCAGCACCTAAACTAAGTGGAGTAAAAGGTACTGTCTGATCAAGAAATACTGAGACAGTGGTTCTTTCTCGCTGATATGTGTAGCGTAATAGGGGGTCAATGTTTGATACGTTGCTAAAAATTGAGAGGAGCCACGCAATTGAAAGAGGGGGGGGGGGGATTAGATCGTTGAGTTTTTGAGATGAAGCCGCCCAGTGACTGAAAATTCTACGCTCCCACTTTAGAAAAAATATGAGAAGATAATTCAGTCAAGCTATGTTGCTCATACACGTGACAACTATAAAGAAAGCATCAATACAGGATATACCCAATGTATATCATCTCTACCACAACATTCATTCGCCTCGAACAAATCATCCTCCCACGCCCCCACCTCTCCCCCCTTCTTCACTTAAACTCCAGCTCATCCTCCCCACAAACCCCATCATGCAAAACCTTATACCCCGGCGGTACACCCCCCAAAAAAGGTATCTGCAGCGTCGCAACTGGTTCATCCAACGACGCCGTCATATGTCCATTCGCACTTTTATCTTGCGTATCTGCTGCTACAATAATACCATTTGCGCCTGCTGTGAAAGTTGCAGTCTGGTTTGTTTCGGATATGGTGATGACCATTTGTCCTGAGAGAAGAACCACGTATCTGGTTGTTCGGTTAGATTTGATTTTATTTTGCTTTGGGTGGGGTGATAGAGAGGAATGAATGATATGAGAGACAAACTGTGCAGCAGGCGCTACATGGGCAGCGCCGGGGAAATTAGCAGACAGATATCCATAAGTCGCATTTCCCATCGCGCCCAAATTCTGTAAAATCATCTCGCTACCGTAGCCAGGCTGCTCACCAGAGATAATGGGATCGGTGAGTTGCCAGCATTGGAATATAGATATGTTTTTCGAGGCGGTGATAGCGGTTAGGTTGAAGTTTGTTGGAACTGCGTTAACGGGTGATGGATAGGAGGCGAGAAAGGGGACTGCGAAAAGATATGGAGTGTATTGGGGATGCATTTTAGATCTAAGGGGTTGAATATGGAAATGGGGAATTGGATCACGAGTAAACGTCCTTCAATGATACTGACTTTATATACATATGATAATAACAAAGCTTCCTCAAGCAGACGCTAGGATCATGCGAATGCGGGGTACCTATTTTTACCGTTCCCGATACTATAGGTTGGTTCTAGATAGGCATATAGTGTTGCATATGCATTGAGTCAATCCCGCAAAATACAAAGGCAGTGATTGGCACTTGATCCTTTAACCTTTACGGCATAGCAGCTGATGTCAGCCCCTGGATCTTTGGACTTATGCAGTTCGATCTAGACGTTAAGTGCAGTAATTCGTCGATCCAACAGTTGGGTCCAATGTAATCTGAACATCACCCACCATAAGTTTCACCAATCTCCAACTCATATATGTAAGGTGGTGCAGTTTATGGACAGCCAGCAACTGAATTCGAACCATTCCGACTGAACCAAAGCTTTGTAGCATTAATTATCAAACAAAAGTGCTACTGGTAGAATTCGGATGTGTATGCATTTGAACAAGGAGCTTTGATTCATCTCCTTCCACAATCAGAGTTAGGCGCAGGTAGTCTTTTGCATGGAATCTCTACTAAATCAAGTACCAATACTGAAATAGCGATTCGTGCAAATTATTGCAGCTCTACTGTGGATGCGGGTGTAAAGCCTAATGTTTGTCTTGCACTTGTAAATTCATGATTGGCTCGTTGGTTGATATAATGCTCCACAGAATTAAAGACTATCGTCGATTCAAGATCAACCGATCTATAGGAAAGTGCATGCACTTGCATTAGTCTATCCAATAGTAGAAGGATAGGATGAACAGCTTGAAGCAGGTATAAGTAAATGTCACTCGATGGGTTTTCACTTGTTCTTCGGAGAACGGCTCCCAGATTCTCTACAGTAATTACATTTCTCACGTTAACGGTGAATAGTGAACGAAAAACAGAAATGGAGACGGTGAGATGGATCTTAATATTGGAAATTGAACTTCGTTATTCATCCCACCTCCATCATATCGCACCAAAGTGCTAACTATCTGAAATGAACTCGTTAAAATATCGGCATGCATTCGTCCCGTCTTCGTATCATGAAAAACCATATCCAACGCCAAATTCCACCATGATTCAATATCCAGTTATCGGGATAACCGATTATAACTGTTTCTCAGAGGCGAACCTCTTGCCAATTCCTTCCGTTTCATATTCGGTGCCTCGTCACCCCATCCAATACTTCTCGTCGTCATTCATCGTTCGCGCCTTGTCCGTTTGCACCTCGCTCCACTACTCTATCACCCCTAATACCGATCATCATCATGACGTCTTCCATGGGAATGGCTAGAATGCCTCGAATGACTTCTATGTTCGTGTCCGTGATGTCCGTGATGACCATGATCATGATGTCTTGAATGCCTATCCTCTTCATATCCTCCATGACCACTATACTTTTCATCCCGGTACCCACCATGCTGCGAGTGTGATCCCTCACCATCTCTTGGCGGCGAACATTCCCGTCCAGTTTGCGCATCCTCATAGTATTCTACATCACGATTGTTGTGATCTTTTCTATATTTCTTCACTTTGTTTCCGAGAAATTGTCCGGCGATCATTCCACCAGCTGCATACAAGAGTTTTCCCATTGTACCGCGACCGGTTTGAGATGCGACACCCCAGCCTCCGGCGGCGCCGAGTCCCATAGATACAAGTCCACGATCGCCTTCGATGGGCTGACCGTTGGCATCGAGTTGTTGGGGTGGGAGATTAGCGCCGGGTTCGTGGTAGGTAGGTGCGCCACCAGGGGGTGCAGAGCCATAGGGAGCTGGTGCGCCATAAGGAGTGGGGGCTGGGGAGTAGCCACGGTTATCGGTGTAGGCGTTTGGTTGTTGGTTTCCATATGGATCATTTGGAGGAGGGTAGGGATTTTGTCCATAGGGAGACTGCTGAGGGGGAGCTCCGTAGGGACCTGGAGAGTGTGCTGGAGAAGGACCGGGTGCGCCATATGGTGGTTGAAGGTTCTGTGGTGGGTAGGGGTTTTGGGAGTAATTTGGGGCAGGAGGGTAGGCGGTGTTGTCTTGACCGTATTGAGGTTGTTGAGGATACGGTTGAGGTGGGGCGGCACCGTATGGTTGATGTGGTGGGTAGGGGTTTTGGTTTCCACCACCATAAAAGTCCTGGTTGGACATTCTGTTTGAAATGATTTACTTGGGTTGTTTTCGTTACTTGAATTATATCTTGAGGTGTGGTGTATTTGATGATGTTCGCGGCAAGTTTGATGGTTGAATTAGATGAGATGTGACCTCTGATCAATGTAAAAGGAGGAGTGGGCAGCTCAGATGAGGGTGGGTAAGAGGATCTTATATAGGGCAGAGCACAGTACGGATTATGGTAGTGATTGAGGCACAGTTAGGGCAGTGAATCAATCACCTGCAGTCTCGCAAGGGATTCGAGCCACTCAGGCCTAAAAGCCTAATTGGCATAGCTGACTGTGGTGAGTGGGGAGCATAGGGCTTACACAAGAACTTTGGTTGGTTCATTAGCAAGTCATGTTCCGAGTTCCGTGGTGAGGGGCAATCTACTGCGCCACGAGTACAAAATTATCCCGGTTAGTCATGCAAATCATGCAATAGATCCCTTCTAGAAGCTTGAAGAACCTTTCTCTGGAGAACGATCATGGTTCCTGATAATGCTGGCATGATGGTATGTTTGAAGCGTTTGATGGTTCATCTGTTCTTGTGTAAGTGGATGATCGCACGCTGAGTGTGTTGAAAATGATCCAAGCACCAATTTATCCCAAGACTTCCACACTTATACATTGATTACAATGTTGATTGCGTAGGACTTTCGATTAGGCTATTCGCATTCGTATTCATCTCGAAATATGAATGTTTACGAGTTCTGCGAGTATTACGAATTTTGCGAGTAATTTAGCATGTTAATCCATTAATTTATACGAACGATAATAAGCCACTTTCTTATTACACTAATGACCATCTACCTTCTCGCTTCCAGCCCCTTCATCAAAAACTCATCATCCATACTCAGCCCAATAAGATAAGATGCAAAAAACGTCATCAACCTCGAAAAGACAAACTGCCACTCTACGCCTTATTGCCAAGCCACGAACCCTCAGCCCCGAGCCACCTTGCGCAACGAATGCCGAATTTCCGTTCTTGGCAATTGTCAATGCTAGGATATATTTTCGCTATCATGTAATCATTGCAATAGCTGCTGTATAAACAAATGAACACATGTGTTGTCTATGCAGTATGTTCCACTTTCAAGCCTCGTGATCTTTTTTCGGCGATGATAGGAAAAGAAGAGGGAGGGGCCGGATTAATGATATCTAAATTGTGTATTGTTCTGATTCAGTTGTGCGTGTGTCTATTGAGAAAGCGCAGGTTTCCTCGTTCGGTGCCGACTCAGTACCGAGGAGGTGCTTACTAGATCCGGAGAGTCCGAAATTTCTTCTGTGGGAATCGTGGAAGTGGTCACGAGGTACAAGAGTCATTACACTCCCTTGGCATTTTGTGGCATCAATAGTTATCCTCTATGATGTTCGACAGTTGTTGGGTAGGCCATCCTCGAACATCCCTTCGATTGTTCAAGGTAAGAGAAATGGAGTTATGCGATCAATGTTTACGTTGTAATTTTGCTCGTAATTATATATACTACCTAAATGGTAATCTCATCGAGCCTCATCCCCCCGAATTCCGATAGAATTATTTCCATAGTTCAATTCCATGTTAAAAAAAAATCAAACTAATCTAGATCTCCCATACCCATCATCCAGGCCAATGCCGGCCCGCTCATCATAGAAAACCCCACCTCCTTCCATTGCAGCTTGCCTTTGCATCATTTCGTCCGGTCCCGTTCCCACCTCACTAACCCAATCTTCTACATATGGAGATTGGTAATTTGTATTCAAAGGACCACCATAATTTCGACTACCACCTTGGCTACGGTCATGAGTAGTATAAGGCATCATAGATGGTTCCATTCTCATCGAACGCCGTTCACTCATCTCCCGTTGTAAGTCTGCATTGCTTCCCACCCCTAAAGGAGAACGAGAGTGAATAGATCCATACCGGGACGATGTAAGAGGACTGTCCATTTCACCGTACATCAGAGGATTGGGACTTTGGTGGAGATTGCTGTGGTGGGGATGGGGACTCCTCATTGCTATTTCATTTCGCTCGTCGTACATCATTCTAGGTGTAGAACGTTGGGGTAGACGTGGAGAATTGGGGTAGTATGCGGCTGGCTGATATTCTGGCGTCATGAGATATTCGGGAGGACCGGGTCCTAGGTCCTGGAATTGTGTTCGTAAAACTGGGGTGCGAGGGCTGTAGTATCGAGGCCTTTGAAGGCTAAAATCCGGATAAAAATCTTCCTGTTGATGTTGACGGCTTGGATTGGGATGTCCTTGATTCAATGATCTGGATGTCATGTTGCGATTTATCAGACGTTCGAATGTCCCATGTTGATCCGAACCTAAATTTGATTGCAATCTCCTTCTATCGAGTTCTTCAAAATCTTCTAGACCCAGTGGTGTTGTGCCCAAGATATGATTTCGATCGCGAGGATCTTGTCTACCGAGTCTGAGAGCTTCAAGACCCCCGGGGTTTTGGCCAATACTTCTAGATCTTGGGCCTATTCCTCCCATTGCAAGGGCTTCCAGACCACCTGATCCTTCCAAATATCTTCCATCTGGACTAGAATGATTTCGTTGGAGTAAAGGTAAAGACAACCCCGTCGAGGGGGTGAGTGGTTTCCCATTCTTGAAGTTTCCCTAGGAGAATTCACCATTCTGCTCATGGACAATTGGTCTCTAGGAATTAGTTGTCTGGGGTTAGGATTAAAATTTGGACAACCTTCCCAATGAACACCATTCTTCTCATGGCGAATATCGTAGCAGCCGGATGTTGAACCTTGATGACTACTTAAGTGTGAAAGAGCATGTCGAGAACCACGATGAGATCTGGCTAGACCAATACTTTCGAGAAGCATGTCGATGAAAAATTTCACTTTGGGCTTGGATATTGACTCAACGTTATGTTGCATAAATATGAAATGAGAAAAAGAAAAAGAAAAAGAAAAAGAAAGAAAAGGGTTGTGAAGACAGAGGGAGGAAAGATGATAAGCAAACTTCTACTTCTGTGCCAACCGATACCGGATACGACAGTGGACAGCCATATGTGAGTCAAGATATCTTCTGACGATAAATGTATTTATGAAGAGAAAGAATTGATGCTTCGCTTGTTTGCTTGTTGAGGGATTTTGACAAACTGTAACACCTGTTCGTGGTCAAAAACCGCACAACGTGATAGATTGTATGATGACCAGCCAATAGTTTGATTAGATATTTGCATGAGCTACGAATCCAAAGTTCTATAGGTACAATGATGATTGTCTACTCAGAATCATCGTATTGATCTTCCGGGTGAGCGAACAAACATTTTGATACGACTTGGCCCCCAAGTATAAGATCGTCCGATAGCCGGATATTTTCAAAGGATGTACGATGGGGTAGGTGGTGAATGATAATGATCTAAATCATTTGTTAGACGCAAAAACGGTCTCGTCAAAGCATTCCAGGACCCGAGTCTAGACAAGCAAAAGCTTCTTTGAGCTTTGCTCTTTTTTCTTGTGGTATTTTACATGTTTCTTTGATTGATCGATAGGGAGACTATTAGCACCGGTTTCCTCGATACAGGAAAGTTTCGCGTTTAGATACAGCAAGCAATACAAGAACGATGTGATAGACAAGTGGTAAAGGTGGAATGGAGAACGGGAGATACTTGAAATGATTTTCGATTGGTGGAATTTGGTACTCGCTACTATAAACGGTGTTGTTATTAATGTAGGACAGAAAGCCTACTTATAGCTCGCTAGATCACTTGGTCGATCGAAAAATTCAAGTAATGGAGGAGTCGAATAGACACCTACAAGATAGATAGAAATGGTCGAGGAAATAGATACAAAAAGATGCAAGAATTGAATGAATTGATAGGCAAGAATAAGAGCATAGAAAGATAGGAATGCACGCACAAGCTATACGGAATGTTATGGGAGATCCAGCAATATAAAGATTTATATCAAAGTATCAGTCCATCAAGACCATTGAGTGTAGTCTCCTTTCGATGATACCCGTAGAAACAGAAGATATCACTAGTATCAGAGAATATCGCTTCCGTGGTTCTTCGAGGAATACTGCGATGGAAGCAGAAAAGGTGACACAGTAAGTTATTTATATATGAATGACTATTGAATATGAGAAGTTGTCCTTATATATCGAAAGCTATCGAGATGCAGGAAGATATTGAAAACAAAGTTGCTCTGTAGGAAGAGGATAAAGTTGTTCTTCGTCGTGTTAATGGTAAAGAAACAAGGGGGCAAAAGAACTTAACAACAGTTACATGCGTATACACATATATCTGAGCTTAATATTTTCTTGTTCGCCGATGAGGTTGGCCAAGGACGGATGTAGGATCTTTATTTGATGCATATCACGTGAACGCTAAACCCTAAGCGTACTAACTCCTTGGAGCTACTGACCTTCGACGTTTCTTGCCCTTAACAACTTCCTTCGCTTTTTTTGTACGAAATTCGAGGTTCCTCAAATATCCAGAAGAAACAGTCGCCCCCGCAAATTCACGAAGAAAATTCAATCTTAAATCAATATCATAAGATATTCATTTACAGACAACTTAATCCTTCTCTACAATCTTTGAACAATACTTACTGCATATTTAAATTTGTGCGCATTATTCGCATTCAATCTAAAAAGTCGCCGCGCGATCAAAACTTTTACATCTACACACTTCCTTCCTCATTGTGAAAACAAGAGAAAGCTACCAACAAAATCAATATGCCTTCGCAAATGCCGTCAAGTTTTGCTTCTGCTGCAGCAGCGGCTGCAGGTTCAGGTTCGAGTCGCGATTCTCGAACGGGAAGGAACGAAAGTGCTCGTGGTAATGAATGGTATGTTTGATTCCTTCACACAGTGTGTCTTCTTGAAATTTTATTACAATCGCCCTATTGCTATAATTGAGTTATTTTGGTAAAAAAAGATATATCTCCATTCATTCTGATTTCTCTGCCCCTTTGATCCAATTACTCTCTTGGGTGTTCGATGGTTTGAAAATTCCAGACGTCATACCACCAAACCCTTCTTGGGGTTAGATCATAATTACGAAATGCATTCAATCACCGTCGAAGATATCCGTCGTTTCTTAAGTCAATCAGACTCAGGTACTAATGTAATCTCATATGGTAGGGCCAGAAGAGATACTAGATCTACCAACGGAAGTGGAAGTGGCACACTGACCTTCCGTCGTTCTTCCAACGCTCCTCATACATTATCCGCACAAGCAGAAAATCTCCCAGCACACAGTTTCGAAGCTTCCGATGACGTACCACAACAGCCAACTCAATCATATGAGCCATCTGTTCCTGCAGATCTTCGTTATCCGAAAAATCATTTATTGGATTTATACCAGAAACATCGAGAGGCTAAAGATTCCGGCGCACGCAATAGCGACGTCTCAAGACTTTATGTTGAAGGCTGGAACCCGGGTCAGTCGAATGGAACAAATGGTCGAGCATGGGGTAAGGTCACCGATGGTAGAGAGACCCATGGTCCAGATGCATGCTGGGATATGAGTGGTAGTCAGAGACCAGTTTCATTGGAAGAAATGACTGAAGAGGAGAAAACCGTCAGTTTACCTACCTAGCAGCTCGCCGAAGTAATTAATACTAATCTCTACATTAGCTTTTCACTACCGATGTTAATTCTCCCATGAAACCACCACCACAGAATCAGAATAAGGGCTCGAACGAACAAGGATCCAACACAAATGGTCGCAAAACGTCGGTTTCTCATGGCTCTGGCAACTCCAATTTCGCAGTTTCTTCGCCAGCATCAAGCAGACCTGGTACGCGCCGCAGGGAGACAAGCGATGCGGTCCCGTTCGCTGCTGGATTAGGATCTCCTGCTGGGACTGGTCGATTCCCCCGAGACGAATCCTCTCCGTTTTTTACTCGTAAGCTTACGGATTTGAAAGATGATGGAGACGATAGAGTGGATGAACCCAAAAGCTCCTTACCATTTGGTCCCTTGATGCGTTCTAATACAGGCGGGGCCAACTTGGGAAGTGCGCCACTATCTCCATGGGGACCAGCGACTACAAGTGCAACGATGACTCCAATGGGAACCTTTGGTGCATTTGCGATGCCAACTCCGACTACTCCTAGTGAGAAACGACCAGGATTTGGAAGCATTCGAGGAGAAAGTCGACTTGCACATCTTATGCCGAAAGAAAAATCGGAGGATAGCGCATCGCAGCCTGCCGAGCGTTCATGGAGAACTAGACCTCGAACTGATACGGATCCATTTGGCGAGGACAGTGTTCCTAGCGGCAGCGCTGGTCTTGGAGGTGGTCAAGATACTAGCCCAACCTTGAATCCTCAACGAAAGGCTCCAGGACTTGATACTCCAATCCGTGGACTATCGAGTGACTTCGGGATGTCTGATATGCCTGGCTTCCGAGATGCCCAACTACGTGCTCAAAGCCACCAGACACCGCAAGGACAACATTTCAATGAGCCATTGAGTCCCGATACTAACCCGTATCGCAGCCCACCCGAGGAACGTAGACACGATGATAATTCCTTTGACGATGACAATTCTCACGAGCGACCCCAACCATTAGGAGGTATCCCAGAGCATACACCAAATGCTTTTGGTAATCTTTCCAGAAATTTTGGTAGTGGTGCCTTCGACGGAAGCGATCGTAGCCAAACATCTAGTGTTGTAGGTGGTGTGTCCCGGGGACCGTTCGCAGCTTTAGGGGGACTTCCGTCATTGAGTAATGTTGGTGGTATGGGGGGTTGGCCTACAACTAACAATATGGTCTCTACACCGGACCGTGAAAATCGATCTGTATTTCCAAGCGCATTTGGAAACTCCATATTTGGACCTATGGGCGAAATACCATCGCCGGTCCATAGCTCTATGGAGGGGGTATGTTTGGGCATGGAAACCCAATGGGTTCTATCGGGCGTGGAAGTAAGCTTGGATCTTTGTTCCCTCCAGCCATGCAGGCTCAGATGCAAGGTGCAGAGAACGACAATTCTGGTGAAATAGGAGATATACGACAAAACAGTGCATTTGGAGCGATTGGCCGAACCCAATTGCACCACGGTAATTTCTATGGATCAGAACCTCGCACCCAGGAACCATTCTCAGCAGCGGAGTCTCAGCCTGGTGCACCAATCCCACAAGCTCTTTCGGCTCAATCTAATTACCAACAAGCTCAAAATGGGCCTGACTCTGCACCTGGTCAACTTCCCAACTCTCAACAACGTATGATGGTTATGCCGGATAGAATGCGATGGATTTATCTTGATTCTCAAGGACAGCCTCAAGGCCCGTGGTCCGGTTTGGAAATGCACGATTGGTATAAAGCCTCATTCTTTACTGCTGATCTCTCGGTCAGAAAACAGGAAGATACTGAGTTTGAACCCCTTGGTCAGCTCATTCGTCGTATTGGAAACTCTCGTGAACCATTTCTTGTGCCTCAAATTGGCATCCAGCATGGTCCTCCTACTACTCAAGCTACCTCTTTTGCTTCCGCTGCTACAGCTCCTACTGTTCAACCTGGATCTGTTCAGCCTCCATTTGCCGGAGCATTCCCAAGCTTCGGTACTACATTGACCGCCGAGCAGCAAAACAATTTGGAGAGACGTAAGCAAGAGGAACAGTACCTCATGGCTAGACAGAGGGAGTTCTTGGCGGCTCAACAGGTCAACATGAAGCAAATGCAAATGGGCGGCCTTCCTTCGACCTTGCACCACCATTCAAGTGCGCATAGCTTGCAAAGTCAACCCAGCTTCGGCAGCATGACATCACCAATTTCTATGCCACCTCAACCTCCAATGCCTGGTGGATTTTTCGAGTCCGGCCCTAGACCAGGTCTGTCGCAGATGATGGGAGGTATGTCCAGTGAGTTTCTTCACGATGATTTAGCTCGCCTCGGTCTCCAAGATCGTCAACAACCCGGAGCAGTCGGTGCGCCAACCTCTCAAGCTCAGCAAATCAATGCACTTTTTGGCCAACCTCAACACATTGGCGCTCAACGAGAGGCTCCTAGAGCAGAGCCGAATGATCCCGAAGGTTTTGTAGCTCGTCTTCGACAATTCAATCAGCTTAGAGCCGAGCATGATGCAGACGAAGCTGCACAATCCTCCACAAATGAGGATCCCACTCCTCAGCCAGCTGAAGCTGAAGCGAAAGCCGAAGAGCAACAATCACAATCCCAAGAAGAGGAGAATGTGGTGGAGGAAACACCTACACCAAAATCCCCTGAGGTCCTCTCTTTAACTCAACAAATCAAGGATCAACAAGCTTCAACCGCATCAGCACCAGCCAAGCAATCTCCAATATCGGCCCCTCAACCCGAATCTCCTTGGGCCAAGGTGAATACTAGTCTTCCAATGCCTTTCCCACCTCCGGCACAATCAACGACCCCTCTTCCTGCTCCAACAGCACAACGAGGAGGTCGCTCCGGCCTGCCAGATTCCTTACATGCGGAAGTCCAATCGCGTTCTGAGACTCCTGAGGCAGTTAGCGCTGGACCAACCCTTGCACCATGGGCTGTTCAACCTGTCGAGGCTCCTAAGGGCCCGTCTCTGAAAGAGATTCAAGAAGCCGAAGCAAAGAATGCTGCTCAAGCAGAGGAGGTTGCCGCTGCTGCTCGTCGTGCTTTGCACGAACAAGAAATGAAGATGCTTGCTAGTCAACCAGCTGCACCAGCTCCAGGTCTCCCAACCACATCCACCTGGGGTGCCATAGCCACACCTACAACTCCTTCTAATGCTTCATCTGTTTGGGCCAAGCCGGCTGCTGCCAAAACTCCTGTAACTGCCACTTCTTCCAAGAAGACTCTCGCAGATATCCAAAGAGAGGAGGAATTGCGCAAAAAGAAGCTTGCGGCTAATGCAACAGTATCTCAACCTTCTCCCGTTGCAGGTGGCAAACGCTACGCTGATCTAGCAAGCAAGCCATCCGTAACCACTCCTGCCATGGGAGGAGGCTGGTCTACTGTCGGCGCCGCTGGCAAGGTTAAGATTCCAACAGGACCGTCTGCTGCAACTTCACCTGTCCCGGCTCGTGCTGCCAGCACTGCTTCTGTAGCTAGTCCTGCCGTTCGAACAATACGACCAACACCATCCGCTCGCAACGTAACTATGGCTGGTACTCAGGCTGGTGGCAATACTGCGAATGAAGAGTTCAAAAAATGGACAAAAGCTACTTTGAGTGGTAAAGAGGGTCTTAATTCTGATATTGATGGTGAGTCGAAATTGATCTAAGATGCATTTGCCAAACTAACGTATCTCTAGTTGACGTTTTCATGAATATGTTGTCTTCATTCCCAGATGAAGCTAGTATTATTGCAGATGTTGTGTATACTAATTCCCGTGTGATGGACGGCCGTCGCTTTGCCGAGGAATACATCCGTCGCCACAAATTGGCCGATAAGGGTATCGTTGAGCCTGCCAATACTGGATCGAATGATAAGTCCGGTGGAGGTGGATGGAGTGAAGTCGCCAAGAAGGGTCCACCAAAGGAGGAACCCACAGCTGGTTTCAAAGTTGTTCCCACCAAGAAGAAGGGAAAGAAATGAGGGATTATATGACAATATCTGATTGAGCCTCTCTGTATTATGGATAGCTTTGTCTGAATAGCGATTTTGTATTGCGGACTGGATTGTTCTTACTAGTCAGCTATCAATCCATGGAGATCATGTTGACTGACTGATCACCTGCTGAATTAGCGAAAAAGCAAATAACTACATTTTGCCGTAAAAATAGTATTAGGAGAACATCAATGTAATAGTTGACCACATATGAATGTCATGAGTGAGTTCTCTTCCACCATTTTTCGGATGATATGTGAACTTTTCAAACATTGGATTTTGAAGTATACCGGTACATGAAATTACATGAAATATGAAGTCCGATTTACGAGGTATTTATTGTTTGATGTTTGAAAATCATCGCTTACAAATCATTTCACCCGACCTTGATAAATTTTCCCACATGAAAAAAAAAGAATTGAAGCCCAATACAACAACAACAACAACAAAAATATATTCATTATGTCTTTCGCCTCAGATCTGTCTACCGGCGGTAAAGGTGGTACACTCGATGCTTTATTGTTCAATTTAGAGCAATTAAAAGAACTTGAAGCTGTATCGGAAATTGTTACAAATTATCTCAGTGGAGATTACAAAGCCGTCCTCCGCACGCCCACTGCGCAAATCCTGATACAAATCTTAGCAGAGAACGTTCATCTTTCCAAGGAAGATCAAACTCTTGCTCTCAAAGATGCAAATCTTCAAAATCGGGAAGTCATTCTTTATACATTCATCACGGGATTAGCAGCGTTTAACGCATTCCTCCAAACAAATGTCACGGGACCTTCAGTGGATTTTGGAGATGTTTTTCAAAGCTCGGAATGGAATGCTGACGAGTTGAGAGAGAAATGTTTGAGGAGTTTAGATGTGGATGGTGTGAGTGTTTATCAATATATTCCCAAGGTGGAATTATTTTGTCTGGCGAGATACATCTTTACGGTCGTTTTCCCAAGACGTTCTTGGGTGAAAACTTGGGATTGTAAGTGGATGAGGATTAGAATCAATGCTTATCATCAACGATTGTTGAGTGGATATTCGATGAATGGGAGAATGAGTGATTCGACCGTTTTGCAGGATCTGATTGAACAGGATTTGAAGGATTTGGAAAAGGAGGTGTTTGTAGAGGAAAGTCCATTTGGAACAGATGCGAAGGTCATGTTGTTGTTGGAAAAAGCCCAGATTTATATTATGGAAGGCTTGGATTTGAAGGCTAGAGAGAATGTGAAAAAAGCTAGTGAGGTTTCGGGATTTGAGTATGCTCTTTCTGGAGCTTTGGGCAAGAGGACAAAGTTTCAGCAGACTGATATTTCGCAATTGGTTGTTTATGCAAAGAGTAGAGAGGATGATGCAAATACCAAGGTTTCAGAATCGGCCGAAAAATCAGAGGAAAACGCACAGTCATCCGATGTCGAGCAGGAAAGCACAACTGGTCCTCAAGCGTTAGAGTTGAACGATGACACATTATTGGAGTCTATTGAGTTTGCCAAAACACCATCTGATAAAGTGGATAACTCCAATTTACCAGCAGCTTTAGCTGGTATGAAGCCAGATGAACAACCACAACTTCATCCTCTAGATCAAATTGCTCTGTTGACGGAAGCTACTCTCAAAGACACATTGTCTCCTCTTGACAAGTTGAATAGCGAAGAGATCCTACCATACGCTGTCCGTGTCCTCTCAGATAAACCCACTAATTGGCAAATTTATACACAAGCTCTCTTGGTCCGAAGTAGAATCGAAGCCCACAGATCCAGAACTCAAGAAAGATCTGTTCTTCAGCTTCAAGTCATCGTGGATCAAATTATTGCCGATACACAAGAATCTACGCCAACAGCAGATGCTGATGGGGTACCACAAATTCAAGTAACTTCTTTCCTTCCACGAGCCAAAGCCGGCGAATCTGCTCCTGTTACCGAGAGATTGAGATACGTCAATCAACTTAACACACCCACAAGATGGGAAATCGAAACCGAACTTGCATTTGCATGGTCCAATGCCGGCTCCCTCGTCAGCGCTCTCGAAATCTTCAAGAGACTAAAGATGTGGGCCGAAGTTGCATTATGTTATCATTCCGTCGCCCAAGAAGACAAAGCTCGACAAATTGTCCGGAGACAACTCTACTACTCTTCCCAAGGCTCAGAAATGGACAAATACGACATCGAAGCCGATGCTGTAGTCAAAGAGCAATGGGATGGAGAAATGCGCACTCCCCCTCCACCCCACGCACCCCGTCTCTGGTGTATCCTAGGAGATCTCGACCAAGATCCAACCTGCTGGCAACGTGCATGGGAACTCTCCAAACAACGTTATGCGCGTGCACAACGCACACTTGGAGATTACTACACGCGAAAAAATGATCTCGCTGCGGCCCGCGAAGCCTACCTCGCTTCCGTGGTTGTAAATCGTCAAAACAACGATACCTGGTCTCGACTTGGTGATATAGATCTCAAAACTGGAAACTGGGATGGTGCTGTTATCGCTTTCCAACAAAGTATCATGATCGATGATACCGATGCGAAAACATATAGCAATCTCGGCTCCGCACTACTATCCAAACACGACGAACTTGTTTCCTTGCAAAAAATCGCCAAGAAGGAAGAAGCATCCACCGATATTCCCGATGACGAAGAAATTGACTTTTCGCCCGATAAAAGCGATAAATCCAATGATCCCAAAGAAATCCTGAGACAAGCTCTCATGGCCTACAAACGAGGCGCGGCCATAGCCCACGGCAATTGGAAAATCTGGGATAACGTCATCACGATCGCTACACGCATGAGTCCCCCTGCTTTCCCCGAAATCCTCATGGGCCTGCGCAATATTCTGCGCATTCGTGCACCCAATGTCGGCGAATACGCAATCGATATGGATATACTCTCTTCTCTCGTGATCGAAGTCGTCAGCCGGGATAAAACAGATGAAGTCGGTTCCTCGGGGAAACAGGTATCTGGGTGCCCAAACGGGGAACGCTCGCGCGAGCCGTTATCGAAATGATGGATCGGGATATTATTCCTCTAATTACGAAACGGGTGGAATTGTACGAGATGGTGCAGAAATTGCGATTGTGGCAGCGAGATTACAAGGGGGCGTTGGAGGCGGCGGAGAAGGCGTGGAGGATGAGTATGAATGAGGAGGGCTGGTTGGAGAAGGAGGAGCTGTGGATGAGTGTTGTGGGGACGACGGAGAGGTTGGTGGGTGCGTATGAGAATTTTGGGGAGGAGGGGAAGTGGAAGGGGAAGGCAAGGAGTGCGGTCAGGGGGGTTATGGGGAAGGGGAGGGATTTCTGGGAGGGGACTAAAGGGTGGGAGACCTTGGAGGGGTTGATGGAAGAATTGAAGGCTTAGTCGATTGGCATGAGTGGTTGTCGATAGGGAGAGAATGAGTCATCTATCCAGGCATAGCGAGAGGACTTACATAGGAATGCTGGGGGTAATCAAAAAAAGGAAAGGGAATTTAGACAGGGTTGCTTCCAAAAGCTATTAGAAGACGAATGAATATATGATAAACATACAGGGAGATACATATTTCGAAATGTGAAATGATAGTATTTGTATGTTTTTTATCATATATAATCAGGATTCCAGCTTCGATATCACGCTGCTAGAAAGTATAGCTCAACTCACACAAATAGAAAAGCTCATATTATCAAGAGAAATCCGCTTATGAGTTGCAGTTTGAATGTTTTTTCTATTGTCTAAACACTCGGCTGACTATATACGAGTCTAATCATGCGATTCTAACCAATAGCATGTTCCTCAGCGCCCTCTCTTCTATTTTGCTTGCCTTCACTCCCACCAAAAGCTCCACCGTCCAATATGATATTTTCATTATCATCCATATCATCTTGTACCCTCCTCCACGTTTTCTTCTTCCTGACAATCTCTCCCTCGCCATCTCCGCCATCTCCTTCAGTCTCCTTCTCCTTGCCCTTTCCTTCCACCTTCTTCGCGGTCCAAACAGGTTTAATCAGACCTCCCAACAACGGATTTCTACTAAACGTGCCTCCTCCCACATTCCCCCTCCCACAGTTTCTACCACCTGGAAGTCCTCCACTTCCTCTTCCCCCTCACTCTCAAACTTCGGCGCCTCAATCTTCGCCATCCTCTTCACAATCTTCCCGCCCACCAAATCCACACTAACAACCTGTCTCCTCTTCTCATACTCCGGTCTCGCATTCCACTCCTGCTCCGCCAAAACCCTCTGCTGTCTCTTCAACTCCTTTGCTCTCTCCGCCGGACTCGCCCACATCCCACCCATCCCACTTCCTCCACCCACCGCCACACTCGCCGCAAGACTGGTATCGAAATCCGCAGCTTCATCTCGAACCGTTGTACGCTTCGCATTCTGGGCCTGAAACCCCAGCAATCTATCACGGTGTTCCTTCGCTTTCTGTTCCGCAGGCGTCATGTCATTTGTTTTAGGTGCGGAAAAGGGCGCAGGTGTACGGGATACCTCTGCGCGGCGATGCGACGAGGCATCTAGACGTTGTTTTTCCGCTCCGCGCTCTTCGCGCAATGTGCGGATCATAGATTGGATTTCATCTTTCCCTAGGATATCTGCTCCGCAGAAAGTACAAGGTCCCAATCCCTCTTTCACGCAGATGACTTTTCCACACGCTAGACAATTCGGCGCCGCGGCTAGCAAAGGATGTCGCGTGGCGATACAATTGCATCTCCGTTTTGCGGGATCCGAGGACGCCAGCGAAGAATTGGTCGAGATTTCCAGGGTGCGGATTGCGGCGTCGAGATCGGAGAGCACGGTTGAGGCGCCGTGCATGGCGTTTCCGCCGGTGATATTTACTTTTGTCTTTGGGGCGGGCGAGGCATTGCGAGAGGGATTTTGAGAGACAGCGCGAGAGGAGGCGCTGGATTTGGATTTCTTGCCGAAGTCGGATATCAGGGTGCCGGCTGCTGAGGGAGGGGGGCGAGGAATGGGTGCTTGGATTGCAGACGGGGTAGGGTCGAGTGTGAAGGCGTTGGGAGATGCTGAGGTTTTGGAGGAGGATACGGGTGTGGATTTGCGGGAGACGTAGTCATCTTCGTCTTTCTTTTTGTATGCGGTTCCCTGCCCTGTATATGTCTCTTGAACTTGTCGCGGTGCCGGTGTATGAATGGGAGCCTTCTTCTTTTTGGGCCCTCGAGTTGACTTAGGTACGCCGGGTGTAGATCCTTGCGTTGAAGATTGTGCTGAAGCTTGTGAGTATGTTTGTGCCTGTGGAGCTGCCTTTGCAGTAGGATCTTGTCGTCTGGAATTGAATGAAGAGATGAATTCGATGCTTCCGGGTGATTCTCCTAGTAGATCAATGAAATGATCTCGAGCGGCGGGTTTAGAAAGTGTGTTTGCGTAGTCTATTACTTGCTTTAAATCTTCCTCTGGTAGAGGTAAGAGGTTTTGTAATTGTGCGAGAGACATAATCACTCTCTTTATATGGTATTAGGAAAACGACGTCGAGTTGATACCAGTACAAAATGTTAATAAGAGTCTTGATCAGTTTATTTTGGTTGAAGGTGCGGCACGGTCCGTAAAATTATTGGCGTCATCATTGAAAGAAGTAGTGGGGTAATCTGCCTTAGCCCGTCTGAAGTTTCAACATGATAGCGAGCGAGGATAGCGAGTATCATAAAACGCTGGATGAAAAGATGTCAGACATAATTACTATCAATATAGTCTTTTTCAAGAGACTAAATGTCAACTCATAAGTCAGTCAACGGAATAAAGCTCTCACAAATCAAAGATAGTAACGACGGCGAGGTATAATCACAAATCTCATGCTACGAAGTGATTGTCGCCTAATTTACAGAATACAGATATTCGCAACGGAGTATTGACCAGGAAACTAAGTGCAATACTATACAAAGATATGCAACTTATAGGTACATAATGAAAGTAAGTACAAGTTAGATAACATACTCGTGTATTACGATACATAGATACAGACATGTTAAGTGAAAAAGAGGGTTCATCTTCAGAATCTACTTTGTACGACAATTCAAGATCCAAAATGCTAGAGAAGCAATCATGAGTATACAAAGAACAATATAATTTATGGTGGAAAATCTAACTACAAGACCAATTCTCGAAAACTCTACTAGCCATACTATATGACTCCATGGTAAAAGAAAAACAATGTCTAATCTAATCCCCTAAAGCATTTATCCCGAACCAGAATATCAATAAACGAATCCCCCCTTTATCCCCCTAACGATAATGAAATTCTTGACCTCCCATCTCAAAAACACAACATTGCAAGCATTTTAATCCACTCCTCAGCTTGATGAAGACTAAACATATCATCCGGCCCAAAGATTCCAACATCGATTGTTTCATTCTCAGGATGATAGCGAATTTCTATATCGATTGATGGCTATGAGAAATAAAAAATTAGTGAGTTGTTTTTTAAATGGTCAAGTAGAAGAATAGGGCAATGACAAAGGATGCCAATGAATGGAAACAAAAATCAAAATCAAAACTCACAGGATACGCCCCCGAATCCTTCCTAACAAACATATTCTGATCCCTCCTCGGCTTCACCACTCTAGCATATCCTTCCGTATCAAACAGTGGTTGAAGAAGATCATCTCCAGTCGTGTTTTCTTGCTTATCCTTCACAGACTTTAGACTGAACTCTCCTTGAGGCTTCTCATGCTCCTTTGCCGTACTTCCGTTCAAGTCTTCAACAACTTCCCAATCCGACATATCTTCGGAGTCTTCTTCATCTGTCTTCACACCGTGATCAGAAACGCCTTTAACAATATTGATCCATCCATGCACTTTCACACCAGTCCACTGGTAGATTTCGTCCAGCCCCACGTTAGCCATTCCTCCTCTACTAATCTTAGCTAGATCCTTCTGCACATTCTTGGCCAACTCTGATATCGCTAAATCATCATCTTCATCTCGATCCATTGGCACGATTTTGATTGGCAATAGATTGAGGGTGGGTGCCATCATTGTAGAGAGATTCTGTGAAAATGGAAAGCGATTGGCTAAATATAGACCAACAATGAGATCTTCTTCAGCATCCTCATCATTCTTGTTTTGTTGATCGTTTAAGACTGTCGACGCCAGAACGATAAGTATGTGATCAATAGAAACACCTGCATTTTTTGCACGTGTCTTGACACCTTTGGCTGGTACACCAGGTCTGAAAACTTCAACTCGACTGGGCTTCCTGATTCCAGGTCCTATTACCTCGAATTCGAGATCTAGATCAGGGCTTACTTGTCTATAGTGAGCCATGCCAAGATACTCAATCCATTGATCTCTCACGGATGGATTATTTTTTTCCTGTATTGCCGTCGCAACAAACGTCTTCCATCTATTTTTGGCAATTGTAGATGTGGACCTAGCCATAGTATCTGCGTGATTATACCAAGCCATCAATTTCTTAAACAACAAGGAGATGCTGATTCCATCATAAAGAGCATGATGAATAATTAGGTGCATCTCAGCCTGTTCCGAACTATTCGGTGGCGTGATGACAAAAAGACTTATTGGTGGATCTTGAAGGCTACATCGCTGTTGAAGACTAGGTCGCTCCTCAACATATGTTATTATACTTGTCGGTTCTTTGTAAACAACTTGAACGATGGTTGAATCTAAGTCAATGAATCCAGTTCTTAGGATATCATGCTGAAGTAGCAGATTATACCAAGCAAAATCGAGTAGATGTGGATCGTAGCCGCTAGATAACTTGAACTCAAAAATTGCTTGAAAGAGAGATCCTTGAGAGTTTTGCCAATGCCTGATCATATAAGTTTGACCTGCTGTTGCGGGCATGATGTAGTCTATCTCGCCAGAAGTATCAATCAATTGCTTGAGCTGAACCTGGTCGATAGATGGCGTAGATTGAACCAGGACGAGGTCAACATCGACCTCGACATTAGCAGGAGTATTCGATTCCAGGTCTTGTTTACCAAGTAAATGATCAGCCATATCCTGGATTGTGAGATGTCTCATGATTTCCGAAACAATCAGATGAAGTTTGTAGTTCTTGAGATGTGCTGGAAGCTTGAGGACTGTAACTGAATCCAAGCCCAATTGAAAGATTGTTGAGTCTTTAAGGATATCTTTCTCCGGGACACCTGAAACGATAGAGATTGATTTTCGAAGATCCATTTCTATCTGAGACCAAGCAGAAGATACTTTGGAGTTTTTCTGCAGACAAGGACTTTCTCGAAGTTGAAATTTTGAAGATCCGCATACAGAGACTCCGTCGCTGTGAATTGTAACAATCTGTTCTTGCTTGTCTGCCATAATTCTCCCAAGAATCTTGTCTAATTTTTCGAGAATATCTTTGGTCTGCGAGAAATTTCTAGCCTCAGACTTACAAGCCGTTGTCCAGTAAAGACGATCAGATTTATCTTCAACCTCCATTTCAACACAGATTGCGAATTGAACGTCTGAGGACCCACCAAATGACGAATATAATGGATCAGATTCTTTCTCAAGCCGAGAACCTTGGTATGTAAATAATGTGTCGAATAAAGTGGTATCTTTGATTGAGTGATCTCGAGAGCCAAGTGCGAGTGCTTGAGCTTTCCCAAGGGGAAATTGTTGAAATTGACGAGTCATATCGCTCTTTTCCTGCATATCCCGCAGCATTTGACCCACAGTTCCGCGAAGTACTGATCGAACTGCCACAGTATTGAACAGTGGGAAATTTACTTCGCTGGCTGCATCACTTGTATCACGACAGGCAAGCACGGTGCCAAACACAACATCAAATTGACCCATGAGTTCTGCAAGAACCAAAGCCCAGCATGCTTGTCCCAGAGTCTGCAGTGTAATATTAGAAGAGCGACAGAAACTTCTGATTTTCCCTAGAGAGAACTCGGAATGCTTCTCGTGTCGGTGAGTCGTAGTCTCGTCAATTGGTGATGACTCCTGCTTTGGAAATATCGCTGGTGGCGAATTCCACAGTGTAGCCTTCCAGAAATCTTTTGCTTCGTGACTATCAGCATTGAAGATCTCTGCGAGGCATGGTCTATAGTCTGGACGACTAGCAATTGTTTGCTCCCTATAAGCTTTGCTGATGTCATCGTGTATCATCGGCAGTGATTTCCCATCGTAGAGAGCATGTGAAATCCCCATTACGATGAATCTCCTGTTCTCAAAATGTACAGGGATTATTCCAAACAATTGGCGCTCTATCGACAACATGCGTGCTCTTAATCTGTTTTCTACTGCTTGCAAAAATTCTTCGAGGCTCGCATGACCTTTTCCATTAAGTGGATATTCTTTGCCTATCTTTTTCCATCTTTTGTGAACAATCTGTGCGTAGTTGACGGGAGACTGTGGGTCTTGAACTTCAAGAAAGGTTGTTCTCAGAATTGGCGACTTTTCAATAACAAGATCCATAGCATCCAACAGTCTTTTCTCCTGAGTTTTGTCACTCAGTTCGAAAACTTGGAGGGTCAAATAGCTTTTGAAATTGGAAGCAACCATTTCCTTTAACATGCTCTCTTGTAAAGGTGTAGCCGGTAAAATGGATTCGAGGTCTGCAGGAAGCCTAGGCTTTAGATACTCATCAAGCCTGCGACTAATGTCCACGAGTCTCTCGGTAGACAATGTGTCGGATGAAATTTCTTTGGACAGCGTCGCAGCTCCTATGATCTTGGTGATCGTTTGACATTTAATAATGCCACTGACAGATATCACAATCTCGTTCTTTCGCAGACGTGAAGACAACTTGATTACATCGATGCTATCAAGTCCAAGTTCAAATATAGATCTAGGATCATGGATATCTATTTTATCAACTTTGGCCAAAATCGCAATCTCCTTGCAAACAACATCACTTTTTTCTTTGGTTAAAAGTATTTGGCCTGAGTGGATAGATTGGTGTAAAGGTCCTGAAGGTGGCTCTATGTGACTTGAATTGTCGCTAAAGTTCGGCTGACCATAGTGCTCTGAAAGAATTGAGTGGAGCAGCGGATCATAAGGTCCAGTACCAACCATTCGTGTCACTTTACCGTTACCGGGAAGAATAGTTCGAAGAGTGTTGTCCATCTTCATGAACACAAGGCTTGCCAATTCTTCTGACACAACTGAGCTCTCTACGACCATATTCAACACAAGCTTTGTACTATCGTGATTCAGAGTAGCTTCGAGTGCTATCGGATACTATATAATAGTTAGCTTGACTTCTATTCTAAATCGTTCCTATTCACTTACATCTGCATCTATACACTCTTTAGAAGAGATCGTCTTTTCCAGTATATTCGATAATTGCTCCTCATTACCATCTGGACGTTGAAATACGAATAGAGCCTCGAAGAGTGGTCTTGTAGCTGCAACAGAAACTAATTTCTTAATGTCATTCAATGGCGTATGTTGAAATTCTTGCATTTCCATATTGATTTGGTGACACTCCTGTATGATTGAGGAAATTTGAGTGCCAGCTTGGACCGGAAGATGGAAGGGCACAGTGTTGAAAAGAGGTCCAACAACTTTATCGACTCCTTCGAAATCGACTGCTCTGCCGGATGTGACAATTCCAATTGTCGTCAGCTTGGTAGAAATGATTTTTTGAATAGCTGAGATCCATGATGCTTGAATTATAGCCTGCGGCGCAACAGATAAGGCTTTTCGTCTTATTTCAAAGTCGTGTAGGTCAAATGTACGAGAGTACATACGAGTTCCTAGATATTTGTAGTCATGAGGTAAGGAATAATGAGTCCATGTCTGTAAATGGGATTTCCAGAATGCTTCCTTTCCGGGAACTATTGATAGCGGTCCATAAGCCAACGATGAATGGAAATCCGGTCCATATTGAATGCTCGGTAATTGGCGGAATTCGCCGCAAAGATGACTCAAAATCATTCCCAGACTACTTCCATCATAAAGACCATGGAAAACATTGAGCTCTAAGGCTTCTCTAGTTAAAAGTTTTTTAATATCAAAAGACCACGGCTTCTTAAGAATGTCCGAGGTTTCTGACACGGTACCCGACTCCCAAAGCTTTGAAGATGCCTTGGGTCTGAGAACCACCTGGGCATAGCCATCGTCTGTTAAAACGAATCTGGTTCTCAAGATCTGAAGATTAGAAACGACAAGATCCCACGCAGCGGAAAGGTGTTCAGAATTGATTCCGTATGCTAACCGGTAATGAAAGTGGTTATAATACAATTCTCCATCGCTCTCAAGTAACCTGTAGATCATTGCTTCCTGGACAGGAGTGCAAGGTGCAATACTCTCAATATGTTCGGGTGAAACCGCCAAGTCCTTGCAAATGGCGACTGTATGCTGCTGTGAAAACCCGGCAATTCTTAGTTGAGCTTTAACAAGATGTGGGTTTCCTCTGCCATCATTCGTTTTGGCAGCAAGAAGTGCTTCAACCAATTTCCCGATCGTGGGATTACTTCTGACCGTGGCGTTGGTGGCATTATTGTACCCTGAGGTTCTCAAGGAGCTCGAAAAGGCGGTCATACTAATGGAGTCGAGACCGAGTTGAAAAATATTCGAACTGCGTGTTAACTCTGGAACGTCGATGGGAAACACCTTAACAATGATGTCTACCACCTTCTTCTCTCTGTTTGTCCATCCTGCGTGGTTCTGCACCTGGGTACTCATGTTTTGAAGATCTTCTATACTCAAATCGTTGAATTTAGCTGCGAGTTGTTTCGCATCCGCTTTGTTATTTGCGTTGAGAGGAAGAGCTTTAATTGGGATGAAATGTGTTGGGACCATATATCCTGGAAGTCGCGAGCTACAGGCATCTCTGATAAAGGGAATTACTTCACTATCTTTCGACTCATCCTTTCCTGATACGACAAAAAATGTGACCAGCTGCTCTTTAGCTTGTGCTTTGTGTTTTAGGACTAATGTGACTACCTCTTCTAGGTCGCTCCTGCTTTTCTTGATCACCTCATTGATTTCGCTTAACTCCAAGCGTTGACCACGAAGTTTGACTTGATCATCAGCACGACCGAGGAAGAGGAAGGTGCCATCGTGCAATATTCGAACAAGGTCTCCGGTGCGATATACTCGCTCATCAAAATTGATTAGCGTAGGAAATTTCTCAATCGTAAGTTCTGGGCGATTGAGATATCCTTTTCCGACTAGTTTTCCAGAAACGCAAAGTTCACCGATGCCGCCTCTTAGAACTGGTAGCTCGGTTCCTGGCTTCAGAACAAATGATCCGACGTTGTCAAATTGAGGGCCAATGTTGGAAGGTTTGCCGTTCTTCGGTACTCGAGGATACATAGTCACACCAATGGTAGCTTCAGTTGGTCCATATCCATTGTAAATGCAAGCATGCTCGCCCCATACATCAAGAATTTCTTGCTTGAGTTGTTCGCCACCAGTAATGAAAACACCTTTGCATAATGATGGGGCATCGTCTGGATGTAATAAACGTGCAAGACTTGGTGTTAGATCAATGTGCGTGATACCTAGTTGTTGAATCGCAACTGGAATATCCTCGAAAATCAAATCTCGAGGAGCTGTAGCTACACAAATTCCAACACTCCAACTCCAAAATTGTTCCAACACACTCACATCAAAGTGGAAAGAAGCAAATTGTAGCCACTTCGAGTCGGTGGTCCAATGGCCAGAAAACAATCTTTGAAATGCAAGCATCGCTTGGATCGCATTGTCATGAGTAAGTAGACATCCTTTCGGTGTTCCTGTTGTTCCAGACGTGTACAAACAATAGGATATATCCTCGGGGGTGATTTCTCTGGAAAGTTCAGGGGCTTCAGGGGCAAATTCACGAAGCTTGGCTGGATCAGTCAAATCGATCATTTCCCCGTCCACGAAAGATCTCAAAGACTGGGCTGGGATGCCTGCGCTAATGATTAATTTCGCAGCAGAGTCCTTCACGATGAATTTTAAGCGATCAGCCGGAGCATTTGGATCCAGTGCAACATAACCACAACCAGCCTTCATGATACCAACAATTGCAAAAGAAGCCTCCGCACACTTGTCAAAACAAATGGCAATTATCTCGCCCGGAGTAGTTCCACGTGTATGGAGCATCTGAGCTACCCTGTTGGACTCTTCGTCCAATTGTCGATATGTCCATTTTTGACTTCTATATTTTCCTGGCTGAAGACAAGTTGCGAACTCTAGTGCGACCTTATCTGGCCATGTCTTGGCCCCTCTTTCAACGTACTGATGCAGAAGGGTTACGGAGTCCGGAAGGACAGGATCCTGTGCAGGAGTAATGGAGAGTAACTCAACTCCAGCTTCGGGTGCTATGTTGCAAGGATGATCTGGATTCTGGAGGGTGTCTAGTAGTAATGCATCAAATTGTCTGACAATGAGCTCAGCATGAGCTGCGGGTACGACATCTTCTCTGAATGATAAGCGGATTATGATATCACCCGATGATAAGGGTTGGATTTCTAGAGACACGACGTAGTCCACTGTAGCTTCCTCTTTGACTACTTTCCAAGGCGAACTCAGAATCTCTACATCTTCTGGTAATTTTTGGTACGCAAATAAGGTGTCAAATATCCGACCCTCAGGGTACCCAGACCACTTTTGTATTGATGTCAATGGCGTAAATTGATGATTATGAAGTTGTGCATTAGATAACATAGTCCTGGACAACAATTCATTGTTACTACCAACCACGTTGCAATTGACAGGAAGTGTAACAATAGTTGGGAAGGCGACTGAATTGGCATCATCACACACGGATCGACCAGAAAGCGTCATGCCGAAAGTCGTGGCATTCTCTCCGGTATACGCCATCAAAAACCTCGCCCAAGTAGCTTGCCCAGCTGCTTGCATAGTGACTCCAAGTTCTCGACATCTATTCTCAAGGTCTTTCAGTGAAGCCGAAGATTTTATCTCGCAAACTGCATTGCTAGGTGTTGTGACACGGAGGGGAGTTAGATCAGGGAACTTGTTAACCACAATCCGATTTTCAGGCAGTTGCCAGAATGCTTGTTTCTCATCTTGGGTCCCTTCAGATGCTTGTAGAACTGAGCCCAAAAGTGTGTTGATGCTAGGTCGACTGCCCACTTCTTGACGATGATATAACTTGGTAAAGTCCGAAAAAATCATCTGCATAGATTGGGCATCGTACAGTGCGTGATGTGCAGTGAAAACGAGGAGAGTTTTGTCCCCCTTTCCATTCACGGTCATGTCCCATGGGTTTCGGAGACGATCGTTGTCCTCAGAAGGTGCTTGGGTTCTAGTTTCAAACCATGGGAGAACGAAAAAGTCTTCTTTGAATGTTACCATTGCGAACGGATGACTTGGATCTTCAGTTTGGGCAAATGCTGTCCGAAGGATTTCATGAGCCTTGCAGACTTTAGTCCAAGAATCTTTGACTTCTTCTAGTGAGTGATCGGGTAGAACTTCCAGACACAGGCTGTTAATATATTCATGCCCACCGGAATGCAAACTTTGCGCAAGCATGCCTTGTTGTACAGCTGTGCAGGGTCTGATGGCTTCAACATTATTGGATAAGACTCCAAAGTTCGAACAGATTGGCTCGCGATGTTTCTGATCAAAAGAAGCGAAATCATACTGAATATCCTTATCTTTCACTGGATATTCGTTTTGTTCAAGATGCGAAGCAACCTGCGCAATGGTAGGATACTGTAGGATATCACTCGCAAGAATGTCATGTCCTTGGGCTCTTAAGCGAGACGCAACCTGAACTGTACTAATACTATCGAGACCCAATCTAAAAATGCTAGTATCCCGAGCGATTTTTTCTAAAGGAACATCTGTAAATCCTGCGAATACACCTCGAATCTCTAGTTCAAGTGGACTCATAGCTTTGTCCTGGCGTTGCGGGTCCGAAATTTGCACCCTTTTTTTCTCTCTTTCCTCGTCACCGGCGAGGATCTGCGCTCTCGCCAGCGAGGAAATAATCTGACGCCGAGGGTTCTCTAGGGCGGTTTGTAATAAATCTTCGAATCTCTGAATTAAATTATTTGCATCGTAATCGGAAAACATTGAAGTAGACGAATGAAGAACAATCTCAAGGGTATCGTTGCTGGGTTTGGGTATAATTTCACAGACTAAAGGAAAATCCATGGCACCATTTTCTTCCACAATGGACCATATAGAAGAGTCGAGTTCCTTCGACGGTTGTTGTAAAATGAAAAGGGTATCAAATAGACGAGTTCCATCGGGACTGAACTTTGACTGGAGTCGTCTTAAAGGAGTGAATTGGTATGGCAAGGAGTTGGCATTTGCATTTTGTAATTTTCTGAATGCCTCAAGATAAGTGGACTTGTGAAGGTTTTTCAATCGAACTGGAACTGTGTTGAAACAGGGCGCAACAAGTCTTTCTATTCCATCGACTGGGGCAGTGCGGCCACTGATTACATTGCCGAAGCAAATATCAGTGCTCTTGAAAAGTTCAGATATGACGCTAGCCCAGATCGCATGGAACGCCGCGAGAGAGGTTGTACTATGCTTCTTGATATTATTTTCGACGCCGCTAAGAGGCATTTGCGCCGTCAGCTTCTGAATGCGAGTGCTGTCCATTTCAACTCGGCCAGGCAGATTTGGCATATCTTCGAAGTGAAGTGGATAGTATCCTTGTAAAGTAGATTCCCAAAATTTATCGGAAGAATCGATATCCATTGAGCTCATGTGTTCTAGAAATGGAGTAAAGGAAACTTCGGGAAGTAGAGGCAAATCATTGTACAGCCTCTCAATTTCATCGTAAAGAATTGCCAGGGCGACTCCATCATAAAGTGCGTGATGCATTGAGACCAAAAGACGCTTTTGGCCATTGAAATGCAGGATGTTAACTTTGTAGGGTGGGGTATTATTGTTGTGTGATAAATGTGTCTCCACTTCAAGAATGGCAGCTTCCAAAGTGCTAGACTCAAGAGAGCCGAATTCGAGCTCAAAGTCTTGCAACGCGACTTGAACGTAAGGGAATTTTTGCATTTCTGTAGCAAGAAAACAAGTTCGTAAAATTTCATGTCTCCGAACCATTTCTTGCCAACAGCCACGAAGTCGTTCAAGATCACCAAATATATTAAACATAACATGGCTGTTATACGAAGTGCCTGAGGAAGACTCAGCCGCAGATAGCATAGCTTCTTGCAAAGGCGTACAAGGTGAAACGCTTATCGCAACTCTATCCGGATTGGTAAACTGGGACAAAGTATACGCTACAAAGTCATCGGTGAGTCCTAAGTTTGTATCAACCATCAAGATGTTGTCGCGTGCAAGCCCATCGGATGTTGATAAATGTTCTGCAAGTCTGACTACAGAAGTATGCTTCAAAATGTCAGAAATATCAATCGGTTTTGCGATTATCTGACGTAGCGTCCGCGAAAATGCAATTGCCGAAATTGAGTCGATACCAAAGCTAAAGAATGATGTATCTGGACCAATGTCCTCTACTGGAACTTTTGAAATTTCACTCAATGAGGAGCGAATCTCGAGCTCAAGTTCTGTCCACTGATGATCTATAGAAGACTTTGAAGATTTAGTAGTTGAGTCAAGATACGCGAGCTCAAAGCTTTCATACAAGCTAATCAGCCGACGCTTGTCAATCTTGCCTTGCGACGTCGATGGAAGGTTCGAAACCGGAATTAGGTTTGAAGGTACCATATAGCTCGGGAGCTTTGACTCAAGTATTCTATAAAGTTCGCTAACAATAATTGGGTCAACGTGAAGAGGATGAAGATTCCCGGACGTTGTTGCCTGAGTCGTAAAAAAGCAAACTAAGCGTTGTGAACTACCTTGCCCATTTACAACCATTGTTACACAATCTGCAATATCTGGTAAAGAGATCAAGATATTATTAATCTCGCCAAGCTCAACTCGTTGGCCCCTGATCTTGACTTGGTCATCTTTTCGGCCTGTGAAAACAAGAGATCCGTCTGACATCAGACGTCCAAAGTCGCCACTTTTATATAGACGTCCATATTCGGGATGATCAACAATCTTTCCCTCTTCTTGAGCTCGATTCATGTATCCTCTGAAGACCTGAGAGCCACCAAAGCAAAATTCGCCCTCGCCGCCTCTTGGTACCAAGGAGACCTCGGAGTTACGAGCAACCACAAAAACAGACGTATTTTTGAAAGGGGGACCAATATTGTCAATACGGTCATCTAGGGTGACCCGTGGCTTGACAGTGCAAATATTAGTCGTTTCGCTGGGACCGTAACCCTGGTAAAGTCCATGGCCAGCCCATGTATTGAAAACTTTTTGCGTCACAGCCTCTCCAGCAGTGACCAAGAACTCTACTTTAGGAACTTTGAGTGGGTCGATTAGAGCAGCAACAGTAGGTGTCAAGCTGAGATGAGTCACTTCCAGAACGCGAATTGCAAGTTCTATGTCTCGAAACAAAACGTCTTTTACAGCAGAACACAGACATCCACCAATTCTCCACGAAAAGAAAATTTCGAAGACAGACACGTCAAAGGCCTGTGAACATGACTGGAGAAGTCTAGACTCGCTAGTTGCTGGATAGATCTCCGCTAAGACGTCAAGGTTGCTCAGAAGATTGCCTTGTGTGACAAGGACTCCTTTTGGAGTTCCAGTGCTACCCGAAGTAAATACGCAATATGAGATGTTCTCCGGTTTAAAGGAACTGGCAAGGTTCTTCGTAGGTTGTTGATCCAAATCAACCTCATCGATGTGAACAATCTTTTGCTCCGTAAATTGTTCTAACAGTTTTCGTGATGAGGAATGCCCAATCAATACCTTTACCTTAGCTTCGCTCAAGATATGATACAATCGGTTATGTGGCATATCGGGAGTTACTGGGAGATAACCTGCGCCGAGTTTCGTGATAGCTAGTACTGAGGCATAAAAATCATGACTTTTTTCGAGACATATGCAAACGATATCATTTGGCAGAACGCCATGATTAGATAGGTAGTGGCCCAGCTGATTTGCACGATTATTCAAAGCACCATAACTCATGTATTGAATATCTGAACTGTCTCCCTCGATTCTGCTAGCAAACGCAATTGCTGGACGATCGGGATCTTCTTCTGCAACTTTTTCCACTGGGGATATCAGTGTCTCGGGTCCAAGGTCAACGCTAGGTGTGTGGTTCTCCAAAGAGAGTAATTCAGATTTGCTTTCATTGAAGACATTGATAGGCGAAGATCCTGCGTGTTGGATGATTGTTTTCGCGACATCTTCAATTTGACGCAGAAGCATGTCTATCTGGCTTTCTGGGAATATCGACTGTTGGTAATTTGCTTTGAATTGAATTGTGTTAGATGTAGGAGTTATTTCAAGAGTTAAATTAAACTCCAGTTGATCAAGCTGGTCGATAAGAATGACATTCTTTCTGCTGTGGTCATAACTATGGAGAGTCTGTTGCCATATCAGAAGTGTATCAAACAATGGTTGTCGAGGCTCGAAACCATTGACTGATTTGATCTCGCGAAGTGGAATGGTGCTATGCTCGAGATGTTTCCTATTTATACTGTTTATTTCTTCTACAAGATCTTGGAGAGTGGAAGCTATGCAGGTATCGATACGGATCGGTAAGGTTGAGAGGCATGGTCCGATAATATCTTCTATTCCGGCAAGGGGGATAGTTCTGCCAGAAAAAACAGTGCCAAAACAAACATCTGTTGATCCTAAGTAAGAGGCTAAGATCAGAGCGTATGCAGCTTGAAAAATAGCCTGTGGACTCGAAGCCAGTTGCTTCGCGGCTAGTTCAACGTCTAAAGTTGAAAGTTGGGTCGAGTAATGCGCCACAGCCAATCTAGCGGAAGCAACCTTGGCTGTGTGAAAATTTGGCAAATTCCTAAGCTCGAGGTGCGCCATATGATCTTTCCAATAATCTTTAGATACTTGGGAGTCAGAAGAGAGGCTGCCATTAAGATAACCCCCCACAACATCCGCGAATGACGGGCGTGGAATTGGAACGTCATCTTGCAACAGACAATTCAAATCATCAAGCAGAAGATCTATCGACCAGGCGTCATACAAAGCATGATGAATATGGATCAAGAGTTTTAGACAGGACTTAGTAGGTAGAATCTGGAAAACAATCGGGCGATGAAGTGACGCACTTTCAACCCCAAAATCGTACGTGAATACGTCCACTGTTTTTATGTTTGAACCGGGAAACGTTTTCCATACAAACTGCATATATCCACCATTACCAGAGGACTCTGCGAAACCAGTCCTCAAGATTGGATTGCAATCAGCGAGATCTTGTAGCTTTGTATGGAGTTTTTCGATATCGCTGAGTCCAGGTAAACTTAACTGGATCCAGTTGCGGTAAGCTTTCCCGTCGAGGGCAGTTTCAGCAAGCATTGCATTTTGAAGCGGAGTACATGGATATGAAATTTCGACGTCATTTGCATTGCCATTCAACATAGCGTGCATTTCTGAGTTGGTTGTGGCCAATTGAGCCTTGCCTGAACTTGGAACCTGGGGACAATTTTCACAAAGTCTCGCTAGCGAGGTTAATGTTTCAGCTTGTAAAACAGCTAAAGTTGCAACGTTGAATCCCCGCAATCGAAGTTCTCTGGATACTTTGATAGAAATGAGCGAGTCAAGGCCTGCCGCTGCCAAACGTATATTTGGGGGGAATGGACCAAGTATCTCGCGCAGGACTTCTCTCACAATTACTTCAGTTTGTGTGAAGTTTGATTGTTCGTCCCCTTCTGCACGTTGTTGCTGGTAGTTTGCTTGCAACTTTCTTTTGTCTACCTTTCCCGACGGTAGATAAGGAAATTCTTGCAGAAGAATGATCTCGCTGGGTACCATGAAACTCGGAAGCCACTGTGAGCAGGTGTTCAGAACTCGATCAGAATGAGTTTCTTCTTCATCTGTGAGAGCGAACACAATAAGTACTCCACTTATCACGACTGCTACAACCGTCTTAATGCCCGGATGTTTGTAGACAGCATCTTCTATCTCCCCAAGTTCGACACGTTGACCACGTAGCTTAACTTGTCCACCACTCATACGGCCGTGAATCTCTATACTTCCATCTTCAAGAATTCGACCTTTATCACCAGTTCTATAGTATCTTTTGTCTGCCACTGTCACAAAGGCAGCTCTGTTCTGCTCTTCTCTGTTAAGATAGCCATTTGCTAGTTGTGGGCCACCTAAAATAAGCTCTCCGAGCTCACCCTGGGGAAGAAATTTGAGATCCTGCTCATTTCCAGACCCAGAGGCCGCTTCCGCTATGAATGCAGATACTGTCTCAAAGGGTACTCCAATATTTCCCGGCTTAGCACTTGCTTCCATTTTGGGGTGAATCGTGCAATGAATGGCTGCTTCAGTCGGTCCGTACATTCCATAAAGAAGGCTCTCTTTTGTGTCAGATCCACCGAATTCTTCTACGATTGGCCTCGTCATCATTTCACCGATCGTCATCAGCAACCTCAATTTAGGTACATAAGCTCTCTTCTGTAATAAAGCACCCACAACGGTTGGAGTAAGTTCGGCAGCATCAATCTCTAACTTGTTGATCATGCCTGGTAAATCGTTGAGTAGCTGACTACGATCACACCCAACCAATGTTTGACCTCTAGTCAGAGGGAAGAAGATCTCAAATACGGAGACATCGAAGGATGGTGCAGCAAACTGGAGAAATCGTTCAAAATTGGGAATAAGACTCTCGTGAGCTAGAAGAGACTGTGAAGCAGCTAAATGACTGACTGTAACTCCTTTTGGGGTTCCGCTTGAACCAGAAGTGTACATAACATATGCAAGATCATTGCTGGTGGGTTCACGTGATTCATTTGTTTCTTCCAGTTCGGTGGGAATAATGGGGAACTCGTCGACGACAATAACTCTGGGGCCATTTTTCCAAGAAACCGAGTCTTGAAACTCCGGTGTCGTAATTATAATACTCGCAGAAACGTCGCCCACGACAAATCGTATTCTATCTCTCGGCGCATCGAGGTTGATAGGGCAAAAGGCCCCTCCCGACTGCAAGATTGCGAGTTGAGAGATGTATAACCCAGGACATTGTGGTAGCAATATTGGGACGATGTGCTGCTGTTGAGATGTTTCATAACCTTTGATCGTTGATTGGATTCGTGTAACGAGAGACGTTACACAAGCTTGTATATCTCGATAAAGGTACCTCTCTCGTCTGTCGTGACTGGTGAAGTCAATTGCACAGGAATTTTGGTATTCATCCCATCGGATCAAATCATGTAGAAGTTGTGGCCCAGACAAAAGTCTTGGCGGGTCATTCAAACTCGAGATCTTTGTATCCATTTTGGATCATGCAGGTCGATCCTCATAACCTAAACCGCTGTAAGTGCATATGGTCGTTTTATATGTCCTGGTGCTACAGAAGATAATTTGAATGTCAGGTCACTGCTGGGGGTATTTGTATTTCTTTCTCATGCCGGACAGTGATTGTAACGATGGTGTATTAACTACAACGAGCTCTTGTGTTATTCACGTGGGTTGAGAAACCTACCATAGAAAGAGCAAAGATGATTGATTTGTATTAACATTGAATTAGTCATAGAGCAAGAGATCTGAATGATGACCATTAGAGAAGGCAGGATTGGTTGATTGAACAAATTGGTGGTGCTACTGTATTACTATTAACGGAGATAAAAGGTAAAAGTGGATAGATGTTGTATTCCATGTGTGAATGCTCAGAGGTGATAGGAACAAAACAGACGGTAGATGGAAGTACCTAGCTAGTAAGAGAGGAAGAGGTAAGGCGACTCGAAATACGCGCCATCTGCTAGAGAAATTGGGAAAAAATAGGCAAAATTGATAGCGTCATCTGTTTCCAGATGAGGAGTACAAGAAGCACAACCCAAGTATGATTCGTACTCTTAATTCTTGGCGAGACGGATAGAGGGAACATGTACCATTCGCGCTACAGGCGGAAAAGAACTTTAGCCTTCTGGGTTTTATCTTGAGATCACGTTTTTTTGGATATTTTATGTTTTCATCGGACGTCCATGTTAGGTTTAGAATGTGAATGATATATACATATATCATGCCGCGCTTCATCTTTTAATCTTCTTAAATACCGAGGCGCACATATATACAAAAGACTAGGACTCACCACCCTCGCTCACACCTGCTTAGTGTACAAATTGAGAGAGATATGTGTATATATATATATATATCACGTGATATGAAGGGCAGCCTTATTATTATGTCATCTTCTAGGTCAATCATGCAGCTGTTTCTAGAGAAGAACACTCGATGCCTACTCGCTGGTTACTGTCCGCACAACGACAACATCAACATCGTCTACATCCAGGAGCATACAAACTCGAGCCATCATTGGTTGTACCGTCTTACTGGAAGCTTCTGTTGTTTTTACATCCTCTCGATACTCACAGGCTCAAATACCCGGTGAACTGCCGGCCAGTCAACAGGTATATGGCAAACAAGGGGTTTGATTATATCGGACACACTGGGACCGCATCCACCCACTTTATCAATGCAGGATTTCAAGTTTTTCTCAGCTAATAATGCAATAACCCTGGTCAGCAGCGGTCGGTCATACTTGCTGCAGTCTGCACGAGGCTCGAGCTGCAGGTTCCAAACAAGGGTGGTAAAATTGGTGGGGTCTTTGATGCTTGTTGAATGCTCACAGGTTTTAATCTTATCAGATGAAAATTTTCCATCTAATCTGATCCGCAGAAACCGATCTTCGGAGCAAATGGAGGCGCGATACTAAATTTGCTTTCATGTACGATTGTAGATCTTACTTGACAATATCCTCAAAAACTGGCACTACTCCATATTATCTCAAGCGTTGCAGCTAATCATGAAATACGACATTCCTAGCCAGTGCTAAAGTTACGTCCCATTAGCTGATCAAGCCGAGGGCTTCACACTATCAGAATCTGAGCTAAAAAGAGCCAAAGTTGGGAAAAGCCATTTTCGGATGCAATGGAATCCGGAATTCTCTCAAAGTACTCTTTTGGGGATCAGTGGAATGTCACTGAACATGTCAAATCAATATCAGTTTTGGGATTTATCACGCTAGGTAAATCCTGAGATGATGCTTAGATTGTATGCTTTTTTGGTGGCGAATTATGTACTGTCCATTGACTTGTGCAACTTCTGCTGCTTTCATTGCATGCCTTGGGCTCTTAGTATATTTTAGATCTCAGATCTTTGATCCCCCTTGATTTGTGGATTCTGCCTCAGGGGAAACAACTCCTCTAGTAAGATTGAGGCTAAATAATGATGCGAAGTTTTCAATGTCGATGCAATTAAGTTTTTTCCATACTCCATTTCCTTCTCTTCTATAGTAGAATCGTTTTAGTGGCAAAGGTAGTCCCTTTACTTCATCAATCACTTTTGTTTTATTGTGATCACAACAATATTGCTCGGCTATCACTTGACGTCGTTGTTGCTCATTATCTCTTTGCTGATTCGATCATCACACGTTCGAACCAAAATTGAATTTCTCTGTACGCAAACCAGCAGATGAATTTCACATGAAGGTATCTACTGTGTATGTGATAGGAACAAGGCGGTCTCGACTTGGAGAGAATTAGGATACTTCGGCCGCTTCGGGCTTTGGTCGCTGCATAACCACCATTATTGGGGGATATAACCTGCATACACCATCTTTAAATGGCGGAGACTATGTCCCGAAATACAGAAGATGGGGGAAATGCCAACAATGCCAACCCAGTCAAACGATCGTGGATCTCACTTAGATCAGGAGGACGTGGATCCTCTTATGTCGCTCTTTTCAGACCTTTGGACGACCTTCAGTCTCGGTTCATCTTATTTTGTGGAGTACTATTTGCAATCGCTGCTGGGGCACGTCAGTATATCTTCATTGTCTGTGTAGTTCTATTCTGACGAAACTTTTCGGTATCACAGCTCTTCCTATAATCGGTATCATATTTGCGCGCATCATTGATGCCTTTCCGCCTTCTGAGGAGGAAGTTGTTTCCCGAGTCTATCAATTGGTTGCTGTTGGTTAGGGTTTAAATCTTTCAAAATCTGAAAGCAATTGCTAACCATGCAGCGTGCGCATATTTCATAGTAACATGGGGCTGGGCATTTTGCTGGGGAATCGTTGGCGATAGAGTATCGCGAGGTTTGCGGATACAGATGGTCGACAGAGCTTTGGGACTTGATCAGACATATTATGAGACTCAATGTCCAGATGTAAGACCGCCAATCCAGTAAGAGGACTAAAACTAACCATTTTAAGATCACCAGTCGTCTGACTGTAGACGCACAAACAGTCCAAGCTGGTACAGCTGAGAAAGTGGGCCTATTTCTGCAATCTTGCAGTTATTTTATTGTAGCATTCATAGTAGGGTTTGTTCTCAACGCTCGTCTCACTGGAATTCTTTTTGCTGCGGTAATTCCCTCTATGACACTGGTTGTTGTCATTGGTACCTCCACATTGAACAAATACGCCAAGGCCGCAGCAGAGAGTAACACAATCGCAAACTCAATTGCTGAAGGAGCTGTGAAGGCAGTACAAGTGGTTCAAGCTTTTGATGCTTTTGATGCTTTGACAGATTCTCACCACAATAATCTAGTTATTGCAATGAGATACGGTGCAAAAAAAGCTGTGACGGGTGCACTGATGCTTGGCAGTGTATTTTTTATTGCGTAGGTTATGCCATTTTCAGCTCCATTTTCATGGCTTCCATTGGTCCGCACTGCAGTCTGGTGATCACAAAGGATTCAATTTTGAGTCTCGTTAAATGTTTCGACTAGTTTGAAAGGGCGAATTCACTGTGAATATTTTACCACTTTCGAATGTTTGAAGCCATATTCAGTCTGGACTGTTGGAATCTTATCTATTTTACAGTGCTAACAATACAAAGGTTTTCAGCAAATGCTTTAGCATTTTGGCAAGGCTCCAAGATAATCAACTCAGGCTCGTCTGGCAGTGCAGGAACTGTATATGCCATTGTCTTTCTAATACTTGACGCTTCATTTGTGATCGGAGCAGCAGGCCCATTTGTTCAATCCTTCGCAAACGCCGCTTCCGCGGGGCAGCGAATATTCAATCTTATAGACTATCCCAGCATACCAATCGATGTATACTCCGAAGAGGGAATTAGCTGTGACAGCGAGACACTAGATACAGGAGGAAGCATTACATTCGAAGATGTCAGCTTTTCTTATCCAGCACGCCCACTCGAAACTGTTTTGGATTCAGTCAATATAGAAATTAGAACTGGAACTTCTGTAGGCATTGTAGGCGCGTCTGGAAGTGGCAAGTCAACCATCACTTCGCTTCTCTTCAGACTTTATGACCCATTACGGGGCTCTGTTCGATTTAACGGCCACACAATACCTGAATACAACTTAGCTAGTCTCCGCGAGAAGATGGCCTTCGTTGACCAAGATCCAGCAGTCTTTTCGGGAACCATTTACGATAATATCAGATATGGCTACAAAGGAGTTGCTCTGGAAGAGGAGCAGATGAGAGAGAAGTGCATAGATGCTGCGAAGGCTTCCGATGCCTGGCAATTCATTGAATTGCTACCAGATGGATTGGATACTTGGCTTGGTGAGCCATCCGGCACGAGGCTTTCTGGTGGCCAGAAACAGCGACTGTGCCTTGCTAGGGCCTTGGTTGGTGACCCTCCTCTATTGATACTAGATGAAGCTACTAGTGCACTTGATACAATCAGCGAAGCGGCTATCTTGAGCTCTCTTGCAATAGCAAGATCTTCGAGTAAGCGGACTACCGTAATGGTCGCTCATCGTCTTGCATCAGTGAGGGCTGCTGATAATATCATCGTTATGGGCAAAGGTTTAGTTCTTGAACAGGGAAGTCACGATTTCCTAATGTCGAAGCCCGAGGGTGCTTATCGTCAATTGATCGAAGCACAAAGACTAAATTCTTCTCACAAAAGCCAACACGTTGAATCCCTCGAACTTACATCCATCGAAAAGCCATCTACATCATCTGACAGGTTTTCTGATCATGAGGATAATTCTGTACAAGACTCGCCTGAAGAGAGTGACTCTGAATTTTCAAAGCCTCTCGGAACGTTTGCAATAATTCGGCGCTGTTTTTCTTTAACGAAATCTGAAATTCCCTTTGCTTTACTTGCATTCGTGGCTTGTGCTGCAACGGGAGGTCTGGTCATTGGCGAATCTCTTATCTTCGGTAATTTGGTTTCTTTACTCAACGGCTCTGTCCCGTCTTCACAGGTTAATTTTTTCTGTTTAATGTTCTTCATTGTTGCAATCGTTGCACTTCTTGGTTACACAACTTCTGGGTCCTGTTTTGGAATTGTTTCTGA